CCGCGAAAAATGTGGCCTGAGCGGATTTTGGCCGAAAATGTCCGCGATTCTGATCAGGGCTCTGCTTACAAGACCTTTGTCCGCACTGTAGGATAAGGCATTAAAATGTATCAATTTTGCTCTTCTAGTAATGTATATCTATAGCACCACTCTATTCACCGTCAGAAATCATGTCCACACCGCTCGCCGCCTTGCGTTTGCGGCGGAATTTTGCCAGTTCTTCCACTGCGGGAGCCAACTCCGCCATCTCCGATTCGAGATGGAACTCGTTAAATAGAAACAGTCATGTTTCTAGTATGTGAACTACAATAACTTAATAAATGCTGGATAGACATAGTCTACTATGAGATGGGATAGGGACCCACAATGGCCACATCCATCGTATAGAGAAAAAGTTGAAAAAAAAGACATGCCTAGATGGAGAATCGAACCTAGTATCCAGGAATCAACCAATCATACATGGCTCAATCGGTAACCCCTGGACCACGAGACTATAGATGTCCACACAAGCATAAGGCATCGATAGCGCATGGTATATATGTCCGCGAAAAAATCAGACGTGCACCTGTTTTTGGGCCTTTCTGTCCGCGAAAAATAAGGCCTGGTGAGGTCTAATTTGGCTTGATTTGTCCGCGTTTCCACAAAGCCTTGATACCTATTATCAGGGGTCCTGTAGTCTCGAGTCTCAATCAGCCCGGGCCCGCTGTCACTCAGCTGGACACCAAAAATGAGCACCCCTATCTCAGATTGCTTACTACTGGTGCTCAACTTGAAGCTGAAGTTGCATGCGTGGGCTTTCTGAGACAATTGTACTGGCTGTACGTGCGACATGTTCGTTTACGGAGAATTCCAGATGATTTGACGTCGACGATGTTTGTACGTAAACTCGGAGCCGCCATCAGCGTCGCCTGCAAACACGCTGTCCACAGTCGCCCACAACTGCGCCGTGACCTCGAAGCATCTCTCCCTCTCCGGGTACGTTCTGTGATCTTAACCACTACATGTATGTTCTGTTGAGTTCTCACTTGGTGCGTGTGTTGTCAGAGCCTGGCTGTGAAGGACCGTGCAACTAGGGCAAAAAAGCGATCCTACCGATATGCCGGCGCGAAATAAATCCGAAGACCCCCCAGTAGGACCCCGGCATATGGGTACTGATGTTTGATCCTAAGTGCCCGATTTTCGGCCCTTATGGCCTCACACATTTGGACCGGATATGTCCGCCTCTAGGATCCAGTCAGCCCAAATTGGGCTGCTTATGTCCGCATAAGTGACCTATGCTCGGGCGCCCCCCGGTGTGTCCGCCAAACGGATCCAACCTCGAAACCAGCACACGCCCAATGCTGCAACGAGTAGATCGTGACATGATTACTCCGGGATATTGTATTTCAGTCTTCCTAAGATCCACCACTGTCTCCAAAGCTTGCATTTCATTCACCGTTGCTGAGGATATACCTGGATATACACGAGACGAGCTGACAGTTGACTGAGAAGCATAAGAGACACCACTCAACCTAGTACAAGGACTACTGGGTGTGACACTTCGATGACTTGGTATGTCCGCCAGGTGATCGGACACCAAGACCGGCAAGGCCCTTGTGTCCGCCGTGATATACCGGACATGGACCGAAATTTTGGGCTTTATGTCCGCCTAAATATCCGACATAGGGCCTCAAGATTGGCCATTTATGTCCGCACTAGGATCAAACATATATACCAGTATGCCGGGGTCCTCCCCCAGTGCCTCTTTCCCGAGATGCATCTCCAGCTCCAGCTCTAGCTTCCGGTATCGAAGAACAGCCAGAGCCGAGTATGGGAGACGCTCGCGAGGTGTCTCCAGATGCTACTGAGAAATTAGATCAAGAGGAGGAGGACGATAAGAAACAAGAGGAGGCTGTGGAGCGTCAGCTCGCACTGATACGAGAGGCCAGGAGACAACGCCACCATGCCCGAAATGCACGCCGCAACGCACTACTCACTCTCTCCCGTTTGTCAGCTGACTCCCTGTCCTGTATATTCCGCGAGTACTCTGCGAAGGATGGCAGCGTGGCTGTATTCCGTCTTGCACAGGTTTGTCAGAAATGGCGCTGGGTGGCTTTCCGAGACCCACAGTTATGGACCGAGATCCACAATCCCAAGAATGTCGAGCTCACGAGGAAGATTCTCGAGTTATCAGTCAATCATCTTTTCAGTGTCACTCTCTTGATAAACAATGAATCATCAACTTATGACTGGCGCGCCGAAAAACGAACCAAGGCGGGAGGAGAAATACTACATCTTGTGCAGGAACATGCGGAAAGACTCCTCTCGTTTTCTTATACAATCATGAGACGCCCCGCTGACACTTCTTTGGTGGACTTCCGCTTGCATGCTCCTTGTCTCAAACATTTAATGCTCTCAGGCCCGTTTCCTCGAGAGCTCTCACGACTTTACACTCCTGCCCTGGAGACTCTCGAAGTCACGAGAAGCGCCGAAGCAATGTGTCTGCTTGGGACTTCGTGCCTTCCTCAGCTGAAATCATTCCATTGTTCTTCACCAAATCCCAATGATCGGTACTCTTACATGCGTCGGCCCAAGCTTACGGTGGACTTCATTCTCTCGGCACTGTGCAGGATGCCATCTATAGGAGATCTTGAGCTTTCTTCAGCTGTCTCTTGGTCTCCCGAGATTGAGGAAGGGAGTGAGCGGGACGACAACGACAACGATGTATACGACGGGAACGAGGGGGAAGAAGGGGAAGAAGGGGAAGAAGGGGAAGAAGGGGAAGAAGGGGAAGAAGGGGACGAAGGGGACGAGGGGGACGAGGGGGACGAGGATGGATATGCGGATGAGGAGTCAGCTTCGTCATCGTCAGACGGCATAATCAAGCTACGTGCGCTCAAGTCATTGCGATTGACGAACGACCCCGCTAGCTGTATGGCCTTGCTATCACGCCTTGAGCCAATTCACGGGCTCAGTCTTTCTGTTCATATCACCACTGGCTCTGTGTCGGACCGCGGATCTCTTTTCTTAGGTATCATTGACTTTTTTCAACGGTCGCAGGGCGGCGCGCAACACTTCCACACTATCAAAGTCTCCGAACTCGATCTTCGGGCGTGGACAACACGCCAACCCGTCATTAATGATCTACCGAAAAGCAATCCCGCACTCCTTTACGATCTTCGTAAAAGGGAATACGGGTCATGGGCGAACTACCTCCCTTTCACCTACCTGCACACGAAGGTTGAGTCCGAGCGTAGCACGGGAACGCTCGTGCATCTACAGCATTTGCATCTTCACGGCCAACACACGGCTCTGTATTTCTTGGAGGCGCTCGTAGACGAACTGCTTTTTCCTGCTATGACCAGCATGACCTTCGATGGTGTCGACTTCGCTCCTCGTGATCGGACAGAACCGCGGCCACATAAACTTCTGCCCGCCTTCCTCGAAAACCGATGTAGACGAAAATCACCCCTTACAAAACTAACGATCATCCGATGTTCAGTTTCAGCGCAGATGATAGGCAAATGGAAAAAATTAGTTCGAGCATTGCTATGGGAGAGCCGCCCGGAATTTTGAACATGGCGCCGTGAGGGAACGGGGGGATGCAGGCGAAAATGGAGTTTGGGGACGGTCGGAGAACCTGCCAGTTCGCTGGGGGCTACATGAAGACGGTATACACCGCGACTAGGTCGTACATAGCGTAATAAAGCAGGTGGGAAAGTCCAAAAGTTTATGAACATCGAGCGACACGCTTCAGTATAAACCTCCCGCAGAAGCCAAGCAACTCGACACTGTCATAGACGAAATTAGGGACAACGTGCCGCTGCCACAATAGTACTCAATAAACAAGACTCGCCTCTTTTGCAGCGAACTGTTTCCTGGCGTTAGATCGCAACTGCAATGGATGTAACCGATACATACAAGGCGAGAGCGAAGTAGATACCTCTCCTACCCGTTCCCGAGTGCAGACGTCACGCGCCCAACGCAGGCAGAGGCACACCCCCGCCTGGCGTCGGCGTCGGCGCATCCCTGCCGGTCACAGCAGCGGGCAAATTCACCCTCAACTCGTTCGCTAGCCCAAGTGGCGCGCCCGAACTTGGGGGTTCCGGGTTCTGCGTGTTCTGCGGCGTCGACACAAGAGAAGTCTCCTCGACTTCATTCGACTCATCCTGCCCCTGAGAGCGCTGAGGCTGGGCCGTAGGCGCTGACCGGGGCACGTCCTCGAGACTGCTCGCGCTGTGCGTGCCAAGCTTCCGTCCCTCGATGATCCTCACCACCTCGCCGAACACCTCCTCACCGTCCCATTTCCCATCCGGACCGATGAGGTGGAGCCGTTCCGCGTCGGCGTACGATTTGGACTGGGCGATGGCGTCGTGGATGGCTTTGTGCTCGGCTTTGGGGATGTTCGGGTGCAGGCCCTTAAATTGGGCTACGCACCACTTTGTGGAGGACCAGTGGTTGTCGAGGTATTTACACTATCGCATGAGGCGTGGTTGAGTGATGGAGTAGAGCCAGAGTAAGGGACGTACCATGCGAATGTAGGGAGGTACGAGGGTCTTCTCAAGGTCTGTAAGGGGTGTGGGGTCGAAGCAGGTAGGATTTGACTCTGCCGCGGTCGCAATCATAACGGAATGTGCGCCTGGACGTACGCTCCCTTCATATTCCATACAAGGCCTGGGAGTGAAAGCAACATACCTGTGATCTCTCGCACTCTCTTCGCATCCTCGTAACACACACAATCCCCGTTCGCAATGACCGCTACTCCTTTTCCCATGCCCTCCACAAACTCGACAATCTCCCGCAGGCGCTCAATCAGGGCGCGCTCCTTCGGCCTCATGTTCCTCGTCCGGCAGTGGACTGTCAAGCAGCTGATCCCCGTATCAACTATCTTCTTCACGAGGTCAAGAGTATCCTTCTGGTCGGGTAACAACCTTATTTTCGCTGACACGGTTATATGTTCCGGGAGATTCTGCCGTAGCTTGGTGAGGATAGAACAGAGCAGATCGGGGGTCGAGAGGAGAGCAGCACCCATCCCAGCATGTGTGGAGAACGGTTTCGGGCAGCCGCAGTTGAGGTCAACGCCAGACACGTCTTGTAGCACCGTCTGGGCTGCTTGGAGCGCAGTGTCCGGGTCCGCTGAGCCGATTTGGTAGATCAGGTAGGGTTTTTCGACGGGATGTGTGGTGAACATCGCTTTGGATTTCCCATTATATGAGACGACGCCGGTCGCGGCTGGAGGATGAATTGTTAAAGGATATCTAACGGAGTAATGGGTCCATGCTCACGATCCACCACCCTCTCAGCATGCAGAATAGCTTTATCGACTATCTCCGGCCCCCAGACCAGCTTCGCCCCGTGCTTTAGCGCGTACAGTCGTGTCGGCACTTCATTAGCCATAAATTCAGTGTCGATACCAGCAAACAAAAGACGAAGTCGAACCTACAGGCACCGGAACGAACCATAGGTGCTAAGACCACACCGTGCTTGAAGTCTTCGGAGGTGAGATGATCCAGTCTAGGGCGTTTGGCCTCTCGCGCAGGCGGAGAAGTAGAGAGAGAACGTCGAGACATCTTAATAGTCGGTCTTGCTGCGTCCTTGAAGACCTTAGCCCAAGAGAAGATCATAAGCAACGGCCAGACTCAGCTGGCGAGCGCAAGAGAGGATCGGATATTTTGGGGGGAGAATGCTGTGGCGTGGGAAGTGTTGGGCCACAATACGACGGCTCAAGCCACAAAGAGATTGGATTTGGCTACAGTGGGTTATGTACATGCATACATCTACCAAATTTCAGCGACGTTCCCCAACGTTCCCCTCACATCAAACAGTCGTCAAAATAGGTCTAAAGTCCGTGGCCTGCTGCAACTAGTCTTAGTGCGTTTAATCTTCATACACTGTATGATACACGGTATCATCGGTATGGTACATGCATGGAGGTCATCTTGTACAGCACTTAGTACGTCGATCTTATAATTCCAGCCCAAAGGCGAGGGTTCTGCTTATGAGTGGCAGCTCTACGGCGGGAACAGCTGGCAGCGCTGCGTCGTTGACATCTGAGTAAATCGACAGGGAGACGAATTCAAGTGCCGACATAAGATGGTACGGATGTTAATGCATACTTTTGATCATGATATAGCTATAAGATCTGGGGTCGGAGGGCGGTGGCCCATTCGACAGGGTTGAACCGAGCATACAGTAGGTTGTCGTTGATAATCTAGAGTACACAAAGCTCGATGCCTTTCCCGGACGAACCGAGATTGCACTCGTAGGACAGAGTTCCAGAGACCATTGCATAAAAAAATGGTTGACTATGGACACCGACTTCGAGGTGTCGAAGTACCACAGCACCCGCAGAGTTTGCCTATGAGCGCTGGAGCCATAGCCCAAAGTAGCCTACCCGAGAGTGCCTTACATTCGTTGATCTTCGGTCAATGGGTGGCCCATGTGCGTCTATATTCCCTCGCATCCAGCACACACAAGAGATAGATGTACACAGACCTGAACGGCGGCTATAGCGTACAACAGACTTTTGTTGGGGTCCCATGTAGTCGCGGACTTACAGGCAGTTTGTAACTGACCGCACCGAGCAAACACTCCTAATCTTTGGGAACTACTCAGGATATGAGATAAAAGTGCATCATCAGTTAACGTGCGACTGACCAGGTGGTATGTCCACTTCTTCTGGGCTCAAGTACCAAGCACCTAACCGTGTGAACCCATCAGCGAGCAACACTCCAAGTAGCCATACCATCTCTACTCACGATCGCCTGAATTGGTCTTCTCGTTATACGTCTGCCCGTCCCCAAGCCAGTGGAACCTATTCTTGATGGGCTCCAACAGGGTATAATCGAAGTCTTCCCAGCGAGGATGTGCCAGTGTGCGGGCTGCATGCAGACATGATCCTATATATGGCGGAATTGACATATCAGGCTCGATCCCAATGAAGGTGACTGAAGTAACGTGCGCACCGGGCCAGAGACCAACTACGCGGCCCTCCTCCTTGCCCATCTTATACCAGGATCGACACTTCTGGCTGAAAACGGTCTGCAGAGCGTACGTCAGTCTCGCTCGGCGGACTAAAAATCGACCCCACTTTCGCAAAATACGCCTTTAGAAACGAAATCATGAGTGCGTATTCCAGATCTCAACATCGCGCGCGCTAAATCTCACCTCCAAATACTCATCAAAGTCGTCCACCGCTGCCTTTTTCACCTCCATACTCCGAAGTCTTTCCCTCTGCATCTTCAGCGTCGCCTGCACGCAATACTCCAGTTGCCGCTCGATAATCAACACCAAACTCCCCGAGCCAACAAACGAGTTTGGCCCAAGGCTCTGGAACCAGTTGGGGAACCCGTCGACGCAAATGCCCAAGTATGTTTTCGGGTGAGGCGTGAACTTGTCCTGTAGGGTGACTCCGTCGCGTCCGACGAAGGGGAACGGGTACTTGAAGGACGTGTCGAAGCCCGTCGCGCAGACGATCACGTCCAGCTCGTAGTGTCGCCCGTCCGCCATCTCAATCCCGGTCGGCGTCACCCGCTTAATCTCCGACGTCTCAAACGTCACCTGTGTGTCACAGTCAATGTCTCCAGTCTAAATTATGTTGGCAGCACAGAATACCCACATTATCCTCGCACAGCGCCTCGAGATATCCGGGCCCGGGCGTCAGTCGGCGGCACGCGACCGGAAAATCGGGGATAACTGGACATGACGGTAGCAAATTTAGAGACAGAGCAGGTGTCGGAACAGCCAGAAACGCACTGTGCTCCGCTATCCATGGCTTCTTCCCCAATCTTTTCTTCATGTTCTCCTTGAACGCCTCGCGAGCACCTTGCTGCTGCGTACTCCCTCGCAGCGTCACGCCGTGGATGGACTACGTCATGGTAAGCTGGGTAGAAGAAAGACGGAGGAATGAAATTGAAAATGACGAACGTTCAAATCAGCTTCCAGCTCGTGTCGGAAGTTCCTGTAAAACTCCGGGTCTTCCTTGAAGCGTTTCTTGTCCTGTGCGGTGAACTTATCTATGTAGCTTGTTGTCGGTGTGAGAGCAGAGAATGAGGCCGACTCGCACGCACAGTTCGTAGCACCGGGATTGAGCTTCAACAGCTCCGCCATCTTCTCGCCCGAGAACGGTGTCGCGAGCCATGTCTTCCCGCGCACAAAATTCACTACCTGTTTCACCTTCGGTTGCAGCGCGGGCACAATCTGAATCGCGGAACTTCCCTGTGTCCAAGCCCCGTTAACATCCGCCGTGCTGCGTCAAGTAAGACAAGGGAGGGGGGCACTTACCACGCCAATTACTCCGACCTTCTTGTCCCCCCAATCACGTACGCCCTCTTCCCAATGGCCGTCAGTAACGTCCCATTGCGCGCTGTGCAGCACCCGACCCTTGAAATCGGACAGTCCTGCGATGTCCGGCCAACTCCATCGGCCAAGTGAACCGAGACTCGTGAACAGCACGTCCGCCGTGTCTTCAATATCCTCATACTGCGGATTCTCTGGCGTGGAGTTCGGGGAAGGTCGCCTGAGCGTCAGGCGCCACTGTGAATTCTGCGCGTCCCAGTACGCGCCTGTGAGCTCGTGCGATAGCTTGAGATACTTGTGCACTTTGTATTTGTCCGCGACGCGTTCGAGGTAAGCACGGATCTCGGGACCAGGGGCATAGAATGCCGACCAGTCAGTCTGGAGGTAAGGAAGGGATTGTAGATCGGCTTTTTTCGGAGGATAGTAAACGGACTTACATTTTCTTCAAAGGTATATTGGTACTATATACGAGTGGTTAATATAACGTCAACCTACCACACAAAGTGGGGGTGAGTGGGACCTACAGTGTGGGAAGGAAGGTCGCAAGCCAGGCCCTAGCATAAGAGATATCAGCATAGGGGTGTCGAGCCAGAGAGACGGACAGCTTACGGGGTACTTGTTCAGGTACCAAGTACCGCCCACTGCTGGATTCTTGTCATATATCGTCAGATTCACATTGGGTACCTTTTGCGGAAACCTGAGTATCCGTCAAACCCTCACCTACTCTTGTCAAACGTGTTCAAGGACCTACCGAATTCCTGCAGCAATGCCGCTGAAGCCCGCGCCAATACAGACAACCTTGATAGTCCTGTACTCATCAATAGAGAACTCGCCCGGCTTGTACTCGGGAAACTCAGGTGCGCTCATAATTGGCTCGGTCGTAGATGCGCCGTCGGACATGATGGGCAGGAGAAGACACGCCGAAGCAAGCAATGGGGGTACCACTTGGGTGAAGGGGGGTATATATACTGTTGTATGACGTCCTGATCCCGACAAAAGAGCTGACTACATGGCTTCTGTTCGATTACTCATTGAAATCCAAACGGAATGCAAAGCATGAGCCTGCCACCAGAAGTCAGTGGGATCGACGTACCACAGAGGACACGTACGTCCGCGGCAGCAGACGCCAAGCTTGCGTGTTCCACAAGGGGCTAGCTAGTGCGAGTCAGTGAGTCAGTGTACGACTAGCGAGGACCTGCGGTGCCGCTGCATTGCTTCTCTTCTCTGTCTTTGCCAGTCATAGTCAGCAAAGTGGAAATGGATCGAAGTTCATTGGGCTAGACGGGGAGGGGAGTTATAGAGAAGACGAAGATCGTCCCTGATACGTAACAATTTCTGTGCTTTCCATTCTTCAGCCAAACCCTGGCCCCAGCACGAGGAAGCTCAGAAACCTCTCGGGTCTTCTTGCAAGTTTAAATCGAGGTGGTCGGGTGGGTACGGGCCGCACACTTTTAGATCTCATATTACATGGGTTATCGTCCGTGATGGCGGAGGAATGACGCTGCGAAGGAATCTAGGTGGTAGCATTGGGCAGTGCTACCCTCTTATCAAGCAGAATGACTGGACGGCTCTCTCACCCTAGCTAGTCAAGCGTATAGTAGGCTCGGTGCTTCATTGAGGGGAGCTGATGCTGGTGAATATGGCTGGTACCAGGCAAAAGACCAAGTTCGAACCCGTATCATGATGAACCAGAACGTGTGCCTCGCCAGCACCGTGCTCGAAGTTCACGTAGGTGGATTATTAACCTGGCTTCGAGAGCCCGCCTCTCATGAGGCGATACTGCACACAGCAAGCATGTTGACATAATAGTTGCATGTCCCTGTACGTGCATGAAGACCGTAACGCAAGGAGAGATCATAAGCAGCAGCTAAGCAGCCTAAGCTTAGGCATCGGACATCCCCGAACGGAAATTCATGTGGCGTGAGAACAAACCGGCCACATCCCACTAGACTTGCCCAGTTGAGCTGCCATGCAAAGTAAATCATAACCCTCTTAGATGGTACATACATTGACGTTATTCCCCAACTCCAAGTCATCCAGAGACAACACTGCCACCCGAATACAACTACGGCTCTCTTGCTTCAAGTTTGCATCATTCATCACCGAAGTCCAAGGTACCACTCCACTTCGCGTTAACAGTGTCATGCATCACCATGCCTTCGTACGACGCGAATGTTCCCTGAGAGGACAACGAATCCCCCAATTTCTCTGCATAAATCTATATACGAGGGTACTTATAATTATTGATAACTGCATACACTGATGATACAGTCTCCAACTTCAGTTTTTGGAAACTCGTACAGTAGTACTGTTGAATTTTCCACAAACATCCTCTCGGTAAAGCTTGTACATACATGTACACGAGGTTGAACATAGCGTCTTTGCAAGTGAAGCCAAGACTGATTATTTAGGCTCTCAGAACTTGGCAGCATCGCCCACGATGACTGGTCATGATCAGGTAACTTGTAGTCCGAGTGGTGCTGCAGCTGGGCATCGGAAGTGACAGGTTGGCAGCGATTGAAATTCTAGTATGGGTGATAACTTCAATTGAACAAGGTCAAGAGCTTTTTTCGTCGATCTGATGGGGGCCATCTTGCAGAATCAAAAGTCTCGCGATCAGAACGCATTAGGCGGCCATTCATTTCTATCCATTCAGCATGATCATGAAAAATTCAGATGTTACACGAGCTGACCAGACCTATCTATTCTACACCACGTTTATAACCCCAAAACCCCCGTACACACATCGTCCTAAAGCTAGTCCCGGAACTATTTAATCCTTGGGAACTTGAAATGTCATCAGAGCATCTCCACGATCGCGGCCGGCGGCAGACTTACTAGGCGGTATATCCACTTCCTCCGGGCTCAAATACCAAGCACCTATTACCAAGTCGATGAGAGTCCTTTACGGGAGGAACGTACAGCAGATCCACTCACGATCGCCCGTCATCGTCTTCTCGTTATACGTCTGCCCGTCGCCGAGCCAGTAGAACCTGTTCTTGACCGGGTCGGCGAGCTCGTAGTCGAAGTCCTCCCAGCGGGGGTGCGCGAGAGCTCGGACTGCGTGCAAACATGATCCTACACAGGACGAAGGTCGCAATGTGAGCCCGATCGTCAGATGTAGAGTGCAGAGATGCACGTACCTGGCCAAAGTCCGACTACGCGGCCTTCCTCCTTACCCATCTTGTACCAAGACCTACACTTCTCGCTGTAGACGGTCTACCTCATCATCAGTCTTTTCGCAGGTTCACCAACCGAACGATCGACTCACCTTGGGGAAGTACGCCTCCAAATACTCATCGAAATCATCCACCGCTTCTTTCTTCACCTCCACCACCTTCAACCGCTCTCTCTGCATCTTCAATGTGGCCTGCACACAGTACTCCAGCTGTCGTTCAATAATCACCAACAAGCTGCCGGAACCGACGCCCGAGTTCGGCCCGAGGCTCTGGAACCAATTCGGGAATCCGTCGACGCACATACCCATGTACGTGCGGGGATGCGGCGTGAACTTCTCGTGGAGGGTGACGCCCCCGCGCCCGACGAAAGGGAAGGGGTATTTGAAGGACGTGTCGAAGCCCGTCGCGCAGACGATCACGTCCAGCTCGTAGTGTCGTCCATCCGTCATCTCGATGCCGGTCGGCGTCACGCGCTTGATTTCGTTCGTCTCGAAGGTCACCTGTGCTCCCCATCGTCAACGACTCCTCTCATGTCACGGTCCATGCTAAGAGACTCACGTTGTCCTCACAAAGCGACTCCAGATAACCAGGTCCTGGCGTCAGCCGTCTGCACGCCACCGCAAAGTCGGGTATGACTGTCCCCAATTATGTGAGTTGACGCGGGATACAAATACCGGGAAGAACGGACTGTGCTCCGCGATCCACGGCTTCTTCGCCAACTTCTTCATCATATTCTCCTTAAAAGCCTCTCGTGCCCCTTGCTGCTGCGCGCTCCCGCGAAGGGTCGCGCCGTGTACGGACTGTGCACGATTCGTTCAGGTTCGGTGTCAGCGTGTCGCGCAGGAGTCCGGACGTACGTTCAAATCCGACTCAAGCTCGTGCCGGAACTTCCTGTAAAACTCCGGGTCCTCCTTGAAGCGCTTCTTATCTTCATCACTGAACTTATCTGTGCGACGCGTCAGCACGGGGGAAGAGACGAAATGACCCTGCACACACAGTTTGCAGCGCCTGCATCCCTCTTCAGCAGCTCCGCCATCTTCTCGCCCGAGAACGGCGTCGCGAGCCATGTCTTCCCACGCACAAAGTTCACCACCTGCTTCACCTTAGGCTGCAGTGCAGGCACGATCTGTATCGCCGAGCTTCCCTTTGTATCAAACCCATATCAACACCTTCCCGCACCACAAAACGGAGAAAATTAGCCTCACAACACCGATCACGCCAACCTTCTTGTCCCCCCAGTCCCGCACGCCCTCCTCCCAATGCCCGTCCGTAACATCCCACTGCGCGCTGTGCAGCACCCTCCCTTTGAATTCACTCAGCCCAGGGATATCCGGCCATTTCCACCGCCCGAGCGCGCCCAAAGACGAGAACAGCACGTCCGCCGTGTCCTCGATGTCTTCGTACTGCGGATTCTCCGGCGTTGAATTGGGAGACAACCGGCGGAGGGTCAACCGCCAGTGTGATTTGCGCTCGTCCCAGTAGGCGCCTGTGAGCTCGTGCGAGAGCTTCAGGTACTTGTGCACTTTGTACTTGTCCGCCACGCGCTCGAGGTACGCGCGGATCTCCGGGCCGGGGGCGTAGAACGCTGACCAGTTGGTCTGAGTACAGTAACATAAGAATGAACTTGTCGGCGTTTGATCGGGAGGCAAAGGGGGGACTTACGTTCTCCTCGAATGTGTATTGGTACTAGATATGCATGGCCGGTTAGATCAACCTTCAAACCTATGCGGGGAGTGTGCGACGTACACAGTGGGAAGGTATGTCACAAGCCAGACCCTTGCGCAAGAGATGTCAGCCTACGCATCGAGTCTCGATTTATGGCTAGCTTACAGGGTACTTGTTCAAATACCAAGCGCCGCCCACCCCTGGGTTCTTGTCGTATATCGTCAAATTCACATTCGGCACCTTCTGTGGAAACCTGGTCGGGTCGTCAGTACCTCACTCGCTCACGGGTTCACCCCACGGAGCTGGACCCAAATACCAGGTGTCGTGCAAAGTGCGAACACTTACCGAATCCCCGCAGCAATCCCGCTAAACCCCGCACCGATACAAACGACCTTGATAGGCCTATACTCATCGATGCAGAACTCGCCGAGCTTATACCCAGTGGGTGCAGCGCCATTGATGCCGGCAGTGCTTGTCGTCGGCTCAGGGGCGGCCGCGCTCAACGTGTGGAGGACTCCCGAAGACATGACGGCGGGGAAGATGCGGGGAAAGGTGCGGGGGCGGGGTAGATAAGTGCGGGGGGGGGGTATATAGATTATGGCTAGCGGCCCTCATCTGACCCAAGCGGGAAATCGGTTTAGCAGGGTTGTACGGAACGGCAGCGAGATTGAAATACTAGGGTTGCTGTGCGAGATTCGGGCTCGTCACTGTCAAAGTCGAGTCACGAGCAGCAGGGCAGCTCCTTATTGCCAAAAGCATTTACGCTGGTCGTCGTCGAAAGCAGTAAACAGTAATGCCATGAGAACGTAGAAATGAAAGCTAGCCTGAGCAGCAATGAGCAGACAACGTCGTGAAACGAAGAGCTCGTATCATCAAGGGTGTCTGCTTCGACAGTGCTCGGGGTCGACGATGCCGTAGGGATCGGCGCAGAAGGCACGGGGAAGGCTCTCGGATCTTGTTCCAAGTCGAGGACGTCAACCGCGGTCAGCTGATGACATACGTGACTGAGACGTGTTGGCCGTCGTCGTCGTTGTCGTGTTCGGCGCCCACGCCTTTACTCCCGCCAACTCATTTGAAGCGCCATTGCGATATAGTATGAAGCCTGCTACACGTCCGTCCGCGATACGCCGCGTGAATGTTGGTGGAGGGAGCATTCAGCCGGCTCGCGCTTTCACGAATTCTCAGCTGAGACCGCGGCTGCCCAGGGTATCAGAGCAGAATGTATCGCTCGAAGGGAGGATAGGTATGTCTGGGCTGCGGAAGTCGTCACCGTTCCCCGGCTCGTCGACGCAGGCGAGGGCGCTCGCTACGGCTGCAGGTAAGAGCAGAAGTCCAGTATGGTGGTGGTAGAGGAGGCGTAAGGCGGATATTTCGCAACTAACTTCCCCTTATTCCCCTCCCCCCCCCCAGAAGGCACCGTTTCCCTTCGAACAAGGAAACCACATTTCGACAAGATTCTCATAGCGAACAGGTATGCACATTCCTTACTCGTTCTCTTCCACCTTTCCCTCTGCTGACAGAACAAACGACCAGAGGTGAGATTGCATGCCGTGTCATCCGAACGGCGAAGAAGCTGGGCATCAAGACCGTCGCTGTCTACTCTGATGTCGATGCAGATTCAATGCATGTGAAGATGGTAAAGTCCGCACACGCCAGATGTTTGTATGTGGGTCTCACATGCACCCGTAGGCAGATGAGGCTTACTGTATCGGCCCCGCACCTTCAGCGGAGAGCTATGTACGTCTCATCCAGGTAGAAGCTCTTCTGGAAGGCAGCGCCAACCTTCGAAATAGCTTCGTATCGAGAAAATCATCGATGTATGCAGGCGAAGCGGCGCACAGGTCAGTCCTTCTGTCTACTATCCTGGCCTCTTTCTAACTGACCGAATGAACCCTTTCTTTAGGCGGTCCACCCAGGGTAATCACCTTTCCTTGCGTACTTTCCTGGTGCACTGACAGCTATGGGGACACAGATACGGTTTCCTGAGCGAGAACGCCAAATTCGCGGAGCGTCTGTCGGAGGAAGGCATCGTCTTCATCGGGCCACCCGCGAGCGCCATCGTCAGCATGGGGTCGAAGAGGTGAGCTCTATCCCCACGCCGAGGTAATGGCCTTCTCCATGACCGCGACAACGCGTATAGCGAGTCGAAGAATATCATGATAGGTACTTCTCATTTCGCTCTTAACAGATGAACCCCAGATACCGATGTAGGACTGTTTGCACCAGCTGCTGGCGTACCATGCGTACCCGGCTACCACGGGAACAACCAAGACCCCGACTTCCTCCTCGAAGAAGCCAAGCGCATAGGTGCGTCTCCTCTGTTCCATCTCCTCTCCCACCTCATTTCCATCTCATCCTCCCAACAGGTTTCCCAGTCCTCATCAAAGCCACCCACGGCGGCGGCGGCAAAGGAATGCGCGCCGTCGACTCCCCCTCTGCATTTTCTGATGCGCTCGCCTCCGCCAAGCGCGAGTCGGCGAAGTCCTTCGGCGACGACACTGTGCTGATAGAACGGTACATTACGCGGCCACGGCATGTGGAGGTACAGGTGTTCGCGGATACGCAGGGGGGCGTGGTGAGTCTGTGGGAGCGGGACTGTTCGGTGCAGAGGCGGAATCAGAAGATTATCGAGGAGGTGAGCGGCTGGTTGATATGGATTGCATTTGATATCGTAAGGACTAATTAATTTGGTGTGTGGTAGGCACCGGCGCCGGGGCTGTCACCTGAGCTCAGGGCCGACCTGAGCGCGAAGGCGGTCGCTGCGGCTAGAGCGGTGAACTACGTCGGCGCCGGCACGGTTGAGTTTATCTTTGACAACGACACACAGGAGTTTTACTTCATGGAGATGTAGGTCGTCCCACATAATCAGCCTCCTATTGTCTTTTCGTCGTCGTACTTTCTGCTTACTTGGGTGGTGATGTAGGAACACGAGACTCCAAGTCGAACACCCCGTCACGGAGATGATCACAGGCCTCGACTTGGTCGAATGGCAACTAGAGGTATAGTGATATCGGACCCACTCACTCGTTCCCCTGGCATCTTACCCTCACGCTTGGTAGGTCGCCGCGGGCAACCCGCTCCCCCTGTCGCAGTCCGCAATCCCGCTGCACGGGCACGCCTTCGAGGCGCGCATCTACGCTGAGAACCCGCGCAACAATTTCCTGCCGGACTCGGGGCGGCTGCTGTACCTCTCCACGCCCCAACCGACGTGTGCGTTCGCGCCGGCCGTCGTGCCTGCGCTTAGGGAGGAAGAAGCCGCGTTGTACCCCACCTTGTCGACCTTTACTTCTACTTCCACGTCTCTGACTGGAGAGGGGGCCCCGGCGGTAAGGATCGAGCAAGGCTTCGGATCGGGCGCACAGATTGGCGTGTTCTACGACCCGATGATCGCGAAGCTCGTCGTGCATGGGAGAGACCGCACCGAGGCTCTCCGAGTGCTCCGCAAGGCGCTGGAGGAGTATAAAGTCGTGGGCGTATCGACGAATGTGGAGTTCCTCCGCATCCTGGCCAGCCATGGCGCGTTTATTGATGGGGAAGTAGAGACGGGGTTCATTCCGGTTGGTCTTTTCCGGCCCGTCTCATGTTTGGAGGGAGTGTCTGGGTTGCTGATTCTTTTTGTTGAATGTCAGAAACATTTCGAGGAGCTGTTCCCGAATGTGGGTGAGCCGGAGCCGGAAGTGCTTGCGCAGGCGGCACTCTTCGCGGCGTTGCGGACCCAGCTGCGCGGTAATGGTATGTCGGCGTCGCCGTGGGTATCCCTCACCTCCAGGCGGTTCGGCGGGGACACTGCGGGACGTATCATTACCCTGCAGAACGAGGGTGAGAATGCAGAGCCCATCACTGTGCATGTCGTCCCCCAACCGGGTGGAGTGTTCGACGTCACTGTTCAGACGGCATCATCCCAGACCGAGTTCAGAGGCATGTCTGCGCGGCTCGTGTCACTCACGGAGCTTGCAAGCACTGTCAATGGACAGTCGTCAAACACGACGATCGTGGCTCAGCCACCACCTCCTAACGTCCCCCCCTCGAGCTCGCCGAATACTATGGAGCGGCTGCACATCTTCCACAACGGGCGCAAATCCACTCTCGTCTTACCTTCGCCGAAGTGGCTGCTGAGCCTGGGCGGCGACGTGCTGAATGCGGCGAAGGGCGCGCTGCGTGCGCCGATGCCGAGTTTGGTGGTGGAGGTACGTGTGGGCGTGGGCGAGCGCGTGGAGGAGGGGCAGGCGGTGGTGGTGCTGGAAAGTATGAAGACGGAGACGGTGTTGAGAGCCGGCGTGGCGGGCGTTGTGAGGGCTGTGGGATGCAAGAAGGGGGAGATGGTGGAGGAAGGGAGGGAGTTGGTGGATATCGAGGAGGATGCGGAGGGGAAGTAGGGATGGACTCAGGGAGTAGTGAGTTCAGGGGCTCGGGAATTGTACTTTTGGTGTGTAATTTTATTGCGCAGAGAGTCGTCTTATTTCGACCATGCCCTCTAACAATGATCACGCAGTATGCGATTAATATTCAGCAGGTGTTCGTAGTGCTTATCGGTGTTCAGGTGTCGCGGGGTTTCCGGACCGGATCTCTTACCTTACCCTTCCAATCATGACTCCCAGCCTCAGGATGACTCCAGCTCCGAAGTCATTGCTTTTCTCCTCCGCGCTCAGCTGTTATGCTCAACTATCTTGAGCCCATGGGAGGATCGACATGGATAGGCCCTTCACACCAGGACGCGCATATGCCAGGTACCATGACTAATCATGGACATCGTCGTCCGCGGAAGGCAGGCTTCCGTTCCAATATGAGTTCTTCGATCTCATGAGAAGACCTAGTGCTACCTTATAGTATCCTATCCCCGCGAGCGTGGTCGTAGGAAAAGCTTCTGACCTGTGTCCATCAATCTAAGAACTGTTCATCTCCCTTCTGCCCATGGGAGAAGCGGGAATCCACCTAAATCGTTCATCCGCTAGCACTCACAATGTTCACATGACCAAAGGTAGGTATAGCGTAATTCTCCTACTATAAGACTGGTATGTAGGGTCGACGTGGGGCACAAATCTGTGTCGCTGAACTACCGCAGAGTACGAAGAGACATGCCGACTGGTGTGTATACTTATTAGTCTATGTCATGGAGATATGCTCATGTGTGTAGGTGAAACGAATGGCGTTGATGGGACCAATGGAATCAATGGCCATTTCAACTCTTACAAGCTTGGAGATTTCTCAATAGACGAATACCGGCCTATCCGCGTCGTCTGCATCGGCGCAGGTGTGAGTGGCATCGTAGCCGGGATCAGGTACGAACCTTCGCCCCAATATCAACTTTTCTCTCCCTAAACGGCAGCTTGATCACCCAGGTTTCCGCAGAGGGTTCCGAACCTGGACTTCACGATCTACGACAAGAACGCTGGCATCGGTGGGACTTGGTACTCCAACAAATATCCGGCAAGTTTCTCGTGGACTCAGATCCAACCCAAATGTAACCTGACTACCGCACGTATGTTCAGGGTCTATCCTGTGATATCCCATGTCATACGGTGGGAGTCCATAGAGAAATTCTGAATTCTCTGGCGCTAGCTCACCAGACTCCTCAATAGTACCAATACGTATTCGAGGAGAATGTCAGCTCTCCCTATAGTATTCCCTTTTTCTATCCGTACTAACTCCCGCCTAGACGGAATGGTCAGCATTCTACGCACCAGGCGACGAGATCCGTCAATACCTCGAACGCGTCGCAACAAAGTACAAAGTCAACAAGTACATCAAACTGCAGCACGAGCTTGTCGGCGCGTACTGGGAGGAGGACCAGGGGAAGTGGAGACTGCGCATTCGCCGGCCATCACCCGATAGCACACCAGAGAACCCGCAGTATGAGGTGTTCGAGGATAAGGCAGACGTGCTGTTCACGGGCATCGGGTTGCTCGCACGGTGGAATTGGCCGGATATTGAGGGGCTGAAGACTTTTAAGGGGCGGATGCTGCATAGCGCGCAGTGGGATGTGAGCGATGGGCATTGGGAGGAGGGCGTCAAGGACTGGGGGGAGAAGAGGGTTGGGGTCATCGGAGTCGTGAGTTACAGCTCGGTTCGCCCTGAGTATGGGTATACGTACGCTGACTTGAACGACTAGGGGAGCTCCGCGCTGCAGATAGTGCCGGCGCTGCAACCCCGGGTGAAGCACGTGGTTAATTTTGTCCGAGGGAAGACGTGGCTGGCTAGACCGTTCTTGGAGGAGAAGACCGGGGAGCTGCTGGGGAGGGACACGAGGGATAATCGTATGTGCGGTCATTTTCGTCCACATGATTTCATCTCATCTCGTCGTATGATACAGACAAGTTCACCGAAGAAGATAAGCAGCGCTTCAGGAACCCTGCGTTCTACAGGAAATTCAGGCACATGCTGGAGCAAGAGCTAAATGTACGTTGCCTTTCCTCCCATCGAATCGCCTCAAAGTTCTGACCCACTTCTACTTGCACTCCTCAAACACGGCGCAGAGTATCCACGCTTCGACTCTCAAAGGCACCAAACAGCAACAAGAGGCGCGAGAGGCATTCCAGCAGAATATGCGGGAGCGGCTTGCAAAGAAGCCGTGGATCGCTGACCACCGTGAGCAGTTTGTCCACCTGGCTTTCGTCAGCCTTTGAACGACGTCACGGCGCAGTCATTCCCGATTTCGGAGTGGCATGCAGGAGACTGACGCCCGGCCCCGGATACCTCGAGGCGCTGTGCCAGGACAACGTGCGTCGTGCTTACTGGCACAGAGTACAAACCGCGGTTTAAGCCATATGTGCTCTTGCAGGTCACGTTTGAGACAACACATATCAAGCGCATAACGGAGACGGGGATCGAGCTCGTTGACGGGAGGCACTACGATCTCGACGTTATCGTCTGCGCAACAGGTACTCCTCCCTCCATCCTGCTCCCCCTGCCTCCCCTTCCCTTCCCATCATAGACCTAACCCATCACAATTCAGGTTACGACACCTCCTTCCAATATCCCTTCCCCTTCGTGGGGCAGAACGGCGTCACCCTGCAGGAGAAGTATAAGCCCCACCCACGGACTTACCTCGCACTCACCGTCGACGGGTTCCCGAACTGGTTCCAGTCGTTCGGCGCGAACTCGGGGTTCGGCTCGGGTAGTCTTTCGGCGATACTCGAGGCGCAGGTGGTCTATGCGGTGCAGGCGACGCTGAAGCTCCAGCGGGAGCGCTATAAGAGCCTAGTGGTGAAGAAGGAGGCGGTGGACAACTTCGACGAGTATTTGGAGGCTTATTTTCCTGGAGTGAGGACATCTCGCTGTTTCTTATGATGTTCTGACGTGTGGACCCCCTGTCTAGACTATCTACAGCGAGAAGTGCCGATCTTGGTACAAGGCGGGTAAAGAAGAAGGCCGCGTAGTCGGTCTATACCCCGGTACGTCTCCGATAATGCTCCATACCGTGATACGTGATTGAGATAACTCATAATTAAGGTTCGTGCCTGCACTACTTACGAGCCATCACGCACCCGCGGTGGGAGGACTACGAGTACCAGCCGCTTGATCCCGTTAGGAATAGGTTTTATTGGCTTGGAGACGGCCAGACGTATAATGAGAAGACACTGACGGGTGACAGTGAGTATCGTCGTGGTGTGCCTTGGTTCTCAGAATCATTGACTGCTTTCTGTAGGGGCGTGGTACTTGAGTCCTGAGCAGATCGATTATCCACCGAGTGAGTTTCAAGCGCGATTGGCAGATATTTGTTCTGACGAAGGAATTTTGCAGTTCCAGAGGATTGAGGATCAGTTTCACGGTATGCGCTCGGCGGGTAGCGTGGCATGTTGCCTATATCTTGCATCTTTTCGAGATGTGTTATTTGTTCAGTATATATTCGGACGTCCGGAGCACCCGAGGTCTTCTGCTCATTCCCTCAACTAATTGCCAGTATGAGTAGCATTCCGTGGAGGAAGTTTGAGACGCATGCACCACTGAGTCCGAGACCTGAGGCCTGAGAACCGAGTCGACTGTACATGTGAAGGTCCAAATAGTAGAGTATGTGCCGCTGTCAACGAGGAATCAATGCCAAGAGAGAAATCGGGGCTCTTTCGTCGCAGGGCGCTCTTCCCCTTCCCATGTCCCATGTGTGTACCCCTTCATAGTTATCGCGGCCAGCCATACTACATACTATGGCCCAGGTTTGGAGCATGGTCCCAGTCGGCAAATCCCGTGCAACTCCTTGCGAACAACTCTGACTTGCAATTGACTCTGACGCCGATACTTACACAGTTCAACGAAGCTTTCATTGTGTCCGAACCTAGTGGATGACCATCCGCAAGTTTGGTCATTATGAGCCGCTTTCCTAGCAAGTCCTCGCATGCAAAAATGTCCGGGTTGGGTGACATCAAATTTGGTCAACCACGCCGGGTCGTGACGAAGTCTCGCGTACTCGTATTGATTGCCAGTGTCGCGCGTTTCTGCTCGTAGCTTGCGCATCGTCACTTGCAAAGTAGTGACCTTATCACCACTGGATTCGGCGATTTTATCGGCACAGACTTGTGGAGATGTGGGTCCTTGTTGAGCAGATGTTATAACTTCTTGCACACGTGACATCCGTGTCTGGTAGGCATTACAAGATTCTTTGGCTCCGCTCGACTAATTCTGGTTCACTCAGGGTCAGGGACGCTGATCTGGCATAGTATGCTTGGGCTCCGTTAATTATAGCGAATAGTCCAAGAACGCACCCACACAGCAACGGGCTTAGCCGCTGTAAGTGTCATTTTGAGCCGTATCGGGTGAAATCAAGCGCTGAATTGTGGGTACGATATATGAGCATGAAATTTGAGCACTTTGCTGTTACACAGCTCTAGCGTCTCCGGTCTTACTGCCGCTTTTAAGGGGCTATATCCCTTCCACCAAAGCCTCTATTTCTTGAGACGACATCTCTTGGTCATGGCGAACAAGGCGGCATGGGATATATATCCCAAGGAGTTAGCTATCTATGGCTATGGAGTCGCACTATGGCAGCCAAACCCGCCTTCCGTGAACGAGAGACCTAACTACGAAAAGATAGAGGTCGGCGACATAGGCACCATCCGATCAGGCCAATTTCAGCTTCTCTTCAATGTATTTCTCGATGGTACGCATCCGCGCCAGACGAAGGGCGTTCCAGTTAGCTTTACGCCCTTGCTCCCCCCGATAATGCGATATCGAGATCCCGGAGAGGTACTACGGGAAGTTGCACCGTATCGAGGGGATCTAGATGTCATGCCCTTGAAGTCTGACAATATCAGCTATGTTTCCGCCTCGGCTTCAGCATCTGCGGCACCGTGAGCCATCTCCATAGCAAGACTTTGAGAGTATGTATTGATGGTGTTGTACGCTAGGGGACCTATACCTCTCCAAGCGGGAGCGCAATTCACGTTCAAATTATCGAAGAAATCCGGGGGTTTACTTCTATTCCATAAGCCTGCCATGCGATACGAGATGGAAGATACCGGTCCTCTCGAAATATATGTCAGGCGCAACTACAAATCTTGGATGACTTGGGTTAGGGAAGAACTCCAGTGGAGTGTCGACTTGTCGGATCTACACATCGTAACAGGGGTCATCAGGACTTCTGAGTGGAGAACGGCTACCTGGAGTACCTCGGATACGTCCTTCAGTGCTACGGCGAGTCTGTCTATGCCCGGGGTCGCCGACGGCTCTCTGTCTCTAGGAAGACATTGGATGAGCCCTAATCAAAGCATAATGACAAATCAGGGCCCTGCACCGCACAAGTCCCACCTTACTACTGACAACCAAACCATCTTCATCAGTGCCCTTAGAATGAAGAGTCGCGGGCCCCTTTTTCCTCCCAAACTTTACGCCGCAGCAGACCCCCACGATCTGGGAAGCGGCGAAAGGGATACAGATACTATGCCTGAGGTCGTTCTACAGGACTACGATGACTCCGACATCGACATCATCAGGATTCCGGATCATAGCAAGGTACGCATACATACTCTTCATTGCAATGGCGAGATTCCTAAGCGCTGGTCCCGGTGGACAAACTCAGGATAAGGATCCGTTGTTGCCGATCCAGGACTATATCTTAGAAGTGAGCTCAGGCTGGTGGGCGCATCCGAGACTCGATGTAATGACCCCTGTTAGGTATGCCCTGATGCAGAGGCCGCACTGGCGCGCGACTCGGACCTTCTGCCGTACCTTGAAGTACGTGAGTTAGGTGCCGAGTGATAGTACAATGTTAATGTGTATTCAGGGCAGCTATGATGCTAGTGCGATCCGCGAGCGCCTGAAAGTACTGAATCCTCAGGTTGTATTGGACAGTGGTGGTAGGTTGTGCTCTCTCTGGGCGGCTCTTTCTAAACGCCCATGTGCACAGTTGGCACCCTCAGGCATCCCGAATACAGCGTCATTGTCCATCGTTTTCTCCAGTGGGAAGCAAGGAACGCCCCCGTGCCCTTACCTGGTATCCTTAACGATGTAGAAAGTCTCGTACACACATGTGAGGACGTTAACGGGAACAAGTTCGTAAAGTGATAGATGAAGTTTGTCTACACTGACCTTTGATACAGGCGCGCCGCACGTCATCTATGTGAATGGCTCTGTGAAATGGCCTTCTTCTCGAGACGATACCCTGGTGTACAGTTCCTGGATGATGCAGGAAGGTGAGCATATTCCTACGCCCTTTGATTTGAATTCACGAGAAAACGACTGCATAGACTGGTCAGTGAGGTCAGGGGCGACATGCAATTTTGGTCGTGCCTTCCATGGGTGTCTGCAATAGTCATGCGGGATTACATCCAGTCTCGCATCGACCAATTTCACCTTGCAATTCGCTCGTTTTGCATGGAAAAGTCGGTAAGTCTGTTGTTTGGTCCACTTCAACAACCTCGTCATCGCTCACCAGCGGTTCCATTCCCTACAAGCTTCGGACGCACTCACAGATTGAGGATACAGATCTGAACAAACTAACCGTATCCCTGCAAGAAATGTCACACGACGATTATTTGGAATCTTTGGATCACCTTTCTAACGACAGTCGTACCCAGGCTATACTAGAGGGGCTTCCATCCTCTTCTTCCGGAACTGGTCAAGACGAAAGACACGAGGCTTTGTGTTCGCTAGCGAAAATTATGCAAGAGGTATTATTACTCCATCGCGCCTATTGAGATCATGTCACGTGCTTACGGTCCTCAGGGTATTTCGGAATACATCAAGGAAGACTCGAGGAAATACGGCCTTCAAAAGAATCTCTACAGAGTCCTGCAAGAATCGGGTGAACTTCTCCCCGACTTAGAGTTACGTCGGGGTGAGGTCGTACGAGACAGTGATCAGGCTCGCAGCGGAACAGCCAAATACGATGTCTTTGACGGATGGTATCTCTCGAGCGAGAAAGTGACTATCAAGGAATTCCGCCTCTTCAACCAAAATAATGCTCGTGGCTCGGTATGTGTCATCATTGAACTCTTGGCGTGGTAACGGTCAGGACTTAGTGGAGGACATCAGAACGAAGATAAGTATAGGTATCGTTTCCTACGTGAAGCCGCCATATGGCTCGAGGTTTGGAAAGCAGATAGAGGGAAGTATATTGTTCCCTTCTATGGTTATTGTATCTCAGGGATGGCTCGCCCGTAAGCATATTCTCAGACGCTATGGGGCGGTGCTCAATTCGTTTCGTTAGGTATATGGTCAGTCCGTATTTTGATGAGAACGTCAGTGAGTACGTGAAGAGAGTGCCAGACGTGAATCACGTTGGGTTGGTAGGTTCATTCTCGTTAGCGGTTATCGAGATCCGACTAAGATGTCCAGCTTCGCAACGTTGCAGAAGGTGTGAGGGTCCTGCACAGCATGGATCCCCCCGTCGTCCACGGCAACATCAGAGGAGTGAGTCGAACATCTTGGGCACGCCGAGGGTATCTTACGAGCTGTCCATAGTCCAACATATTCATATCGGCCGATGGACGCCCTTTGCTAGGAAATTTCAGGTTTTCCAAGGTCTGATCTCCCTAACTTTCTTCATGTGGAATGTCCTACAACTCGTCACAGCTGATGGAGGACATAATGGGAGAACCATTCACATCGAGCTCCTCGGCACCCGACGACGTCCGCTGGTCCCCTCCGGAATTCTGGGTTTCGGAGCCCATCCTGTCCACTGAAAGCGATATCTATCAATTCGGCATGACGATGTTGGAGGTGCGCATAACGCTCTTCCTGTACTCGAGGATCATGACAGACGCCCGTCTTATATAGCTATTCACCCATGACCATCCGTTCAGGGAGGTTAAGTATTCCGGCACGATTGTCGAAGCCGTCACTAAAGGGACACGTCCAAAGCGCCCCGTGGAATCAGACGTTCTCCGTAGAGGTCTCAGTGACGATATCTGGTCTCTTATGCAGGCGTGCTGGATGGAAGCCCGAGAGCAGAGGCCTAAGGTCGAACAAGTCATTACAACTCTTAACTCTTCTTCCGCGTAGTGAAGTAACATGGCACTGTCTTACCTGCCTACCGTTTGCACGCCTGTAGATGTACTTGTCGAGGCCAGTACAAGCTATAATCCGCGGCTTCGCTTGTCTCCGCTATCGAACCGAGCGGGCTTCGTCTTCTGTGACGACGGCGACAGGCCCATCCCCAAGTGACAAGTCCTTTGCCCAGATGGTCAACAACAAACATCAACGTATCAACACCTGCAAGCTGACTCCCGGCCGTACCCGGGAATGAAACCCACTTCTCCGGCTCAAGCTGCCCAGTCGCATTTGTGAACGCGAACGGCCACCAAGGCACTGTCACGATGATCTGAGCTCCTGTTCAGTTGAACTGACAGTACTTGTATGGCAATGGGTACCCTTTGCTTACCATGGGAGACCTCGGCGGGAGTTCCAAATCGGGGCTGACGCACTGCATTCTGATTAGGCTGGCTACTGTTCACTTGTACTAGGTACGGTCATCACTGATCAGGAAAACGGCGTAACTTATAGGGTGCGGCGATGTGGAAGATATGTCTTTGAAAGAGGTTTCAGAGCTCTCATTTCCAAAAAATGTTCGATAGCTTGGCGTTTTACGACCGCAAAAGACTGATCCTTGCGAGACGCATGTCTGGAGGCTGAGCAGTTCTGCAATTTCATGCCTATCTCTCGTTCTTTCTGAGGGAATGCGACTATTACAATCATGAGTAAAAATAATTTAACTACAAGCACAACAATTGCGACAATGACGGTGACCCGATCATATTATGCCAGTGGGGAGGGAAGCCGACTACTTCTGCACGTTTTGCCTGTAAAGAACCAGGAGCGTAAGGAACTGTATCAAGCCCGCAAGGAAAGGAACGTACGGGAACTCTCCAATGACGTTGCCGGCGGGGGAGTACTCGCAGACGTAGTATTGCGCAACCTGTATATCACGGGTAAAATGGAACAAGCACGGGTCAGTCAGTGTAAATCGACCGCGTACAGTACATGGACAACTCACCCCGTACTCGGGGGGAAAAATGTTGCTGCAGGCCGCGACCGCGCAGCCGACTTGGGTGGTCGATTTCCATACCACCTGCGTCCAGTGCGAGGGCTGCGGGTTGCTCGGGTCGTACGAGGCTAAGGGTACATGCGATCAGCGCCGACCGGAACACATCACAGTACGGGGTCGCAGAGCGACAGTCAAGTTATACATACATTCCTCGGCGTTCCAGTCCCCAATGGCGTCAGCGATAGTGTAATCACCGCTCCCAGCGGCTAAGTTCTCTGATAACAACACCATTCAGCATCAACACCCGACATCTGACGTAGGACTCGGAAGAGATTCGGGCGCTACACACCTCCGTAGGGTCCGAGGCTGCCGCCGGAATGCTGGAACACGCAGCCGTTCGCCCAGGACTGCGCGGCGCTCGCGAGGTCGTCGCTCCAGGTGAGGGGCGCGGCGCCGTGCGCCGCGCGCTCGGTGTTGTGTCCGTCGAGGTACGCCTGGATGTCCGCGCTGGAGGTGCGCGCGAATTTGGCGGGGGAGGCGGACGCGGACAAGGCGAAGGCGAGGAGGGTGGGGAGAGCAAGTTTCATGGGGGGCTTGAAGATGGTTGACGAGCGGTGGAGGGTGGATGTAAAGTGCTTGCTACCGGTGGGTTTTATACCACTGGGTGACGGACATATGCAGATGCTGTCCCTCCGTGTCGATGACGGAGCCTGCGATCAATATGGCCGAGGCTAACTTGACAGGTGGAGCTCCAGGCAGTATGGAGGGTTCCAGTCCCGCATTACACGGCGAGGCGCATGATATATTTGAACGCAGAGTCCACGTCCGCCATACAATGGACCATGCGGGCGGGGCCACGCGATCACATACACGGACATCACTGAATGATCGTTGGGTCCAACATCTTCTCTGGACGTGATCCGTGTCAGCCGATGACAGACGGGATGGAGGGAACCGCACGGGCTTCAGTTAAAAAGCAGGCCTCCTAGATTCTTCAACTGTCTCTGCCCACGGGGTATGGGTCGCGACTCCATTACATGTAACCGAAGGCAAGGAACTCGAAGTTACTTCCACCGGCACGGACTTGAAACCAGCGCAGCGTACCATGCCAGACGCTGTAAAGTTCTCGGCTTCGTGTTTTGTACTGCGTCTAAATAATAAGCTGTGAAATTCTGAGCGAACGAGCGGAAGACGACCTCGAGAGCACCTCCCGAGTCCACCTTGGATGATTGATCGTGGGACTACCAGGTCCTCCATGGTCCACCGGTGTATGGCATACAACAGCTACAAATAACATTCCTTTGTCAGTGGCGTGGCCACCCTCACTCTTTGTCTTTCACAACCTTGAGTTGCGAGTGGCAACTTTCAAAGACTGGCGGTCCTATCTCTTCCCTCGACATAACCTTCATGAAGTCAGCGACCAGTTTGCTCTCGGACTGCTGTAGGCCCGCTGACCGTGTACGACTGAGTTTACGCTTTGACCGACGCTTTGGCCAATATGCCAACGTCACTAGCGCTTTGGCCGATAATCCTGACGCTTTGACCCCACGAGCAATACCCAGTGCCCTGCCTACGCCATATCCGGACGGAGCATATGGTCTTTATCCTTTGTTCTTGCCTCGTGCCACCCCGCCGAACGATGACAACACATCGAACAAACGACGACCGTACCCAGAAGGGCGATGTGGGAGTTGTACCCCGTCCTATTATCACATTTGTGATAATACGACGGGGCGCTTTTCCCGCCATCCTTCCTTTTCGGGCGAATCTGGACAAAAGCGGTAAGACATGGCAGCTGGTGCTTGGAACGTTCGGAACGCTTGGACCGTACCTTTGGCCTTGAGGACTTCCTCCCCACCTATAAAGCCATGGCCACTCCGCCCTCTTCCCTATCAATATTGCCCGACCCTTTCATAACACACCCGCGCCATCGCACGACTGCCTTTGTTCAATGACTTCTATCTCTTTGTCCAATGACATGGGTCTGCCTTTATGCGCGCCCTACTACTCTTACGGCCGCGACGATCCTGAACACAAAACAAGCACTGGACTGGTATTATGTGGGGACAACGCTTTGGGCATCCGTCTTTCAGATGCAGAGTCGGACGCTCCGCAGTCCGAGCTGTATACCGCTGTTTCGACAGGGCAAACCTATGTCCGGTAAGTCTCCTGTTGATATGCGTCATTATCACATCTCATCAGGTACTTGATTATTGTATCAGCCGATCTGTGGACACACTCAGTGTGTACCAGGCTCCATTCCTGAGCGAGACGCTTGCGTTCCTCAGCCACCACTATAGGCCCAACAACTCGTTTCTATCATCTGCCGACCTCTCCTCTTTCACGTATTCCGACATCTCGTCTTCCTCGTCTGGTGACAACTCTTTGCCGTTATATTGCAGTATGAGTCAGATCGCCCCGGAGCTCCCTTCCCCGAGCTACCGGGAGTCTGATTCCGACATAGAGAGCGAGAGGAATGGTACCGAGGACGAGTACAGACCGTCGCCGTCGCCGTCGCCGCTACCCCAGCCCGTCAATCGCCGCGGGGCGGCCCGCCAGAGACGCGCCAAGGCCAGGGCTCGCACAGCGCCGTATCCCTCCTCATCCCATACCTCGGCAGCCTCATCACCCTCCCCCTCGGCATCATCTTCCTCTGGATCGTCTACCGCCAAAGAGTCCCATACCAGGAACTGCATCGCCACCTGTTCTCCTCCAGATGACATCCTCCCCGACGAAGACGGCACTCTGCGGTGCCCAGTCGACGGCTGCACCCACGTCGTGCGCCCGAAGGGCCCGCACAGCAAGCCGCGGCTGGCGGACATGCGCCGGCACGTCAGCACCCACTTCCCGGCTCTAAAGCAGGGCAAGTGGGTGTGCCGCGGCTACGCGCTGGAGGTCGCGGACCGCCTCGGCGTGCCGGGCGAGATACACTATGTCGATGGCGTGCTTTATCGGGGCGGGTGCAACGAGCACTTCAGCAGGAAGGATTCCTTGAAGAGGCACCTTAAAGCTGTGTGCCGCAAGGTTCACGACTAGGTACGTTCGTGCTGCTCCTTGACTTTCGCAATGCGAGCTCATGCGAGCCTTCGCTAGGAATTGCCCGGAAGGCTGATATGCAGTAATGTCAACCATGATCTTTCATCGTGACAGCAATATGTCTTTATAATCTTTATTCAATATCTCGAACTTCCTGTTGCTGCTGAGTCTTCGTTCCTCCCCGTGTCCTACGTTCAAATGATATCTAGTCGGCTGTGGTATAGAAATATATTGTGTATTATCCGACTATGTTGTATTTCTACCCCCTGTAAGCTTATGTTGTGTCCCCTTTCGTATCAAGTACGTAGATGCATTATTCAATCCTCTGGTTGTCGTTGTACGTTCCGCGATGTCGTCGCACCCTCCGAAGTCTTCCGGCTGTCCAATGTTAGCATTGTCTGTCTGCAGTGCAGACTCTGCACTCCGAGTCCAAATGAAAGTGTCAGGGAACTCTAATGCTGCTGGACGTGCGCTGCAACTTATTCGCGAAAGCATAACCTAGGACCCATTTACAAGGGAGGAAGACCGTGCCAGACGATACTCGTAGGGTTCGATCGCACACTCTGGGAAACATCATACGGGTGGCGTTTCTAGATCTTGTCTTCGGACGATTGATGCCTACTGCTAATGTTTGTCAAACTCGCGCTGAGTTCTGGGCCTCATTGTGCGCCACTTATTACACGGTACGTGGTAAGGAAAGCTTATGTGGAGGTACAAGGTCACAGCGTGGATCTAGGAAGTATCTGATGCACACCGTGCAGCGGTACTTACGCCTAACTGGGGCTGAACCAGGAGAGTCGCTTGATGCCGACTAGCCGCCTGAATACTACCTTGAACGATGATCCTCGGAGTCCGAGGCAACCCAACTCGCCATCTTCGACGTGACGGCCCCGGAAGTGACGGCCTACCTCCAAGTGGAATTAAACTGAACAGCTTCACTGCGGACTTATGTCCCCGCACCCCTCCTTCGCCTAGCCTTTCGGTTGTCCCATCTCTGCGCGTGGTCACCTGCTAGCAGGAGGTCTGCGAGTGCTATCCCGCCTTGCACGGAGGTGCCACAGAGCCAGTGTATGGACAGACTGAAGAGCGTAAGGGAGCCACCATGGGCGCAAGCCTTGAGGCAGATGAATATACATGATTTAGTGCACAGCACCTGCTCCGATTAGACAATATGATACAATATCCTCTATCCGTTACAAACAACAAATCCGTCGGAATGAGATGGTCTACACCAGCCGTCTTCGAGCCTCCTTGGATGGCAGACAAACCACCTCGTCCACCGCCAAACTGTCACACCGCATCCGCGGGTTAGTTTGCTCCAGCTTCTCGACGTTGCACCCCCACGTCTGGCATATTTGCCAACACGTATCGCCCTTCTTCACGCGGTACGGGCTGCTGTCGCCCGGACAGAAGGAGGCGTCAGGAGGGACGGGCGGCGGCGCGCTGCCGGACCGGAGAACGCGGAGAAGGAGGAGAAGCACGACGCAGATGAGGAGGAAGAAGGGAAGGAGGTTCCGGTAAGCGGACGTGGCAATGTGGCGAGGAGGCTGGTTCTGTATGGCGGGCTATAAACATAACAAACTAGATAAGACGGTGTCAGGACTTACGACGTCGGTTGCGAGCGGGCGATAGCCATCGGCGCGGCTGCCGCCTGCTTCGACATCGTCGTTTCCTGCCTCTGCTACAATAGCAGGTGCATCCTCCACTATCCCCGCACTAGGTTTAGTTGTCTTAAGGTAATGGTTAATTGTGTACTCACCTTTCGTCAGCTCGCCATACTCGGTCCCTTCAGCACCCTCCCAGAGCGCACCGTCGTGGTCCCGGTAATAGTACTTCTGGGTATCAGAATCGTATCCCACTCTCTTCATCCCGTCCGGCAGGCGGTAGTCATCCTACAGCTGATATGTTAGCTTACGTTCGCCATCAAGAAGAAAGAATACAACGCACTTCGTCGTATTGCGACCAGCGGCCCATAACTTGAGATACGTTCGTTGATTCTTCAATGGAAAGAAGGGGTAGCCAGCGTCAGCGAGGAGGAGGAGTCTGTAATTATAACATGAGCGAATGCGCAGGCGTCGCGGAGCCAGGCACGTCGAGATACGCCTGGGTTATATTTAGGAGTGGCGGTGCAGAATACCTATTTCGGGTCCTCGTCGTAGCCGTTTCTTGGAATTGCTTTCTGTACTATGTAACTGATCATGACGTGCTATCAAAAGTCCCTCATCGACCTAAATTCACGGCCTGATAAAGATAATAAATAAAACGACGAGCGACTCGATAACAAGACGAAATCAAAGCGAAAATACACAAAATCGTACAGGCACGAACGACCGCAAAATAAGTACCTACAGAGCTGACTTCTAGGCAGTCTTAGTGACTGAAGGATGATTACATGCACTGAGAAAGGTGGCTAGGTCCTCTGCGGCGCGTTCTGGGTCGCGTTCATCTTCTGGATGTCTCCCAAGGTGCCTCAAGACGTTTGTAATGGTCTTGTGTTCCCTGATGAGTCTTGCATAATGGGGGAATAGGTGGCGTTTCGTTCCCGATGCTACCTCTGAGAGAGGATACACAATCGGATTGTTATCCGGATGTACGTGATTAATTGCTCAAGGTATTAACGAGGTATTCTTAAACCTCTCTCACCTTTCGTCGGATGCGCACTTGTAGGACTTTCCGGGTGAAGACGACTCATGAGAGGAGGTACGTCTTCGACTACAATTGCACCGTTATAGTTCAATTACGGCACCAGCGGAAGGTTTTCAAATATGCTCACCTGTGCCGATCTCCGCCTCTCCGTCATCGTCAGAATCACCGACAAGTGTCTCCTGGTCTCCAGTTTCTTCAACAGATGGTGCATCTCCCACCAGTGTCAGACCATCGCAGAGGTGACCCTGGAAGCATGAAGCACGCTCACCTTCAACTCGCTTGCCAAAATCCTCGGTTTGGGAGCCCTTCGAGTCGGCCAGCACCCCCTTCACGATATCTGGGGTGTCTCTCACTATAATCAGAAATCCATGTTTGGTCAAATCGAAGCATTAGGGTAGTATACTCTGTGCGTACTCACCCCGCGTCATCACGCCGTACTCCTCACCTGGGACACCTGCCCATATACTGCCGTCACTGTCGAGGAAGTAGTACGTTTCGGTGTAGTCATCATAGGCCACTCGCTTCATCCCCTCCGGGAGGCGATACGGATCCTGGGATCAGCAAGTCGGTTCACAGATCTCCACTTGACAAAGCAACAAACACGAAGATAAATCGCAGAACTCACTTCATCCTTTTGCGTCCAGCGGCCCATGAGTTGAAGAGTTTGCGGGGTAAGATACACGAGAGGAAGAAGAAGTGCTGGTGTGAACAGAGTACTAGCATCTATAACAGAGTGATCGCAGGCGTAGTAACGGCACGTGGATCGCCTCAATTGACATCCTGAGTCAAACTTGCTGTCATATGCAAACGGCATCAGGGCCATCAGAGTTGACTTGAAAGGGTCATCCTTTTCTTATGCGCACATTAAGAGCCTTTCTCCGGCTGCTTAACGTCCTCCGTCAGGCGAAAGTAAAACCAAATCGGACTAAGCACTGGCCTCTCGAGTGCGCAGACTTCATCAGACTCCAGGCCGGTATTTTAGCATAGCAATAATGATACTGATTATTGATCATCATGATGTCGTTGGGTGAGTTACGCGCAGCACTTCACGGTAATAATCGCCACGGCACCTCCGTCATGGGCGCCTCGAGATATAAATCGTTATGACTTATGAAACGAAGTCAGATCGCGATCGCAGCGTCGTACGTGGATGGAGTTCGGAGCATTTCCTGACGCGAGATCATGATACAGGTTGAATTAGTAAGGATACATACCGATGAGAGTTATCGCTGCGCGTGAAGTCCGAAAGTCCAGCACAGGGTTAGGGCAGCCTTAAACACGAGAATATAGATTGTATACACATACAAATATGTATGTAACCAGGGAGAGGTGGCCGAGTGGTCTAAGGCGCTAGACTAAGGATCTAGTCCATTCGTGGGCGCGAGTTCGAATCTCGCCCTCTTCAATCATGTTTTTGTCTTGTTCACTGGTACGTTTCATTCTTGAATCCAATTTCCCCCTGCGGCCAAGTCTCCTAAATCCTAAGCACAGGTTCCTCAGCTGTCCCACAGCCGCGAATATGGTGATCATGTGGATCGCAAGGTAAACATGTCTGGCTGCGGAGCCTGTCAGTGATCTCTCTCATGAAATGCAAGCAGATGAAAACAAATAATATGCAATGGATGGAACGATGAAAGCGCTGGCCTGAAGGCATATAATACAGCTGTCTGACGATATATGTTCTATGCAGGGTCTGAATACCTCGGGGATGCCGCGGTCGCCCTGGTCGCAGAAGACGGTGCCGTCGCTCGGGTCGACCGCGGGGCTGATGGTGGGCCCCGCGGCGACGAGCGGAGCGATCGCGGCGAGGGAGATGGCGAGGATGGTGGAGCGTACAGTGAGCATGTTTGCCTGCGGAGCTCGTCAGTACTTTGTCTCCACAGTGCAGGCGACGGCGAGGAGAAGACTCACTGGAAAAGTGCTTTGATTCTGGTGCTAGGCTGATAAGTCTTGTAAGACGCTTTTGCCTGGATTTACCGTGGAGGAACACAGGCTCTTTTATAGTGTCCCAGCCACGGAGCCATAAACTATCTCCAGCAGGATTCGCCGACGCCGACGGGGTATGGTCTGCTTCCTTCCAGTTGCATCGAAAGAAAAAGACGGACCTGGATCCTGAAGAGCATAATTCCCTGTGTACGCTGCTTGTTCCTGGCTTCTGACTGACAATATCTCCGCGCGCTTCTTTCAATTGTACAGGAATCGCTTTCCGTGAGTAGCGATCATCACATGCGCATCCACAATTCACCACAACCATTAATTTCAACGTGGTGATAATCCGTACTTACGTCCATTCGTCGTCCGAACTCCTTTAGGGATACCCCGAAAGACGGCAAAACTGTCAGGCAAGAGAGATGCGCACGGCAGGAAGCACTGAGAGGTTCTTGGGCGGCCATGCTCAGGAGCCCTGGTGAAAGCGTCACGTCTCACTTGGTAATGTCCTCTGCCGCGAGATACTCTCACGGGAGCGCAAATTACGAGGTAAGACGATATTCGACCGCTTCGTTCATATCTTTCTTAGAGCGCCATGATGTGGCCAACGTCACGGTATTGCTGCAGTACAATTACGAGAACAAGGGGCCGCTCCAAGGAAGTGACTGGCTGGCTTGAGGTTCCATCAGACTGGATGCAGTGAGACGCGATTCAGGTTAGCTAGACTTTCATGTATGCGAGGTACAGTAATTACCGAGCTAGCACTGAGGACCAGGTCCCCGGACGCAAGCGTAACACCCCTACATAGCTCACAAATACATTCAACCAGTAAGGGTGTTGTAATAACAATGTCCCTCCCTTGCCCATCACCAAGCTCATTCACTTGGCTGCGGGCAATCCTAGCCACAGGGAGATCGCGACTATTTCCGCCGGCGCGGCACCCTCGGAGTCTGAGGTCCTGTCCTACAAAGTCTTCCCGAGACACTTTGGTACAAGATTCTGAACAGAATACCCAGCCGGCTAATACTTGCGCTAAGGGCTATAGGGCTACGTAGACAAAACTGTCAGTTGACCGTGCGTTCTCACTCTGAAGAGGTACGACAGGCCCATCTGGGAATTGCTCGTCTGGACTCACGGCGGACGAGTCTGCGCCACTGTCGACTCACATTTTTCAGCCGCTGCATTTCTCGAGAGAAAAATATTGGAGACACATTGCAATTACATCGGAATTGTCTGCGGTGAAATATACCCGAACCCTTCGTGCCGCATCGGGGTCCCCCTCCTTGCGCCGTACTACGTGATGCATTCCGCGCTTCCTCTTCGGCCGCACGTCCGCCTGTCTTGTCCAGACAAGAGTGCGGAAGTTATTCGAGGTAAGCCCAAAAGAGCTCAGAGGACGTAGAGACGTAAGTAGGAAGATCACAGACCTCGGATAGACACAGCGGGGAACTGCAGGACGTACGTACAATGGGATCCATTATCCCCAGATGAGGCCTCTACTGTGACTTGGAAGCAAAAGACGAAGCGCCGATGTCTTAAGACGCCGTCCTTGAGAAGCTAGGCACAAGTTCGTGAAGGGCATCGTCCCCTTCAGGACGCATTTCCGCCCGCCCCGTAACCGAGAATGACATTGTAGCTTAACTCCGGCGGTATCGGTGAATGCTGTTGAGTGTTCTGTTAATGCTGGATAACTGTGGCATCCAGTCGGGACACTATAAAAGAGCCTGTGTTCCTCCACGGTAAATCCAGGCAAAAGCGTCTTACAAGACCTATCAGCCTAGCACCAGAATCAAAGCACTTTTCCAGTGAGTCTTCTCCTCGCCGTCGCCTGCACTGGGGAGACAAAGTACTGACGAGCTCCGCAGGCAAACATGCTCACTGTACGCTCCACCATCCTCGCCATGTCCCTCGCCGCGATCGCTCCGCTCGTCGCCGCGGGGCCCACCATCAGCCCCGCGATCGACCCGAGCGACGGCACCGTCTTCTGCGACCAGGGCGACCGCGGCATCCCCGAGGCCTTTGCCCAGGACATCGTCAACAGCATCGACACCTCCAAGACGGACTTTGGCGTCCCCGGCACCGACAAGGACTTTGCGTTCGGCTCCAGCTGCCTCAGCCACAGCCAGACCGGCAGCCAGTCCTGCTGCCAGGTCGCGTTCGTCAACGCGGACGGGAGCCAGGGCACGGTCACGATGACGTCGAACACGCTGTCGACGGGCGCAGACGCGCTCGGGGGCAGGACGGACGGGGCAACGTTGAAGAACCTGGCGACGGATATCCTGAACACTTGCTGGACCGGTGATGGGGACCACTCGGGTCGGTGGGCCGGGGCTGGATTCCAGGTTGGGTTGAGCGGGGGGACCTGCTAAAGCGGCGGAACGGTGCCGCGCATGCTTGCGATCGTCCGGGGGACATGGACTCGTCGTTACCGCGTAGTTTGTTGTCGACATGCTTGGAGGTGATGACCTGCCCGGAATGAATCTATTTGAACCTCTATGCGTCCTTTGTGAAAGGGGTACATTCCATACAGAGCTCGAAGGGTACCGGGTCAGTGCACTCACCATCGTATTGGCCGCATACTTGAGACTGTTCGGGGGACATGGACTCGCCGTTACCGCGTAGTTTTTTGTCGACATGCTGGAGGTGGTGACCTACCCGGAACGAATCTATCCGAATTTCCGCGGGATCTGAGGAAAAGGCTGATACACAGCTTCAGCGATGGGCATTCCCGCTGTAGTCTTCGCACTGCCAATGAGCCCCACCTTTGAGCGCCACATAGGTTACGCGTGGCAGCACTTCAGACCTCAGGACCGAGGTGCTGCGCAGTATGGTGAATCGGCAGGGCCTGACCTGATCCAAACCCTAAAATAAGCAATGAGCTGTCTCTATCATAGGTACAGAGGCTCTGTGATGTCGCGCGCTGTCAGATGATAAATAAAACGTGACTCAAGGGTTAACCAGAGACACCAACATTTAGGGCAAGGTCGGGCTTCGCGACTCATTGGTGCAACATTGCCGCTAGCTACTTTACCGTCCACGGATGCGTTTAATAAGAGAGCGGAAACAGTCCGTTCTCTCTAGTTTCTTGGAAACTAGCGCGCCTTACATTACCACTAGTTCGCTAGATCATCCAAGCATACGCTCGTTCACCCGCCGTACCATTGTCGCGGAGAACGTCGAGCGGGAAGTGGGCACGCGAAGTCGGTGGCTGACGGACGCGTCGGGAGCGTGCGAAACCGCGCTCCCAGTGTTACGATCGCAGGGAAAGTGACGTCACGCGAGTTGAACATCCCGGCGGCTGGTCCAAGTCAGCCCGCGCTCCTTGTCAACTCTCACCGTCAGCCTCCTCGACCCTTTCGAGTATAAAACCCGCGCCTGCAGCCCGACTCGTTCTTCACCCCTCTCTCCTCCTCTCCATCACCATCCAACGACCTCTACACGCTACCTCCCACACTCTACACGTCGAGCAAAATGTCTAGTGCAGACGTCTACGTGCGCCGCGGGCACCCCGGTAAGTCTTCCAGTACATCATCGCTGACATTTCTAACATCCACACAGTCCTCTTCGGCCTAATCATCTTCTTCGGCATCGTCGAGCTCGCGCTCTCCGCGTGGCTCACCAGCCGCTACAACGCGCACCACAACTACCCCTCGGGCGCGGTGCGCGATCGCTCGCGCTTCCTCCTCTTCGCCTCCATCTGGACCGTCGTCATCTCCCCCGCGTACATGGGTCTCTTCCTCGCCTCGTCCGCCGGATCCATCTTCACCAGCATCGCGAGCCACTTTATTTTGTGAGTCTTGCTTCGAGTGTCTTTGCTTCTTTTGCTTCGGTGGCTGACGGTGATGCACAGCTTGCTCCTTTCGTGGGTGTTCTGGCTCGCGGGAGCCGCGTCCCTCACGGCAGCCTTGGGCGGGGGGCTCTCTTGCCAGTACGTTTCCCCCTTCCCTCTCCTATGTCTCCCTCGCTAATAATTGTATAGCCTCGACGCCACTTCGTATTGCGGCCAGCTCAACGCCGAGGAAGGCTTCGCCTGGATCCAATTCATCATGTTCACCCTTGCCCTCATCTTCGTGCTCGCGCGTGGCATCTCTGTCTCACGCGCCGGCGACGGCCTGCGCGGCCAGCTCGTCAGTACCGCCTAGGTTTAGGTTTGCGTCTGGGTCTGGATTTCTAGCATGGGATTGGTGGATCGTGGTCTGCTCGTAATGGGCTCGTGTATTGTGGCGGCTTGATGACTTTAATGGTTCTTTCTTGACGACTCTTACGAACGGAGTGTAATTTTTTACCACTTCGTGACGAGTGCGGTTATGCCTTTTGGATGTACTTCTTGGTCATGTATTATTGTACGCTATAATTCGGAGGTTCCACTCATCATTCACTTCGCGTACTGGGGATTGCAAGTATTACAATCTAGGCCTTGGGCCTATCCAGCATAGAGTTTATGACCGATTCGTTCTGACGCTGCTGTAGCTGGGCTGCAGCTGGTTCATTGGGACTGTGCTTTGACCATGCTTTGACTGCCGCTTTGGCCAATACGTCAATGTTCATCGCGCGTTGGCCGATAATCCTGAGGCTTTGACCTCATGAGCGATATCCAGTGCCCTCAGGCTGGCCACACCATAGGATGCGGTCCGAAACGCGGATTAGGACGAGATTCGGACGGTTATAGCATGCTGTGGCTGAAGTTAACCCGCTGTTACGTATTTCTACTCGTATCCCGCGCCGGTCACCGCGAGCTCCGAGAATGGCTGATTCATAGAATATATGAGCCATATTCCCTAAGTTAAAGACCGGGTATGTCAGGTGAATCGCAAAACAGTAAAGGTACGTCCCTCCCTCGCATTTCCATCCAATCATGGAATCATTGTACCGTTCAATTGCTCTTCGGCGAGTATATAGTCACCACTCGAGATGCTAATTGCCTTTAGGACCGATGGAATCGCTGTAGTAGTCTCGTGCAGCTTATACCTTCCGGGCTCATGTTGAATTGTTGTCTAGTCAACGTCGGTACTAGTGCTATCTCTGGACCCTCGTGAGGCATGATGTGGACGCGGCCTCTCCCGGGCCCTCTCTTTCACTGCTGACTTGGGCACTACAAACACATTCCCAGGGCCTAGGTACGTCCTACAACTACGTTACTAATGTATTTTATGCTGATGGAGACATTATGCGCCATTCCCGCCCTTCTATTGAGGTCCCTTTCACTAGTGAGTTTCCACTATGGCCACAGGTCCCTCCTTAGGCCCTCCCCTTCTATATCCTCATAACTAATCGAGATATGTATATAAAACTGACAGACAAGCTCTAATGTCCCTTAGGATCAGCTTCAGATCGAAAATTTCGCCTTTCCAGGATGTGTAACCTTAATTATAACATGCACATATATCAAGGGAATTGGATCCATTCTATGTATTAGCAGTAAGCACACTGTCTGCTATATAGATTATATTTACAATTCACTGTATTTTCTTCGATTTTACTTGAGACACTGCACGCTACCTATCGCCAGCGTCGTCGGGAACAACGACGACCAGCATCGGGCACGGCGGCACTGTGATGTCATCGCGTCGGTAGGCGCCATCAGTCCACTTTAGGCAGGTTTCTATTTGGCTATCCTCAGCCACACTCGCGTCTGCAGGCCGCCACCGCCGGAGTGTCCTATTACTCTACTGCCCTACAAGTTGTATAGGGCTGCTGGTGTTCCCGGTGCTTCAGCCGGAGTTGGGGACAATTGCTTTTGAGGCTTAATAGCGTGGACTCGCTGCTCGACCGTCTAATCTTATAAGCCTTGTTTTTTGGGCCGGGAAGGTCAGGTGCCGCTCCCCCCAAACCACTTTACTACTCTAGATCTCAACTCACTCAGCAAATCTTTACTCGCTCGACAACTGCTCTATATGTGCTATGTCTGCCCTAATCGAAAATGATCCTCACAACGACGACTGCGAGTCTTTTTCTCCACGTTTGGTTTACCTTGCTAATCAACTTACTCCTATTTCTTACTTAGTGGGCGTAGTTGATGATCTTATTGAGCCAAACCTCGACGAACTAGTCTTGACTCCCAAATTCGACCGCCAGTGCTTGGAAAATGCACGCACCGTCTTGTCTTCTGACAAGAGCTGCGACTCGGATGAAGGTAGCTTATGGTCGAGCGACGACAGCGTCTCTAGTAATACTGCCGTTAAATACAGGCCCTGCGAGGTGTCAAAGTTCGAGGCAAACCTCTACTATGCCGGTGTGGGTCCGAAAGGACGCGGGCCCAAGCTCATCTATAGGACATCCGACGACAAGTTTGAGGAACCCTCCGGCCCTGAGGCGTACACCCGCCTCATGAGAGTCGTGGCCGTTCCAGAGACTCACCAACTTGGTCAGAATGGATTGTGGGATGTGGTTCGTGACAAGGTGCGAGACCGGCCTTCTCGCTGCAGTTTCTTGACTAACGTTCACACCAAGGTTGTGGATTTACTCGATAAGAGGAACATCAAGGTCTCATCTGTCGATCTCGTTCGTTTTACGTGGATCAACAAGGAGGCGGACCAGGAGGTTCAAGTCGAAGTCGAAGACGAGGACGAGGACAACGGCGACGACAACGACAGTCTCACTTACGACGATATTCCACTCATCCAGCCCGTCGAGTATGGACAACGTCACTATACCAATGCCACCATCTGGGTTGGTGTCTTGCCCGAGACTCTTACTGCTGCCGTTGCTCGTGAGTCTGCCAAGGATATCCGTGCCTTGCTCGACTCCCTCCAGGTGCAAAATGTCGACGTCGCCTATCGTGAGTCGGTTTACAAGCATTTGACCGGCCATGGACCGGCCCTTTTCCGGCCCGTCGAAGACGAACATCCTTTTAAAGAAGTTATCGACAACGTCTCTGTTCCCCTTAGCCTTCCTATTGCTGGTCGTACGTCTGCTATGCAGGGCACTCTCGGCCCCTACTTCCGCATCGGCGAGAAGCTCTATGCCATCACTGCCCGCCATAATCTGCTATTGCTTGACCGGGACAACGAGGTGTATAGGTGTGATGGTACACCATACTTGCGGCCGTGAAAATTCAAGAGCTTCTCTGACGCTAACCCCGCGCAGGTTCTAGACCCACCCAGAAAGTTCTCGTGATGGGGCCCTCTGCGTTCACGAACTATCTGGCATCTATCCAGGCCCTTATTGGTGCCAACGTCGACGCAGCTGAAGTCCTTGAGAAGAATGTCAACACGTTCAAAGGCCTGGTGCGGGATGGAATCGACGTCGAGGAATCACAGACCAAGCTGGACGAGAATGAGGCCGAGCTCACCAAAATGCGCAACAAGATCGACGCATTGAAAAAAAAAATTTATAAAGATCAAAAAAAGGTGGAGCAAACCCAAGCATCGAGTCATCGGATTTGTTCGCTGGGCTCCCCTATGGGTGTCGGTGTTGGTCCTCACCGCTACACCAGGGACTTCTGTGTCATCGAGCTTTACAAAGATAAGTTCAAGCATATGATAGGCAATGTTCTGAGCCTTGGTGTGTTGCTAGTCTATTTTTATTGAATGCTGCTCATCTGAGATGCGTGTCTTTCTTCCAGGTCCGGAATTCCCCCCTGCAAAGCTCAAAGCGTTGATGTACGATTGCGTCGATGTCCCATCCAAATTCAAGTACCAGGACAACGGTCTCCTTGCCCTTAGAGGCATGCTCACGGCCGATCAAGTCAACGAGCCCATCGCCTTGAACCTCCAAGGTGATCGTATCCGTCGCGTCATCAAGCGAGGTTTCACTACCAACACTACCGTCGGAATTCTCACCCAGTTTACGTCGTTCGTGCGCAAATACTTCCCCACTGGCAATATGGATTCGGTCGAGCTGGCCATACTTTCTCACGAGAATGACACTGGGACCTACTCCAAAGGGGGCGACTCCGGATCACTGATCGTCTCTGCCCGCGGCGAGTTTGTGGCTTTGCTTACTGGGGGTACTAATAATGGAACGGATGGCTCCCATATCACATTTGCCACTCCGTTCAAGTACGTTTGGGATTCTGTCAAGGAAGAGTTCCCCGGCGCCGATTTATACTTCGACAATCTCGAAGATTTTCTCGCCGACGTAGCCTAGATTGGTTTCTTTTCCTCGCTTCATGTCCTAGTTGTGTCCTTAACTACCGGGTCTCCAGTCAAAGAGCTGGACAACGCCTTCGGCCGTTGGTCTTTTCTGGACCCCCACCCCACGCTCATTATCATTGGCCTGTGAACTCTTTCTGCTGTTTAGTGATCGCTTTTATCCATTGGATCGCTTCTCGAGGTAGATGAGGTGCTTTGACCGTTGGACGGTATCAAGGGTTCGTCTGGTGTCTTTCGTCATACACTCGGTATCAAAGCTGACGAACTTCGAAAGCCCGGCTTTTGGCGAACCGTCTCGACAGGGTCTTCTTCTGCGTCCTGTTCACCTCCATGATCCATCCGTCTCACTATCGTCTCAACAGGTAACTGTATCTCCATCACTCATTCCTCTATCACGATTGCGTCCTCTTCCAATTCTCCACTGCCTGATGGGTAAGGTGGTTTGCTTGCAATGGGCTCGTGTATCGTGGCTGCGGCTTGATGACTTAATGGTTCCCTTCTTGACGACTCTCACGAACGGAGTGCACCACTTCGTGACGAGTGCGGTTATGCCTTTTGAATGTACTTCTTGGTCGTGTATTATTGTACTGCGTGTAATCTATAGTCTGGAGGTTTCACTCATAGAATATCGTTTGGTGAGGGAGCACCGGTTTGACTACGTAAAGCAGTCGATATATATATGCGTACTGGCTGACGGTAGCACCGCCGAATGAGGTCCGCGACATTCAAATCCGAACTGCCCCTAAGCATCGATATATGCATCATTAATACACACTCGAGAGATCCACAGACGAGACAACACAGTGCAAGCATACACCGCAGGGTCACCGCCGTCCCTTACCCTTCTTCCCGACAGGCAGCCCGCGCATCACCGCCGTCTTCTTGCGATTCTTGTTCTTTACGTTCGCCTCGGAGTAGAAGTTCTTGGCCTTTTTCTATGTAAGGTGCAGATATGGGGTGAGTGAGCAATTGGTAATACAGATGGAGATGAGAGCATACCTTATTGGTCTTCATCCGCGGGGCCTTTTCTGTGGTCTCTGCGTCTGAGTCTGATTCAGAGGCAGGTGCCTCCTCTGTGGGTGGTGCGGACGGCTGGGCACCGTCCTGGTCCTCGGGAAACACGTCAGTCCACGAGAGGCCGTTGAACTCTTCCTCCTCATCCCCCTCGCCCTCTCCTTCATCCCCACTCGCGCTCCCCTCATCGCTCCCCCCATCACTTCCTTCAGCACTCCCCTCTTCCTCACGTTCATCCTCATCTAGCCGCCTCACATCTTCCTCCACAAACACATTCTTCTGTATAATCCCACCCAACTTCTGCTTCACCCCGATCACCTTCTCCTCCTCACCCCCCTCCCTCACCTTCTCCTTCCCCTTCTCCTTCCTTGCCCTCTCCTTCTCCTCCCTTCGATTCACCTCCTCCGGCCGCTCCGGAGGGGGCACAAAGAACGGAATCCGGCCGCGCACCCAATCGCTGAGCACGATCCTTGCCACACCCTCTAGGTCCGGCTCCCCGCCCTTCAGCAGGCGGCCCTTCATCCTCGCCAGCGCGTCCAGGAACGTCGTCGCCTCATACCTCCCCGTCCCCTCCTTCCCTTCCCCCTCCTCCGTGGGCATAGGCACGCCATGCTCAACTTCATACCGGCTCGTATCGATCTTCCCCGGCATGGGCACGCCGTACGTCCGAGATAGATAGATAGGCTTGACGCGCTCGAGGAGCGCGGGGATGTGTTCCGACGGCGTGGGGAGGGCTTCGACGCGCACGACGCCCTTGAGCACCGTGCTCGTGTGCGAGTCGCGCGCGCTCGCGGGCACGATTCCCGGGCAGTCGATCAGGTATATCTTGCGCGTCAGCGTGATGTACTGCCACACCTTCGTCTCGCCCGGGATCGGCGCGACGCGGCACACCTTCCCGCTCTTGAGCGTGTTGATGACGCTGCTCTTGCCGACGTTCGGGTAGCCGACGAAGCCGACGCTGATCTGTTTCTTGTCGGAGTGCAGCTGCGAGAATTGGCGCAGCAGCTGGATGAGCGCGCCCTTGCCGAATGCGTGCGTCGGTGAGGCATGGAACGCGATCGTCGGGTAGCGCGGGGTCAAGTGCTGAATGTAGCGGGCCTGTGAGGAGGGGGAGGGGGTCAGCATGCATGGTGGGGAGCAGGGGAGGGCGGGGGACGCACGGTAACCCAATTCGGCACCAAATCGCACTTGTTAATGACGAGCACGACCTGCTTGTGCGCCTTCTCCTTCCGCACATACTCGAGCACGCTCTCGCACATCGTGCCCACAGGGTCGCGCGCGTCGAGCACGTGCAGGATCACGTCGGACGAGTCGATCACCTTATACAGCTCGCCATAGATGCGCCGCGAGGTGCCCTTCGCGTAGATCGGCTCGATGTAATCTGCGTGCGTGCGGGCTTCTTGCGAGGGATCGTTCGACGTTGTGGGGCGCTGGTCCTCGGCTTCCTGGGCGGCGGTCGAGCCGAGCGTCGCGAGCTCCTCGAAGGTGCCGACGTCCAGCTTTGCCTTCTTGCGCTGCGCCTTGGGGCCGAACGTTTCTGCGAATGGCTCGGTTTCGACGATGTGCGACCGCTATAAAGTACGTAGCGTAAAGGGACGATGACGGATGGCATTCCGGCGCGCCGGTGCTCACCTTGCGCAGATTGGGGTTTGAGGCATCGTCCAGGAGCGCCATGGGCAGTTTATTCCGCCTCAGCAGCACCGAGTACGGGTCATCCTTCTTCGTCGCCAGGCTGCTCCGAAAATGGTCCAGCGCAGTCTGGGATATCACCCTGGTATTCCCTGTACTTCTCATTTAACCCTTCGGCCCTTAGACTCAAGGATTCCGCTAAAACGCACCGAACCACCGCCGGTCAGGCTGCACCCTCCCCGGCTTCGTCTCGTCCTCGCCCTTCTGGAACTCCGCCGCCTGCACGATCTTGCCCTTGCGGTCCCGCACGGGCTTGCCGCCGTTCATCATCTTCAGCCGGGACGCCGCCTTGGCGTCGCGGTAGAAGTTCTCGCCCTTGACTTTCTTGACATACGGGTCGGACGACGAGCGCGTTTTCGAGGAGGAGCCTGTCTTTTTAGTGGGCGCCATGGCGGGCAGAGGTAGTAGGGGAGTATTGGTGCAGGAGCACAGATGCAGGAGAAAATACAGATCTTTCCCACGGTATCAATAATGCCTCAATATGGTAATTCCCGAACTCTTCTCTTGCGATGCCACACTCTCAGAGACACCGACCTTCCTCACTTCGCTCAATACTGCTGTTGGCGGGAGCAATAGTGGAATAGGAGAATTTTTTACGCTAAATCCACCCATAGAAATGTCACTTGCATGATCACTCAAGTACTCATATTCCAAGCTCTTTCTCAAGTGTCTTTGAGCCTTAGGCGTTGATGATAGAAAGTGCAATCCTCCCTACAAAGTTAAGGACGCGAGTCGCTATAAATGGAAGGTTGAGTCACTGTGCGGTAACCCCGCAGCGTCGCGAGGGACTTCGTCTGAAGTCGGGGCGACTCGCTTCGGAATGGAAATCCTAAGGCGGTGAGGAGGTTGTGTACTCTCTGCAATTCATTCGTACAATGGTAACACCACCTCCCATGATCATGAGAAGTTGAATGGTTTTGTATATCAGTACACATGTAGTTTGAATTTTTTGAAACTGAACCCCAAAGTATAATACCAAGTGAAGGCTCTGTGTATAGATTGGCCCTTGTCCGGACTCAAAGTGCCCACAATGTCATCAATATCGGCGCCTTGCAATGACTGCATGATGAGACAGAGAACAAAAGAAAACTTCCAAGTTGCGTTACGGAGTGAAGACAACTAGAATCATCACAAGTGAAAAATATTGTTCACATCTGGGATTGAACCTCGAGCTCACATCATTGGATCTGAAATAACGCATCACACTAACCGCTGCACTAGCGGCACACTGGCAATATTCAAAAATAAGGTAATATGTTAGTCGGGCAACCGTCTGGGCGCATCCGCTGCAATGGCTCCGCGTCCACTTTGCGAGCCGCTGCGCGACTCGCTTACATAATCTGCGTCCTCAACTTTGTAGGGAGGATTGCATTTCGTGTTGATGATCAACCAGTGTAACTCGATTAGATTCGCTTTGGGCAAGTCACCACCTTCCAAGTGAATCAATAAAAAGCTAAGCGTTAATGACTAGTCCACTGGTCCCAGACGATAGCAGGCACTCAGGCCATGCTACCACCGCCTCAGCAAGTGCCCCCGCTCAGCCCGACCTGGAACCCATCCCCCGCCCACCTCCCAGAGTGATCCCCACCGCTAGTCCAGCAATTGTTCAGGATATTCATCGCGAGTTTCTTCAGCGTCGCCCCATCGGTCTGACCCCCAAGCGAGTCAGCGCCAGTAGAACGTGAATTGGCCGTCATCGTGACCGTGCCCTGGTTGCCGTTCGCGTTCACGAACGCGACCTGGCAGCAGAACTGCTGGCCGGTCTGGCTGCGGCTCAGGCAATCCGTTCCGAAGGTAAACAGCAGGTTACTCCCGGGCACGCCGAAGTCGAACTTGCTGGTGTCGATGTTGTTGATGATGTCCTGCGCGAAGGCTTTCGGGATGCCCCTGTCGCCCTGGTCGCAGAAGACTTTGCCGTCACTCGGGTCGATAACGGCTGCCACAATCGGAACTAGGGTTGCCAGAGACACGGCAAGGATGGTGGAACGGAGGCCGAGCATATTTGCTGTGGTACAGAGTCAGTGGTCTGTCTCCCTCGGTTCAGCACAGTACCTGATGGGAGTAACAGAAAGAAGTGCTATAACACTGGGGCTTTTCTGCGTTGAAGGCGCTGATGAGTCTAGTGAGGACGATTTGGTTCGGATGTACCGTAGAGGAGCGCAGGGTCCTTTATACTGTGCCGGCCAAGAGCCACCGTTATTCAGAGCCGACATACGCTTCCAGAAACGTTTCTTGATACTCCAGGTGTTAATTACGACGCCTTCCTTGCGTACCGGCACGAACGGACCTGATGCCTGAAGGGACTAATGCCCCACAGTGCTTCAAGTTGTTCCTGGTTTCCGAAGGGCAATATCTCCGTGGGCATCCTCTGACAATTCTACAAGATAGGAGAGGTATCGTCTACGGAGAGTGGCTCCCCCCACATGGACGCTATGAAATCACGGCTGTTATTCATTGGTAAGTGAAGTTCAGACCAGTAGTTCCGAAATTACGTTTCTGTTTCTTCCGAGCTCCTGTTAGGGACACCCCCAGAAACGGGCGCGAGACCTGGCAGGTAAAACGGGCATGTGTACGGAAGAGTGCACGATAGGCTTCGGGTACGAACATGCTGAGACACTAGGCTGATGATAGCGGATGAAGCCATACATCTTACCTAGTAACGCTGTCCGACGCAAGATTCTCTAGTGGCACATTACGACGTGAGAGCGGGCCACTTCATCCATCCATATTTTGTGAGCGCGGGGACAAGCGGGCACACCAAGGGGCTGCAGTACTGCTACGGGATCGACGCGACGGAGGCGTTCATGAATGGATCCAGGATGAGCCGATTTGGAACAAGGTGAGATGTCGTGACCCCTCGGAGTCCGAGGCCCCAACTACCCTAACCTGCGATGCGTAGGTAAGTATGCGAGAATGAAACCCATGAAATCGCCGCTGGAGACAGCATATCCGCGCATCTCCTGCCCTCCCAGAGCCCCATCTTCCACCGTGAAAGGGGAAGCTGTCTGTCCTGCCTGTTGGTCATACCTATATCTTTTCTTAAGAACTGTCCGGCAGCTCAAGTTCATTGGGCATGACTGAAGGAGCTCAGACGATACCAAAAACGTAAGGGGACTCTAGTACTGCTTCATATCCACATGACGAGGATCCCCAGAATGTACATGACATGGGAGCCACTCCCCCATTGATGGTTCCGCCGTCTTGTGGAAGCCCAAAAGGAAACACCTCCTTCGGAAACCAGGTACGACCCCGCACAGAGCATCGTCCCCTTCAGGACGCATATCCGCCGCACCGAAAACAAGGCCGACATTGCAGCTTAACTCCGTCAGTATCAGTGAACGTTGTATGGCTCTCTTGTGGCTCTAACTGGGACACTATAAAAGCATTGACGCTTCCTTCAGCATAAACTCAGCAAACGCGTTGGCGCAGTATTCAAATACTTTCTTTATTGCTGCCCATCAATATTGTGAGCTTCTATCTTCCGTGTACACCGGAAGAGACAGGCCACTGACAAGCGTTGCAGCCAAATATGCTCAGCGTGCATACAATCATCATCGCCATCTCCCTGGCCACCCTCTCCCCGCTCATCGCAGCCGGCCCCTCAATCGACCCGAGTGACGGCCTCGTCTTCTGCGACCAAGGCGATAGAGGCATTTCGAAAGCCTTCGCACAGCACATTGTCAACAACATCGACACGAGCAAGACCGACTTCGGTGTGCCCGGGAACGACAAGGACTTCAACTTCGGCACGAACTGCCTGAGCACCAGCCACACCGGCAGTCAGTCCTGCTGCCAGGTAGCGTTCGTAAATGACGACGGAAACCAGGGCACGGTAACGATGACCTCCAACAAGAAATCGACGGGCTTCGACGCCCTTGGGGGTAAAACTGACGGGGCTACGCTGAAGCGTCTCGCGACGGAAGTCCTGAACAATTGCTGGACTGTCGCTGGTGACCATTCTGGGAGGTGGGCGGGGGATGGGTTCCAGGTCGGGTTGAGTGGGGGCACTTGCTAAAGGGTAGTAGCGTTGCTCGAATGCCTGCAGTCGTCTGGGAATAGTCTGGTTTGTACAGCGTAAACTGCCGTTTACAACTTGAAGCTCGTGCGGTGATTGATTCCCCCAGAACGGATCTACTGAAACCATGTCAGTCCATCGAAAGACCTGTGGTTGCGTGGCGAGGTGGAGGCATGAATACACGCACCAGTACAGTACAAAATCCATGTCGAGATAGAAGCGTGAGTGTCATGACCGAACCTCCAAACTCACTCATGTTGTGTACGAAATTTATTTCTGAAAGATTCAATGGCAGATTCTTTGTTTTCTCACCTGTGAGCTGCCACGGCCCACTGGCACAAGAAGGCATTACCATAGGACAGAAAGTTAAATGCAACGACACCGTACGGTGACCCTACCACCCACCATGTAATGACTTTGCATCTCTCAGCCACCATATTGTGCTCACCTTCGGATTGCCGATGGCATGATTTGAATAAATGAGCAGAACAAACAGAGTCCCTTTTGAACCGGGCAGTGGAAAGCTAAGTACCTAATATAAGTTGACGAGAGAGGAGAGACCGTGGTGTCGACATGATCAATCATGATCCACCGGCGGTCACAACAGCTGCAAATAAACGTTTGCTTACCGAAGTGGCCACACGTACTCTTGTCTTTCACAACTTGGATCCGGAACTGCAAGCGGCAACCCTCAAGCTTCAAGTATTGCAGTCCTATCTATACCTTGTGCCTCTCCTGCATGGAGGTTGACGACCGATTGGTTCTGGCACTACTGCAGGCATGATGAGCACCTGGTTGAGCTGGTTATCGGGCCTGCGCTTTGACTGACGCTTTGGCCAAAACTTCAATGTTCCAAGCGCTTTGGCCGATAGTCCTGACGCTTTGACCCCACGAGTAATGCCCAATGCCCTACCTACCCGATATCGGGGCGAAGCATATGGTTTTTATCCTTTGTCCAGCCTCGTGCCACCCCGCCGAACGATGACAACACGTCGAACGAACGACGACCGCGTCCAGAAGGGCGATGTGGGAGTTATACCCCGCCCTATTATCACACTGTGATAATACGACGGGGTACAACTCCCACCTTCCTTCCTTTTCAGGCGAATCTGGACCAAAGCGGTAAGACATGGCAGATGGTGCTTGGAACGCTTGGATCGTACCTTTGGCCTTGAGGACGTCCTCCCCCCACCTATAAAGCCATGGACACTCCGCCCATATCCCTATCAATATCGCCCGCCCCTTTCATAACACGCCCGCGCCATCGCACAACCAGCTTTGTTCAATGGCTTCTATGTCTTTCTCCAATGTCATGTGTCTGCCCTTCGGCGCGCCCGACTGCTCTTACAGCGATCCCGGACACCAGACAAGCACTGGACTCGTACTATTTGGCGAAAATGCTCTGGGCCATCGGCTTTCAGATGCAGAGTCGGACACTCCGCAGTCCGAGGTTTGCCCTATTGAAACAGCGGTATACAACTACGTCCCGTAAGTCTATCGTTCATATGCGCCGTCATCGTATCTAATCAAATACTTGATTGATTTGTCAGGCAATCTCTGAGAGGACTGTACCAGGCTCCGTTCATGAGCGACGGACCGCTTCCATTCCTCAGCCATAACTATGGGTCCAACAACTCGTTTCTCCCATCTGCCGACCGCTCCTCTCTCACATATTCCGACATTTCGTCTTCCTCCTCTGGCGACAACTCTTTGCCGTTATGTTGCAGTCTGAGTCAGATTGCCCCGGAGCTCCCTTCCCCTCCCGCGAGCTATCGGGAGTCCGATTCCGAATCAGAGAGCGAGGGGAATGGTACCGAAGACGGGTACAGACCGTCGCCGCCACCCCAGCCCGTCAATCGCCGCAGGGCGGCCCGCCAGAGACGCGCCAAGGCCAGGGCTCGCACAGCGCCGTATCCCTCCTCATCCCATACCTCGGCAGCCTCATCACCCTCCCCCTCGGCATCATCTTCCTCTGGATCGTCTACCGCCAAAGAGTCCCATACCAGGAACTGCATCGCCACCTGTTCTCCTCCGGATGACATCCTCCACGACGAAGACGGTACTCTGCGGTGCCCAGTCGACGGCTGCACCCACGTCGTGCGCCCGAAGGACCCGCACAGCAAGCCGCGGCTGGCGGACATGCGCCGGCACGTCAGCACCCACTTCCCGGCTCTAAAGCAGGGCAAGTGGGTGTGCCGCGGCTACGCGCTGGAGGTCGCGGACCGTCTCGGCGTGCCGGGCGAGATACACTATGTCGATGGCGTGCTTTCTCGGGGCGGGTGCAACCAGCACTTTAGCAGGAAAGATTCGTTGAAGAGGCACCTTAAAGCTGTGTGCCGCAAGGTTCACGACTAGGTACGTTCGTGCTGCTCCTTGACTTTCGCAATGCGAGCTCACGCGAGCCTTCGCTAGGAAGTGCCCGGAAGGCTGATATGCAGTAATGTCAACCACGATCTTTCCTCGTGACAGGAATATGTCTTCATAATCTTGATCCAATTTCCCAACTTTCTCTTACTGCGGAGTCTTCGTTCCTGCCCTGGTCCTAGGTTTAAATAATAACTAGTCGGCGGTGTTATGAAATTATGTTTGTATTATTGGACTATACTGTACTTCTGCACTTATGTATGTTGTATCCCCTCTCGTATCAAGTATGTAGATGCATTACCAAATCCTCCGTTAGACGTTCTTCGTCTCAGGACCGTGAACGTCGCTGTGACTCCAATTCCAAATCATTGCGTCAGTGCACCACCGCTCCCTATAGACAGGATTGCTCGCCTATTAGATCTAGTACTGGACATGGAGGAGACACCGTTGACAAGTCTCTGTCAGTGCGTTCCTTCGCATCAGCCACCAACTTCGAACCTGGACGTTCGCGGCCACTTCTTCGCTAAAATGTCTTGCGCGACACATTCAAGGCGGCGATAGAGGACACTTTCAGATGTTTTGAGCACCGTGATCTAGCAATCAAGCTCCCGCTCTCACCTCCACAGTCCATCTGGGTCGTTATGACATAGGCGCCGGCCTGCTTCGAATCCTTGTATGAGACAGAGGCTTCCACACAAGACTCGGCAGCTAGCAGTTATTTCCGTGCACTAAATATCTTCCTGATCTATGCAGATTTCAGTGCACAGAACCTACAGTATTCCGCATAGTAGCAAGACAGTACAATACAATATCCTCTATTAGCTATAACGGTAAGGAAAGAATCAGCGAGGGCTTCGGTTCAACGGCGGGTCTCCCGCACTTTTATATGGGGCGAGCCCTCAGGCCTCATGGCCTACAAAAAAGCTCTACTTATAATCTCAAGTAAGGAATTACCTCAGACCGACGCAAATTCGAAACAATGCAGCGTACCCTGTTGGCTCCTGTTGGATACGTACTAATGGGCTCACCTTCGGAGTTTCCACTGCATCTAATAATCATTAGCTGTCGATGACAGCCATTTGCAGATCGATGGGCCCCCTTTTCAGAAAATCATTTACAGTCGGACCATGTCGGAGAGGTAAGTTCAGGTCCCCGAGGTACCAAAATCAGATCATCTGGACGCCTGCGCCTTCGTCCGACGTCCCCAGCACCGTCTCCGACGCACTCCGACTGTACGCGACTTTCTAAAATGATGGCCTATCGATCTGCAAACGGCTGGACGAGTTGAATCATGAAATTTTGGATGACGAGTCGCCATTGGATGTTAGACCGTGGAAATATTTAGCCTTCGGATGTGCCCCATGGTCCACCGGTCTACCAAATACAACAGCTACAAATAACATTCCTTTGCCAGTGGTGTAGCCACTGCCGCTCTGTCTTTACTTGCAACCTTCAGTTGCATCGCGAGTGGCGATCTTCAAATATTGGTGGTCCTATCTATTCTCTCGGCATATCGTGAAGGTGGCGACTAGTTTACTCTGGGACTGCTTTAGGTCCATCGAACAGGCGGTGGACTGGGTGTGCGCTTTGACCAACGCTTTGGTCAATACGTCAACATTCCTAACGCTTTGGCCGATAATCCTGACGCTTTGACCCCGCGAGCAATACCCAGTGCCCTACCTACGCCATATCCGGACGGAGCATATGGTCTTTATCCTTTGTTCTTGCCTCGTGCCACCTCGCCGAACGATGACAACGCGTCGAACAAACGTCGACCGCGCCCAGAAGGGCGATGTGGGAGTTGTACCCCGTCCTATTATCACATTGTGATAATACGACGGGGCGCTTTTCCCGCCATCCTTCCTTTTCGGGCGAACCTGGACAAAAGCGGTAAGACATGGCAGCCGGGGCTCGGAACGCTTGGATCACTTGCATCGTACCCTTTGGCCTTGAGGACTTCCTCCCCCAGCTATAAAGCCATGGCCACTCCGCCCATATCCCTATCGATATTGCCCGCCCTCTCCATAACATATCCCCGCCCTCGCACGAACTCCTTTGTCCAATGGCCCCCGTCTCTCGCGAGCTGTCTTTCTTTCAAGAGATGTACAACCCCTTAGAGTCCGACGCGCCCGGTAACGGGTACAGCGCTTTCCAGGGCGCGACGGAAGCCAGACTGGTTTCTTTCTACGACAACTCTATCGACGACCACGAGGCAGACGCCACTCAGCCGGGAATCGGGCCCTTCGAACCCCTCGCATACCCGTAAGTTATCCATCGCTCTGTGCCGTTAATTTCTAACCAGAGCCTTTGATAACCATCAGCTCTTACCTGTACTCGTCGTCTCTGTTCCCCTCCATGACAGAGGCGTACCCGCCCAGTCTGCTCTACGGCGGAATCGACACCCCGTCTCTCTCATATTCCGACACCTCGTCTCCTTCGTCTTCGGAACTCTCATCCCCGGTATCTCCTAACTCAAGTCTGCTCGCGGCCGAGTCCCTTTCCACCACTCCGACGCCCGTCTCTTCCACCAAGGGCGGCCGTCGCCCCCGTACCCGCGGCCCTGTGAACTACCGGGAGCTCGAGTCTGACGCGGAGAGCGAGGGCAACGGCACCGAAGACGAATATCGCCCGTCCCCGCCACCCCAGTCTGCCAAGCGCCCCGGCGCAACCCGTACGAAGCGCACCAAGGCCAGGGCTCGCGCGGCGCCCTACCCCTCCTCCTCCAACACCTCCTCCGCTTCCCCCGCCTCCTCTTTGTCATCCCCCTCACCCGAGTCGACCCCCTCTCAGAGAATCAACAACAGGAACCACGAAGCCTCCTGCCCGCGCCCGACCGAGATCTTCCCCGACGCAGACGGCACCCTGCGGTGCCCAATCGAGCATTGCAAGCACGCTATCCGCCCAAAGGGCCCGAGAAAGCCGCGAGCGGGGGACATGCGACGGCACATTGCGACCCACTATCCGCACGAGAACGAGGGCAAGTGGAAGTGTCGCGGCTACCCGGTGGACGTCGCCGACCGCCGCGGCATCCCGGGCGAGTTGCACTATGTCGACGGCGAGCTGTATCGCGGGGGGTGCGGGAAGAACTTTAGCAGGAAGGACGCGTGGAGGAGACATCTCAAGGCTGGATGCAAGGGGGGTTGCAAGTAGGTCTGTTTGTCTCGGATTAGCTTTTCGCGATACGAGCTTACGCGAGCTGCAGATAGGGATATCCTCGGAATCTTACATGTAACAAGGAAATTGTATGATGTTGCTTCATTTAAGGACTCTTTCTCTCAAACTTTGTTGTTGCTGGATCTTTGTTCCCTCCGTCGCCTCGACCGAATTAAATGATAGTTGCGAGAATATGGCTGGATTCGTAGACTAATTGTATTTTACATGTTGCACACCCTCTTGTATCAAGTATGCGGCTGAGTTTTCAAGTACTCGCTGGACGTTCTGAATCTTCCTCAATGTCGTGATCGGGAGTTGAATCGCGTCCGTCCGTCACGCGTGACCTTCCGGATTCGAGTCCCAATCGACCTCCACCTCAGCGATGTGAATCTGCTGTGTCTCTATATACCACTTGCGAAGATTTACCAAGTTTCTCGTACGCAAAGGAGTGCTTGAAAATTGAAATTATGGGTCTATCTTCCACGTCGTCCTCAAGCTTGGAACACATCATGTCCTTTAATTTGGATGGTAGGCTGGTGGCCACCCTCTCTCAGGCTAGCACGAGTGAGGCAGAACTATCACGACTCTGCGCACAGTCTGATAGAAAGGGTAGTTACGTGCCTATTTGGATGGGTAAACCGTCTTCGCTCCAACGCTGCTGAATGGACTGACAGCCTCTTAAAATCACTGACCCGCTATGAACTAATGGTTTATGCCGTATATACGGTGGGTGCAATCAAACCTCCAGCTGGCTATCAACCTTCAATCTTCCTCCAAGGACCAAATTCCTTATATCCAGTCTGGACAGGTTACTACATCGCAAGTCTGTCAACAATGAAATAGGCGACACCGACTACTCTATCGGCCCCAGACGGTTGTAGGACCCTAGATGGCGCTAAAACCCGAATGCTTAGCAAGTGCCGCCGCTCAACCCAACCTGGAACCCATCCCCGGCCCAGCGCCCAGAGTGGTCCCCATTGCCCGACCAACAAGTATTCAAAATGTCCTCTGCGATACTCCTCAGCGTCGCCCCATCCGTCCGCCCACCCAGGGCGTCCACGCCGGTGGACCTCGTATTGGCGGTCATAGTGACGGTGCCGACGTTGCCGTTCGTGTTGAGGAACGCGACCTGGCAGCAGGACGAGCCGCCGCCCTGGCTGTGGCTGAGGCAGCTGCTGCCGAACCCAAAGTCCGCGTCGCGGCCGGGAACGCCGAAGTCCTGCTGGGACGTATTGATGTTGTTGATGATGTCCTGGGCGAAGGCGCGCGGGACACCCTTGTCGCCCTGGTCGCAGAAGACGCGGCCGTCGCTGGGACTGATAGCTGCGACGAGCGGTGTGAGCGCGGCGAGGGAGATGGCGAGGATGGTGGATTGAATGCTGAGCATATTTGGCTGTAGAAACTCGTCAATGACATGACCCTTTCATTACAAGCCGAAAGTGGAAGCTCACCTATGTGATGAACAGAAAGTGAGTTCTGATACTAGAGCTGGTTTGCGAAGGAGCTGATGCGTCTGGTGGAGATGTGATTGGATAAAGGCTGAAAGAAACACAGGGCCTTTTATAACATTCCAGGAAAGAGCACTATTGTTTCAAAGTCAACAGAGCACCATCAACATCCGCGGACACCGCGGATGCCAAGCTACAATGTCATTCTCGTTGACCGTACGGGCGGGCCTGCATCCTGAAGGAAACAACGCTCTACATACAAGGTTTCCGAGCGGTGATACCTCCGACTTGACATCACCCTGTGACTTCACGTAGGGTCAGCAGCGCCAGCAGACGTCCAGCCTTTAGCTCTCGTCGCTTCTCCTACACCGTTGAATGCCCATTCCCATTACTCGTTGTGGGGATATTAACTCCGTAGTATAATCTATAGGGCACCTCACGAACAGCCCATGGAGGCGATGATGATGGGCATGGTACGTATGTCCGGCCCGGCTTGAGGACAGTTCCGGTACGATTATGTCGGATGTCAGGCCATGTGGACGCAATATACAGAGCTTGCAATACCGGAAGACATAGCACAACAACCGTGGATGTACAGACGGTCCTGTCCTGGTCAGAGATACCGCGAATTTGGCTTGTTTATTTGTCTTGCCAAAGTTGCTTCAGACTTAGAGTATCCCCAGCGGAACGCGTGACGGTCCCGGATGTAAAGTATAAGCTCCTCGTTTCCAGCTGCTGTGCATTCATTCACAATAATCGTACATCATGACTACAGGTACATTCACATTCAATGACATCAGAAACTAACAGGCAGATACATATTCGTCCTCCGGCTACACGAAATCGTGATTCACCAGACCGCAAGAAGGAAACCTTACAGGCGAACCTGGCCGGGAACCTTGAACGTCAAGAGCTTGAAGAACACCACGATGCCCGTGGCGAAAATCATCCAGGCTAGGTTCTTAGCCCAGACGCCGGACTGGCCGAAGTATAGGCCGACGAGGTTGTAGAGCATCGTCGCGGAAAAGATGGGGTTAGTCAAAAGAGCCTGGATACTAAAGCGTCAGTCAGGCAACCAAACGGGCGGTGAGTCAATCATTTACCCCAAGACCGAAGACAAGTCCGGTGACAACCTGGATAGCGGTGCTCGGTGGTCCAGCTAATCGCTGTAGGACGCGCGTCAGATACGAGGTTAGTGTAACTACTTGCGACTTACTAAAACGACAGCGCCGTTGTCCACGAAATCAAGGACGCCAATACCGGCAAACGTCTGAGCGGTAAGGTGCGTCCAGACATTATCCGCCGTCATAGGTGGCAGCATCACGAAGACGGCGTAGAACTGGGCGAATGAGTTGACGGTCACCAGCGCCTGGGACATGACGAAATTCTCGTTGTTCCAGAACAGCATCCATCCGGCTGTAGGGACGCGTTAAAACCCTCGTCCGGACAATACGGTACACTCTTACCGATGCAGAGGTTCCCGAGCGCATATATGGGCGCATATTTCAGCTGCGATGGCTCCCCATACGCACTTGCGTCGTCCTTCCTTCCGCCGCTCGGCCTCCAGAGCTTGCTGATCCACGTCAGTTGGATCACCACCTGCATCGAGAAGTACACTCCGATGAACATCGGGTTCGGTGAGAAAGCATAATGGTACTAATTCTGCTGCATTAATATTCAAACATCTCCAAAAGATACAACAGGCACGTACGGTATCGTGTATGTCCTTCATGTTCGGCTTCGTCAACATCCCGTAAGTCTGTGCCGCGAAGTTAATGGCCCACGACCCGAGGGTCATCAACCGCGCCCTGTTCACATCCTGCATCGTGACTTTCTGGCTCATCGTCGAGGGGCTAGTCGTCGTCGGCAATAGAGTATCGGAAGGCTGTTGGTTCTGTGAGGTCATGGGGGTATAATGCCAGCTCTGCGACAGGTTTTATACGCATGGCGGCGGCTGGCGGGAGCGCGGAGGGTAGACGGGTGACATGGGATGAGGTCAGGACGCGTCAAGGATCGACGATCGACAGCCTGACCTATATATGGTATTTTTCCTACCACTTTTGGTAGTCAGTGGCGGATGGCGACTTCAGCCGTTATTCCTGGTTGGACGGGACGGCCACAGGGGATCGATGACTGGTAGAACGCAGCAGCAGTACCATATGATATTATGAAAAATTGAGGCTTTCAGTCGAAGTATGGACATACTCTCTATGAACGGGATCTTTGTCGGAAAGGGGAACATTCCCGAGGGCATCCCATCCAGCTCGACATGGTAGTCACAATTTTCCAAGGCATAAGATACATCATGCGTAAATTTCCATTCAGCAGGACGCACTAAAAATTAAGGGAATCTAGTACACTCGTCCCAGGTGATACAGCACCTGATACATCTGCATGGGTGCGGGAGGAATTGATGGGTAGCGACAATGAAGACATGACCAGTAGTTGACGCAACCAGATGGTTGCCCATGGTGCCATCTCTCTATGTTTCATATCACCTCCTGGACGCCGATCGGGAGGCGTATGCAAATCTGCCCTGACGCTGTATCGAGGGCATGTTTCATGGATCTGCGCCCTGGGTGGGAACAACTATCACCTACCAGTGGAAGCGCACTTACCGCAACGCGCCAATTCATGCATGGGAATTCCCAGGTGCCCCAATCTTTATCAGTGCCATCGGAAGCTGCGAGATCTTCCACTCGAACAGTACCTCCGCTGTGGCAGACAATCTTGACGAAAGAAGTGACTCACGCGCTGAGATATCTCATACGTACGCCTTGAATATTCAATTCTTTGAACGCGGTTGACACTATTGCTACGGTGATGGGATGTACCTGTCAAGGCCTTTGGGTTGATCGACCGATTCGTGGCTGAAGAATGGCTCGCGGTCTGCCTTTGTCATACCAGCAACATAGGCACCCCGCCCGGTCTTCGTGTATTTCTCTTCAATGCTGTAACACCCTCGATTCAGATGGGCCTCGTAATACGAAGATGTGGGTCTTGCGCCTTAAACGCCTGACGGTGACCCACTTCCGACACTGTTTCGCTATCTGGCAAGTGCCAGAATACGACACGAGCACACCATAGTAGAGCCCAGCGGCGAACGCTCTCTGCGCACGAGACCAACTTGAATCTTTCATCAAAGGAGGCATCAAGTGCTTCTTGGTTGGATTCCAGGCCCTTGTACTTTGCTACCACAGGTGCCGCCTGCGAGCCGAGATGGATTGGATCCGAGTACTAGTAGTCCGAGGGACAATATAAATACAAGGCATATCCATTCAAATACATCAATTATTCCCGATGACGCGCGACGCAAAGAGAAGCCCTGACTGTGTTGACACGGCACCGGGAGACGCGATATGTCTACTGCTTCGTAAATTGGTCCAGCGAAGGAGCTAGATCCATGAGCGAAGCTGAGTAGACAGTACAAAAAATGAAGTGGCACCAACTCCTTTCTCGAACATTTCGCAAGCAGCTCCCAATGGTACTCGCGCCACAGTGCCCCGCAGTGCTATTTACGAGAGTGAGAACGCAGACCAAATTGGACATTTAATGCTACATACCTGACAGTGCTTATCGTGAAGGAAGCTTACCCAGGCCGGCAGAGCCGTACCGGGAGGACAGGCGGGCAGCGACGGGCGGATCGAAAACGACGCCTTCCAAACGCTTTCAGCATTTTTGCTGAGAGCCAGTTTCCTGAAAGTCTTGGTAGTTCTCGCAAGGCGTAGCAAGTCCTCAGGATGCATGCGCTGGAATATCTGGCAGCGATGTATGTAATAGGAGATGAAATGACCGTGTCTGCAAGACCCACTGCCACTTACCTCGTAGAGAACGTCCAGAGGCATGCTGACTAGGAGGGTCAGGTCATCTGCATGCTCCGTTCGTGCTTGGTGGGCCATGCGAGGCTGTGTTGAGTGACTTTACTCTTGAAACTGCTAGGATGGGTCAGAACATGGAGAGAGTTAAGATTGAAAAGGCGGCAAAGTACAAGAGCATGCCACCGGACGCCAACTAGGGTCACGCGTGATTCTTAAGACGCCGTCTCTGTCCCAAGAACGTTGGGGGCCTGACAAACTACAATGCGAAGTGACCGTCTCGACAGATAAGGCTGCATGTGGTGTAAAGGCATATCAGCGAGCTCTCCAGCACATGTATGACGAGAACGTCCAATTAGTCATCGTCTCCGTAAAATACAATGCCCCGTGAGACTTCATTAGGTAGTCTATTCGTCGCCCTCGGGATCGTATACATACGTCCCATAAATCGGCTCCCACTGCTTCTCCCTCACCTTTTCTCTTGCCTCCTCCTTCTTCCAATCCACACCCGCAATGCCTTCCTCGATAGCTTGCTCCGCAACCGCCACGGCAACTTCGTAGTTGCACTTTGGCGCATCCGCCATATCCGGGAGCAGCGCATCATCAGGATCTTTGAGGGCAGGGGCCAGGGAGGCTAGTCGACGTGTGGCAGCGATGATCATGCTGTCTGTAATCTTGCGAGCCTTGGAAATCACGGCGCCGAAACCAATTCCGGGGTAAATAAGAGCATCTGAATCCGAATTAGGGTCCTCGAGTAAACCTCCCTAAGACAACCACTTACTATTACACTCGGCGATGCTAAGCAGGCGGAGATCATCAGCACACACACCTGCAAGTCATAACCAAAACTCACATATAGTCCTTCCCGTTCGGGTTCTTGGTAGCGGGGAACGGACTCCCCGTCGCCATCAACGCCTTCCCGCCCGTCCACTGATTCGCATCCTTCGGGTCCACCTCGACCAGCCTACTCGGATTACTCAATGGGAGGATAATCGGCCGGTCCACGCCCTTCGCCATTTCCTTCACCACCTCCTCCGTGAACGCGCCCGCCTTCGTCGAGCACCCGATCAACACCGTCGGCTTCACCTTTTTCACCACGTCCAGCAGCCCGACCTCCCCCTTCGCGTCGGGCCACTCAGAGTCGGGCCGCGTGAACTCCCTGATGCCTTCCCGGATCTTCTCCGGACCCAGCGATTCCTTGACGAGGCCGAATCTGTCGAGGAGCCAGAATCGCTTATTGGCTTCTTCGCGAGAGAGGTTGTCCATCGTCATCATGGCATCGCGGATTTGGGCGGTGATACCGTGCCCAGCGGATCCTGCACCGTAAACTACGAAGCGCTGATCGGAGAGCTTCGTCTTTGTCACACCGATCGCAGCCATGATGCAGGCTAGTGTGACTGCACCAGTGCCCTGGCTAAGCCATAATGTATCAGCATCGTGGGATAGGCTGCATAGGCGAGATCTTGCCGTACATATCATCATTGAACACAGCGTGGTGATCACGGTAGGTATCGAGAAGCCTCTGAGCATTTGCGGTTCCAAAGTCTTCGAAATGAAGTAGGGAATGCGGGAGATGCTTCCGTACGAGTTGGACGAACTTGTCTATGAATTCATCGTACTCTTTACCACGGACGCGTTTCTCTGGCCAGCCCTGCAAGAATCTGTCGTAAGGGAGAAAATGCTGTGTGAAAGGGAGATATACATGCCACATATAAATCATCGTTGCGTATATCGTCGTTATCGGTTCCGACATCGAAAATGACAGCCAGAGTCCTGGAAGGATCAATGCCTGCAATTAAACTATAAAATCCTATCAGTAACTTATCGGGTTTCAGATGAGAGGGGGGGTGTACCTGTATAGCGCAGACTTCGCAGCTGAGATCTGCGATCCCGGCATTAGCTATCGTCGTGGAAGTATAATATCCCAAGCTTACCCCGATACCCTGGAAGAAAATGAGTCAAAACGAATTGGAGAATGGCACACAGACTCACCCCGACGCCCTGATCTCCAATTCCCAAAATAGCTTCAGCGTCCGAGCAGACTATAAGGTCAACATTTCGCCCTTTCACTTGCTCTAAGAAGTCCTCTTCCATAGAGTCCTGGTTCGGAAAGGTGAGATATAGCCCTTCACTACGGCGGTATAGGTGAGAATAGTTTGCGATCGCATCGCCCTACAATCGTCACCATCAGAGTTTAAGGATATTAGCGAAGACAGTACCTCAGTGGGAGTGTATATAATGGGTATCAACTCCTTCAGGTGCCTTCGCAGCAATTCAAAGTACAACACCCGATTCTGCTCCTTCATACTCTGCATGAAGCTGTTCTTTCTTATCGGGGTGTCCCGCATCTGCAGCTGATCGTAGGCACGCTGACATTGTTCATCGAGAGTATTGACGCGGAATGGCAAACGCCCAGTCAGTCCGAACGCCTTGCGTTCCTCCATAGTGAACGCAGTCCCCTTATTCCATCGAGGGTTGTTCAAAATGGCCTCCCCTCGTAGCCGGACGCGAAAGACTTGCTGGGCTTTGGCTGCCGTAGACGCCATGGTGGTTTAGACAGAGAAAGATGCGAGGAACGACACCTATAAATGCGTCGGCCTCGAGTTGCGCAGTGACGCCACTGGCGCATTTGTCTTGTCGTCATGCATCAGAATCTTCCCGGCAGCACGCGGAGCGAGCAATCATTTATTTTCAGGACGGTCGACATTCGGGCGAGATAAACCAGATTCAGCTTGGAACGCGCGTATCGTCGGCCTGCAGAATTTCAAGCCCGGGCAACGGAATGATGGGAAGCGACTCAGGCTGAGCGCTGAGGTCGCGTCCAAGTCTGGACGTCGGGCGATGCCACTCTCCCACGCACCCCGACGCAGGGTATCGGGATGCTACATTCGTCCTTCAGAGCCACGTAGAGATCAAGTTGAATATCAGTAAGTCTTCCGTCCGGGGATTTACGACGTAATCATTGTGATGGATGCGACAATAGAATCATGAATTTGTTGGTGGCTTTACCTGTGTCCCTGATGTCCACTGCTCCCCGACTTAGAGTAAACGCAGCGATGAGCACATGACCGATGCGTCCAACGGTACTCAGTGGCTGTATGGCATCGAGAACTAGAGCCCGTGGCATTCGGGACAGATCCTCTAGACAGAGCCAACCGAACCACGGTCCTACATCGCTAAGCTAGGTAAGTACCTCCGCTGTGGTGCACAAGCACCAACGGGATCTGAAACCAGCGTTTAGACAGACGAACAGGTTACAGACATGAATTATATCCTATATTCTACTAATACTATGACCTCTTGCGGTTTCTTTGAGAGCGGCGAAGCTGATGGACAGGGAGGGACAAACCCTATCTATCTTTGGAAGGCTCACGTTATGAGCGTGGCCGCAGTGGGCGCTCCTCGCGAATGTAAAAGGCGCGCCCCCACAGCTCCTTGCTCACCTCAGACTTCCACTGGCCCCTTCATGGCTCCTTCACAGAAGCGCCGCCAACTAGAGGCCGATGAACGACCAGGAACTGGTCAGACTCGTTCAAAGAAAGCAAGACGCAAAGGCAAACTCTCACTAATTGTAGACATGCCCCTGGACATCCTTCTCGAAGTACGCGCTTAACCCACGCTGTCAGTCGACGTCCCTACACCCCCTTCTGCAGATATTTCAGCACCTGCAACCCCTCGATCTCCTGCACATGGCACGGACCACCAAATCACTGCGGGGTATTATCATGCACCGTTCCGCGAAGACCATATGGACGGCCTCTTTCGCGCTTCGTCCAAACTTCCCCGAATGTCCCCCAGAGATGTCGTTACCGGCGTGGGCCCGCTTCCTCTGCGACCCGCATTGCCAAGTGAGCTCTGCACGCCGATGCTTTCTTGGGTGTATGATTAACAGGTCTTCTAAGGTCTGCCTCGCCGCTTGTGTGCACAATCCGGACTGGATTTTGCGCAGACGGTTATGCTCCCGCTGTTCGGAGAAGACGTACGTATCACGCCTTCTGCATCATCCTCTATCATCTGGCCACTACTTTCCCCGTAGGTATACTTACGGCAGCCACTACTATGACGGTGTAGTAATCAACAACTTGATCCCTCATCACGTCCTGCGTGAGAGCCGTGTTCCTTGTTCCAGCCCGCTCGCCGTACTGACATACCGCCCAAGGTTATCAACAAGGCACTTACTACCTCGAATCCGAGGCGAAAGCCGTGATCGCGAAATACAAGACCTTGCAAGGAGACCCAGCGGCGCTGCAAGCCTTCGTTGAAGAGAGAGCAGAGGTCTGCCGGAGGACACAGCAGGTACGCCGCCTTTAACCCTTGACGGGCATCGTGGAAAGGGTGCGCTGACCAGCCTGCTTTACTTAGTTGGCGAGGGAGTGCGAACAATGGGCCGATCAGAGAGCAGAACAGCGCAAGTTACAGCGCTACTTCACGCGAATGGAGAGACGAGAAGCGTGCGCATCATAGCCTAGTAGCAGTTCTTACGGACTTGCTGACTTGCAAGCGGCCTCCAGGATCATCGCAAGACTCCGATCCGCAGGATGGACAGAGGAGGTTGACAACATGGGCAATTCCGCCCGAATGAAATTCGACCGCCACCAGCTGGTCTACCAAGCACGCCCGCTCACGGACCGCAGTGAGCACGGTCAGTTGAATCAGCGTGAACACCCTATCTAACCCTTCACCGCAGTATGGGCTAAGATCGAAGGGACCCTTGTATCCTGGATGAAGGAGCTCAAGGAGGCTCGTATAGTAGCAGAGAAGGCTCGAATTGCGGCAGAGGAGGCTCCCATTGCGGCAGAGCAGGCTCGAATTTCGGCAGAGCAGGCTCGGATTGCGGCAGAGCAGGCTCGGATTGCGGCAGAGCAGGCTCGGATTGCGGCAGAGCAGGCTCGGATTGCGGCAGAGGAACTAGAAAGACAAAAGGCTGAAGACGAGGAATGGCGCAGACGCATGCGGGAGCCTGAAGCAAAATGGCGCAGATACCTGCGGGAGCTCGACCCGGAATATGCCAGCAGGTTCGCCTGCATGTCGTGCGCCAGTGAGAAAGACACCGGGATCTGGACCATCCCGTGCATGAACAAGAAGTCAGCGGTGCGTCGCAATACCGTATGACGCTCGTATTCTTACTGAAGAGACTTTAGGAATTTCATGCCCTCCAACCGCACCCCGGTTTGGGGGAAAGCCTTCCCTCGCTAGTGCAGCTCTCGGGTGGATGTGCCCAGGGAGTGCGTGTTGCCGAAGAGGGAGGGAGGGGGCAGTCTATTGATCAAGGTGTGGCGATGATTCAGATGGACTTCGCCGAGATGGAGGGGCTGGGAGACCCGGATGCTTTGGTGTATGAAGGGCATGAGCTGACTATGCAGGGGGTCGCCGGTTATTCATGACAGCCATCTCGAATGTGACAGATAGACTGTTGTGAGTGCGTCGTACTAACCCAGCTCAACTCTATTACATCATTTCATGGAATGGTCGGAGCACTAGGGGCAATGAGCGCTCAAGCATGCGGGGGTAATTACAGCTTGATCTTCATCCCTATACAATTCCGCGTCACTCCAAAATGCACCTCCCCGAACATCTTCATGCCCAGCCGCTCGTACCACTCAACAACATGCATCCGTGCCTCACACCACGCGGATGTCGCTTTATACTCTTCCCTTGCGACGGTGAACAAATGATGCATCAGGGCTGAGCCGATTCCTCGCCCGCGGTATGCCGGGTCGCACGCGAGCTTGTAGAAGTGCACGGCGGTGGCAGATCGATCTTCCGCAGTATCTTGCGCTACCTGATCATGAGGCAGGGGATCTAGGGATATTGATAGGTTACCGACCGGGGCGTCGTTCCGGGGGAGGAAGGCGCCGAAATGGTACCCTGTGTCGTCGATGGGTGTGTGGAGACACCAGTGCGGCCCATCAGGGAACAGGATTGAGCTGCGCAGTGAGTATGTTTGCTGAACTGGGATCCGTCGAATGTTTACAGCAGCGTGGAAGTCAGTATATTAAAGTGGGAGTACGAAGAAACAGGATGCATAAATGTGGCCCAATATGAAACAAGATCAGTAATAGTTCATATGGTAAGTCCGTCCTGTACTGTACTATCGAACATGCATCAGGCCGTCGAATGCTTACACTCTGGTTGCTGCGAGCCTCCTTGTGGATGATCGATCTTGACGCTTGCTTCCATCTGTCTCTTCAAGTTCCTTGTTTCCGAGCTGTTCAAGTTCTGGCCCGATGGAAAGAGCGGCATACGGTTGGCTCTTGTGGCTGCGTTCTATGCCGCCTTAGGATAAATATTGCGTCAAGCAAGTACTCTAACGATGCAATTGCCAGAATCCGAATCCGAGTTACTGTAGATCGACTCATGGCCTGTGAGAACACTGAGAAGCACCGGTGGACAGCCACACTGAGTTATAATTAGAATACTTCCCTGTGGCACTGCGTTCGGTCCCGCGTACCGAGGCGGAGTCGCACTTGACACTTGACCACCACTACCATTTCTCGACGATTCACCCCCCTTTGCTTCAGCTGAACAAGTCCGATTTATTCAGGAATGGGAAAACGTTCGAGGACTGTTGCAGCGGAAAGCGACAGCCCGACCAAGCGAGCCCGCAAGGGAAAGAACGATGGGCGATTAGCTATGTTGTTAGAGATGCCTATGGATATCCTGTTTGAAGTACGTCGAATTTATATTTGATTACTATACTTGATATTTTTTCTGACGAGGATATGAAAAATAGATTTTGTCGCATGCCCATCCGCTGGATCTCCTGCAAGTCACCAGAACAAGCAGGGAACTGCGTCGTACATTGCTCTCTCCCTCTTCGACGTCCATCTGGAAAGCATCCCTTGCAGCCGACCCAGACTTACCAGAATGTCCACCGGATCTGTCATACCCCCGCTGGGTGCACCTCGTCTACGACCCTTATTGCCATGTAAGTCAATAGCAGCTTAGGGGCGACTGCACACTTAGCTGGCTGTCCTAGAATTGCTCCCGCACCCGAGTGAAAAATCCCGATTGGAGGCTGAGGGTACGGTTTTGCTCCCCGTGCTTCAGACAAGAGTCAGTTGTCTTTATATCTCAATTGTTTGTAGCATCGTCCCAACCTTCCGATTTTTTAACAGGGTTTGCGAGCACGTCCCATGGAGCTTCTGGGTGCCAATACCTTCCTTGCTCCCACATCGAGATGGTATGCGAAGGGTTACATTGGCTCTACACCCGCTGAATCATAGGCTGATTGTCATTCTACAGCAAAGAATTTCAAGCACTTATTCGTAACGTCCCACATAACGGAAATGACGGCCAAGTGGAAGTCCTTCAAGAGCGACGAAGACTCACAGTTCAAGTTCTTCCTCGAACGCCTGGAGATCGTGAAACAAATCAACGAGGTACGGCCTCCTTCGTCCTATCCTATCCAAGGGACACCCGTCTCTGACGCTTGTACCAGCATGCATCTAGATGCGAGGTGTGGGCTCGGAAGAAGGCTTTAGACCGGATAGCCTACCAGGACCAACTGCGATTGGACCGACGAGCGGCGTACGTCTCCTGCACTTGAATATCCTTTGCCCGTAACAGTAACTTAGTCTGTGCATACTTTCAGCATCATCCAGAAACTGAAAGCCGAAGGGTACGCAAAGGATCTGGACTCTATGACAAACGACGATTGGACCGCCTTCGACAGGCTGAAGCCGGTCGCCCAGAACCGCGCGCTTACCGAACGAGGTCAGTCACTAGTATCCGGCGCATCGAGGCGATTTCTCCGAAGCTGACTTGAACTCAGCGTGGAAGAACAGTCGTGAGCCGATTATTCATTTCATCGCGTTGCGGAGGAAAGGGACCTAGAAGGGCTAGGATGTATCATTATACATGTCGTATCATGTACCACTAGATTGATATTACCACGGTGCATCTCGCTGTTGTAATTTGCATTGGCTTTGTAACCATAGCACTGCTGCTTGTACGCATATCTCTTCTCGCTTTCAAATATTCTAAAGCGATAGCGCGTATCAGAGGGTTATTCTCGATAAAATGCGACTTCGGGACCAAGCGTGTGGCAAAGCATTCTGTATTTGTACCTATTTACTAATTACTTTCATGAGAGATCGCGTCTGTGGCGCGCGTCGCGTCCTACGTCCGCGTCAATGACGCGTACAGTCGCCGCCTACTCCTCGCTAGATTTATCGGATCATTGTATACGGGAATGGCGAAACGTACGAAGAGGGAAAGTATTGCTCTAGTGGAGGGGGATGCGCACGCAGACCAGAAACCCGCCAAGCGCAAACGCAAGCGGCGGAAAGACGACAAACTTTCTATGTTGGTGGAGATGCCAATGGATATCCTGTTCGGAGTACGCGGCGCCTTCTCTTTTTTGATGCTCGTTACTGAAGATGGATATACACGGTATAAGATTCTGTCTCATCTCCACCCGCTGGATCTCCTCCAAGTCGCTAGAACAAGCAAGGAGCTACGAAAGAGACTGCTCTCGCGCGCTGCATCATCTGTGTGGAAAAGGACTGTTGCGTCTGCCCCGAACTTCCAGAGTGTCCACAGGACCTCTCCTATCCCGCATGGGTGCACCTGGTCTATGATCCCTACTGTCATGTAAGTACTAGTAGGGGACTTCAGCTTACTGCTATATCAACTGGCGATGACGCACTCACACTGATGTAATGCATGTGCGATGCCGCAGAAATGTCACGGTACTACGTCCCGAGTAATGAAGCCGGATTGGAGGCTACGCATACGATTATGCGTGCGCTGCGCCAAAGAGGAGTAAGACACCCCTCCTCGGTCCATCGTATCACCTCACCTTGCGTGCACAGGTATCACTATCATTGCCCTCACTTCACCGGCGACTTCTCCGTGCTCGAAGCACTCCCGCATCGAGAGAGTGAGTCCGCTCGTCTGTTCTTCGGTAGCGCCTCTGACGAGCGCTAGTTACGCCGGCTAAACATGTATACGTCAAGTCTCACATCGAGAAGATGCGCGAGAGACGGTGCAGCCCCGGGTTTGACGATTTAGTGGTTGAACGGAGGAGAATGAACGAACATATTTACGAGGTGCGTAAAATATTTCACTAGTTTCACCCCTGTTTATCCCGTTCGTTTACTGGATTCGTGGTATCAGCATGCGGACAGATGCGAAGAGTGGGCTCGGAAGAAAGCAGCGGACCATAAAGCACATCAGGATGCCCAGCAATCTGAGAGGCGCGCAGCGTATGTCGGACTCTTCCCTCATATCATTTCGTCGCCCACTCAATCGTCCCGCCTTTCAGCATCATTCAGAAGCTGAAAGAGGAAGGCTACTCCGAGATGATGGCTAAGATGACCGAAGCCGACTGGGCTGTTTTTGACGAGCTGAAGCCGGTGGCGCAGAAGCGTGCGCTTACTGACCGAGGTGTGTGTTGTAGCGCGTCGAACGGTGGGATCTACATGACAATACTGACTTGATGCAGTGTAGAAGAATATACGGGAGGAGGTCGTGGAGTTCCTTGAGTGCTGTGTATAAGCTTAAGAGCAACCTCAGGCTGCTGAGTTGGGGCCTGCATCTTGCGTGCAGGTTCTTTCTCCGGGCACGGCTATCCTGAAAGCGTTTTCAGTGTCTTCGTAGACAATCGACGCTGTAACAGAGAGGGGCGACGATTCCATTGTGCTATTCAGCGGGACGAGTCTGCACGGACACAGAACAGCGGAAATTATGCATAACAGGTATAGATTATTAGAGTGACCCTTGGCTATCCCAGTAAATGCAGGTACGGTGTGATGTAGCTCGACATGTTATACCACGAGCTCCCCCTCCACACTCCCTGGCTCTAACGCCAGGCGCGGCAGCAACGCTTCATACCTGTCTCGGTCCAACCGCTTCAGGTACTTGAGAATTTTCGCTCGCTGATGTACGAGCTTGCGCAACCACCGACGGTTGCCGACGTCCCGCTTGTACTTGGTCAGATGCGACCACAGGTTACGAATCTTCATCGTAAGGAGAGCAGCTTCATGATAACGATAAGTCAGGAGTGTCGCTGCGACCTCTGTGAACTCTCGTACCTTGCACCTCAGGCCTGCCCGGATCGTTTGGCTTCCGCGGGTCCGAAAACGCCTGCACGACCCGCTTGCGGTTCTCGAACGCCAGCCCCGCCGCATTGGTGTTCCGCAAGTCCAGCAAGCTCGCCATCTGGTTCATCTTCCGCACCTCGCCGACCATCTCGCGCTGGTACTCCGCCATCAACGCAGACGGGTCCGCGCCCTGCCTTGAGTTCTGCGCGCGCCGCACGCGCACGTCGTTGCGCGTCGTCGCCGCCTCCGCCGAGAGGACGGGCAGCGTCTCGAACAGCAGCCTTTTCTCCTCCTCGCGCACGCCGAACTGGAAGAGTGGGGGAAGGCGCAGCTCGCCGAGCGGGTGCGAGACGAGCTGCGGCGCGGGCGAGGCGAGCAGTTGCTCCTCGGTGACGAGGACCTTCGCGAGGTCGCATGTCGACCATTTCGACTCGTCGCCTGGCCGCGTGCCAAGGACGACGTGCGGGCGGGTGGCCTGCGCGAGGCGTTGGCGCTCGGCGCGCTGCTCGAGGTTGGCCTTTTTAGCTTGGCGGGCGGTGCGTTCGCGGTGGCCCTCGGCTCGCCAGACGGCGGAGGTGTGCAGGCCTGCCCGGGTGCATGTGCTGGAGGAGGCGACGGCCCTCGAGCCTGAGCAGAGAGAGTTCCAGTTAGAAAGAGTAGATGAGAACAGCAGCAGGGCACTCACTTTGCGAAAAACAGGACCGCAACATACCAGCACCCGACCCTAACATACAACGGAAGAACTCTAACCTCTCGATTTGCCGCGCAACATACCTGGGAACGTCTTACGTAACGCCACCCTTACCTTATATAAAGTTATAAACCCAAATTTTCGCGACTTTTTTTCTCTCTTCAAGGGTGATATGCCACGCTGCGCGACGCAGACCTCTCGACCGTCGATGACAGTGCCAGAGACTCTTCGAGTCGCTGTTCTCTCGAGAGCATCTCCAGTATAGGAAGTATCGCGCCGCCTTGCACTAGGGCGCGGTATGTCGACAAACCCTGGGACATCCGCTCATTTTGTCGGGATTTTTGGTTGCTGAAGGAGGAGCCGTGCAGGCTGCTTAGAGGTGGGTAGTTGCTGGCTGTATCGGTGTGCTGTATATGTCTGTTTCCCGTCGTCGTGAATATATGATTTGCCTGCCTTCTCGGATTCGCGTATAGAGAGCATGGACGTCGCTGTTCGAGCTCACAATTCATGCTACCATTTATCGCCGAACCGCCCTTGTCCTCGACACCGACAATATCACCGAACTACCTGCTGTTCCTCCACTTCGACCTTCCCTTCCTCCTCCCTCCCCAGTGAGTCGCACCCATCCAACTCCTCCTCCTTCCCATCCCCAGCCTCCCGTGGTTCCTCCCGGGGCTTCTCGAACAAGCTCGGCCGCCAACTATACGAATTCCAGGGCTTCACGCCCGAGCGGTACATCTCGTCCACCTGCGTCACTTCCATCACCACTGTAAGGCAGCCGTGAACTCGAAAGGCCACGCACCTCCTCTAGTCGGAGCCCCTTGGTCTCCGGTATGAACAAATACACATACCCGAACGCGAACACGAGGATCCCGCAGAATATTAGGAGTATGAGCGGGCCGATGCGCGCTGCGATGCGCGGGGCGAAGAACGAGCCCAGGAAGTTCCACACCCAATCTACCGAAACCCATCACCATCCACCCACACACAAACGATCTGAGACTCACTGGTCGCCACCGCCAGCGCGATACACCGGCTCCTTACCCGCAGCGGGAAGCTCTCGCCGACGTACACCCACGGCGCGGGCCCCCAGCTCGCGGAGAAGGCGAACACCTGCAGGACCGCGAACGCGATGAGCACGCCGCCGCCCTCTTTGTTTCGCTGCGTGGGGCGTGTGTGGGGGGCGGCGAGGGTGAAGTGCCCGACGAGCCCCGCGATGAGGGCGAATGCAGCTTGGAGGGCTGCGCCGGTTAGGAGGGACTGTGAACGGTGAGTCGGCAGGGAGGAGGGGGAAGAGTTAGTAGAAGGAGGGAAGGGAAGAGGGGAAGAGGGGAGGGGGAGGGGGAGGCGACGTACGTTCCGCCGCCCGAAGGTCTCGATGAGGACGAGCGAGGGGAGGGTGCCGACGACGGAGACGACGCCGAGGATGGTCTGGATCGAGTACGGCGACAAGCTGCCGGACAGCGCGTCGCGCGTGAGCCTGTGATAGTATCGTGAAAGGCAGGGCTTACGGGGCTCCCGCGCTCTGGAAGAACGTGTCGCCGTAGTAATCTGTCACGACAAGTTCGAAGTTGCTTGGAGGGGAGCTCGTGAGGATATAGATACTCGCAGTAGAAATTCTGCCCATTAATCTGCTGTAAGCCTTGCAGCATCATCCCGTTCACCGTGCGGTACCCCAGGCGCGCATTGCGGCTGAAACACTCCGCCCAGCCGGCCCTCCCGCCCTCGTTCTCCGCCTTTATCCCGTACTGCAGCTCCGCGAGGACGTCGTCCACCAGCGCGTCGTCCGCCGGCACGCCGTTCATCTGGGCTACTACCCGCCTGGCGCGGGAGGCATACTTGGACTCGGAAGGGGAAGTGGAGGAGGAGTAGGCGAGGAAGAGGAGGTGCCGCGGGGACTCGGGGAGGAAGAACATTCCCGAGAGGAGGACGAGCCCCCAGAGGAGCTGCAGCCCGATGGGGCTGCGCCAGGAGGCGGAGCCGCGGATGGTGTGCGTGCCCTGCTCGACGACGTAGCTCGCGAGAAACCTGTCAGGCACGGGGTCGGAGAATGCAGCAAAGAATAAGATGACATGAGACGAACCCGAAGTTGATCTGCAGCTGGTACATCACCAACATCGCGCCGCGCAGCCGGCGCGGGACCGTCTCCCCATTATAGAGTGGCACGATCGCGGACATGGCGCCCACCCCGAGGCCGGCGACGAACCTGCCGAGCACGAGCTGCGCGAGCGCCGTCCCGGTGCCCACTTGCACGGCGATGCCCGCGGTGAAGATAGCGGCCCAGATAAGGAGGGAGGGGCGTCGGCCGAGGCGGTCGGAGGTGAGGGATTGGAGGAGGGAGCCGAGGAAGGTGCTGGTGGCGGGGTTAGGGGGGGGCGGGGTTAGGGGGGGCGGGGCCGAGGGGGAAGGGAGGGGGAGGGGGCCGAAAGGGGGAAACGGGGGGAGGGAAGGGCAAGGGCTTACCCGGCAGAGATGACGGAGGTGATGATGGATTGGCGCGAGCTGGTGAGGACGCGCGCGCCGGGCGGTCCTTGGCCGAAGCGGTGGATGAAGTCGGGCATGATGAGGCAGCCCTGGTGTAGTGTTCAGTACTAATCCACTGCGGGGCTCATACGCAGGACGTACGGAGATGACGCCCATGTCGTAGCCGAAGAGAAATCCGCCTAGGGGTTTATGATTAAGGATTCGGGATTCAAGAGAAAGGGCACTAGTACTGGTGAAAACGTACCGAAAGCAATGAACACGGCGAGCAGGATGACCTTGCCGTTCCGTAGCAGGCTCGCAGTACTACTACTAGTCATCTTCCAGTCGGCCGCGGGTGGACAAAGCACTGGCAGCGAATGGAGCAGCTCTCGTCGACTTCGCGTCCGATGCAAGCGAGTCCATTCTCTGCTTGTCCGCGACGTCTTATACCTCGTCGCACTTTCGTCTTCCGCATTCTGGTGCTGAACTCGCGAGGAAGAGGTTATTTTGGTCGGCGGAATATCATGGGGTCTGCATGTCTGGGGTAGGGTGGACACGTCGATTTGTGCGGCTCTCCGTGTCCGACAATCTATTCTTGCCTGCAGGTCTTATTACCCCCTGCTGTGGGTTGATAAGACACGCCGAGTGGACTTTCGATATAGCCATACGCAGTACGATATCCTGCGCTGAATACAGGGCGGTGAATCTCCTTTGTTCTAGAGTAAGCTAGAGCAAAGATTTGTTCGAGCGATAAAACGCCAACCTTGTCAGTAGAGCGGATACAAACGGGTACCTGAAGTGATATGGATAGCTAGTGTTGTCTATTGCTTAGACGTGATACAGCTCCTGTTAACGAAAGGACAGACTCGGTCGTGCACAGCCGTCATGATCAAGACGCGTAGCACTCGATCGCGATACATGTACAGTGACGGCGAACAATCTTTCCCACCCCATAAATGGTAATTTATTCCCATCCCTAGTAAACTCACGCCACTGTGGCATGTGCGAGGCCCTCCAGCTTAGTTTTGTTCATTGGCTCCTTACTGAATTTTGCTCTTATGATTGTTATATTGTGTGTAAGTAAGGTCAAGGTGATACAAGCAAGAACTGAAAGTGAGGAGAAGCAGTCAAGAGGACTTGCCTTTTATGGGGTGGGAAAGATTATTCGCCGTCACTGTAAGATCTCGATTGTGGCTGATGATGTCACTGTGCCGGAGTCTTGGCTCGTCCGGGCAGTATCCCGGCGGCCTCGTGTTGGGGGCAAAGAGGTCCGGGAAGGACCTCTTGCTGTCCAGCATCTCCGGACACCCTCCGCAGACACCGGAGACTGTAGCTGCTCAAGGATTGGAGCCGACATTCTACAGCCATCCCATAAATCTCCGCCACCACCAGCAATGGCGCACGAAACGCCCGTCGTCACGCCGTCCGACCTGCGCGACATCCTCGGCTTCACCACCGCCCTCGCGCGCAGGGCCGGCGCGCTCATCCTCGAGGGCTCCCGCGCCATCCACGCCCCGGAGGCCAAGGACGTCGGCGAGAAGAAGAACTCGGTAGATCTGGTCACCGAGTACGACGTCAAGGTCGAGGAGCTCGTCAGGCGCGAGATCCAGCAGACGTATCCGGACTTTAAGTTGTGAGCGCGGCCTCGGGGTGTATGTTGGATTTGGCGGGAACTGGAACTGACCGTGGATGGAATAGTATCGGAGAAGAGTCGTACGTCGCGGGGCAGAACGAGCTCACCGACGACCCGACCTTCTGCGTCGACCCCATCGGTGCGCCCGCTCCTTCGCCTCTCCCTCCCGGCTGATCTCTCGCCAACCAGACGGCACGACGAACTTTGTCCACGGCTTCCCCTTTGTGTGCATCTCTATCGGGCTCATCTACCACAAACGCCCCGCCCTCGGCGTCATCTACAACCCCTTCCTCGACCAGCTCGTGCGTCCTGTCCCCCTCCCCTCCCCTCCCACTCACCTATTACCACAATACCAGTACACAGGCATCCGCGGCCAAGGCTCGCACCTGCACACCTCCTCGGGCACCCTAAAACTCCCGCTCTCCCCGCCCCGGCCCCTCCCCTCGCTCTCGCAGGCGCTCATCGCCATCGAGTGGGGGTCCGACCGCACGCTGCCCGTCCTCGGCGCCAAGGCCGACTCTTTCCTCAAGCTCGCGGGCGACCCGAGCCCGGACGCGAGCAAGGGCGGGAAGGGCGCCGCGGTGCAGGGCGGGAGGATGGCGCATTCCCTCAGGAGCGTGGGCAGCGCGGCGCTGAATTTCGCGTTGGTCGCGCAGGGCGGGCTGGATGTGTATTGGTGAGTGGTGGTGCGTGTGCTGTTTATTCGGAAGCTGACGGTAGCGCAGGGAGATTGGGTGCTGGTACGCATATATTTATTATTATATTTAGCTGTGGTTCAGTACGTCCACACTAATTATATCATCCTAGGCCATGGGACATCTGCGTGAGTACGCCCACTTGCGGCTTCCCTTGACCGATTTGTATGTTTTCAATATACAGGCAGGCACCGTCATCGCGCAAGAAGCCGGCTGCCTCGTCAGCGGCTCCTCCAAGTGCGCGCACACGGGCGACGTCGCGGAGGAGATCCTCACCGGGCGCAAGTACATCGTCGTGCGCGCCATCGCGGACACCGAGGTGCGTTTGGTTCTCCGTTTTCTGTTGTCTGTGTAGGACTGATGGGTGTGTGGTGGGGGTGTAGAAGGAGAAGGGGAGCGATGCGCAGCGGAGGCTAATTAGGGAGTTTTATGAGACTGTTGCGGAGCCGGATCCGTTGTAGGGAAATTACCCTTGGAATAGGAAGGAGAAGAGAGAGAAAAGAAGTAGGAGAAGGGAGATGGAGTGTATTACTAGACACGCCCTCAGATGGCGCATACGTGCCCTCACGCCTGGCTTTTCGAGTCAAATATGTTACTTCTTCAGTGCACGCAGACGAGGACATTGGATTTGTGGCAAATTGTGGCAACGCACGCCACAGTCCTAATAACGACCGTGAGTAGCGCAAGTCTACGCTTTCCCACGGGACGCGACGCGCGTACCCAGACATGAATGAGTCCATTTAGCACTTGTAACGGTACCGGTACTCGTCATCCTCTCTAGTTCTCCTTCGTTCTCCCAGCTTTTCTGACGACATGTTCTTGACGCGTTCGGAGTACGGTGTGTTTGCTGCTTAGTACTTGTCTGGCTCGGCGCTGACTTGCACTTGGAGATCGGGGTGTTAACACGTTCTCGCCAGAGGGACGGTTATTCCAAGGTGTGCGGTATTGCTAGTTGCTGGTATCAAAGCTTACAGCGACCCACCAGTCGAGTACGCCATCGAGGCAATCAAAGTGCGTCTACCCCCCTTCCGCGCCCAGCAGCACCCTCACCCTCCCCCCAGCTCGGCTCCACCACCGTCGGCGTGCGCACGCCCGCGGGCGTCGTCCTCGGCGTCGAGAAGCGCGTGCAATCGCCCCTCCTCGAGTCCGCCTCCATCGAGAAGATCATGGAAATCGACGCGCACCTGGGCTGCGCGATGTCCGGGCTCACCGCGGACGCACGCACGATGGTCGACCACGCGCGCGTGACGGCGCAGAACCACGCGTTCACGTACGATGAGCGCATCCGCGTGGAGAGCGCGACGCAGGCGGTGTGCGATCTCGCGCTGCGGTTCGGGGAGAGCGTGCACGACGAGGAGGCGATGATGAGCCGCCCGTTCGGGGTCGCGCTGCTGATTGCGGGCGTGGACGAGCAGGGGCCGCAGCTGTGCGTGATAGTCTTGATGGGCTCGACTGACTGGGCTGGGCTGGACTGGCGCGGCTGATGGCGCGGTTGTAGGTTCCATACGGATCCGTCGGGGACGTTCATGCGGTACGAGGCGAAGGCGATCGGGTCGGGCTCGGAGGCGGCGCAGAGTGAGCTGCAGGACAAGTGGCACAAGGTCCGCGCCCACACCCCTTCGACTGAGCGACACTGCTAATTTCTGCTGCTGGTGTAGCAAATGACGCTCCGGGAAGCGCATATCCTGACGCTGCGCGTGCTGAAGCAGGTGATGGAGGAGAAGCTGGACCAGCACAACGTGCAGCTGGCGCAGGTGCGTTCGTCTTGTGGGTGTGGTGTGGTGTGTGCACTGTGAGTGTTGACTTCGGGATGCACAGGTTACACCGGAGAAGGGGTTCGAGATCCTGGACGAAGTGAGACTAAAAGAGCTTGTTGACGACATGTAATTTTACGATATCGCGTGCATGGACTGATTCTATTTTGCACTTGCTGGCTGACCATCTTGATACCTTCGTGAGGACACTCCGAGTCGAGTCGAGCCTCATGCTCATATGTCATGTGGGAAAGGCGAACCCCCTCGTCCATCCGCAGTCGCAGTCAGTCCCGTTCCACATCCATCCTCCTCAGCTGAAGTACTGGCGCCGAAGAGCTCTATTCCGAGTCAGATACTCACCCCCTCCCAGGCTTACTTGGTACCCCCTCGAAGATGGGATCACCCCGCCCGGCGTTCTATCACCACTACATTGACAGGATACGAAATTGCGCGAGCGTCGCGGGTAGCGACAGACTAACTGACACGGGCGCGATACTGGTGGATTTTCCCGAAGAGCGTGCCTGGCGCTCCCAATTCGAAGCATCTTGATCATGATGGTTTTTCTGGAACATGGAGAAGACGAGGAGAACACCGCGCTGGCTGACATGGTCGGTACGGCCGGAGTTGGATGCATGTCCGTTTTCCGCTGACCGCGTTCTTATATTGTAGGGCGCTTCGTCATGATACATTGGTCTGCAGAAGAAGTGCGACACTCGTTTAATCATATCATCGGAGGGATCGAGGATGGACATTTCCTTCTCGTGCCTGGGAAGCTACTGCGCAACGGGTCTTTGCGTGACTACGAAAGAGCTGAGCCCTGCGCAGCAGTTGGCACCCCTGGCAGTGCTTTTGTGGGCCGCGTCTTTGCGCACTGAGGTGACGTCTCTTCCTGGGCGTTAGTTTGATGAGGAGATGCCCGTACCATGAAGTTCAGGTCGAGTTCCCCTCTCCAACAGCGGCGACAGCCACTGGGCCGCAGGACCGCGGCTCAGCTCATCATGCATCACGTCGGGATACACTGGCGTTTACTTTTAGGAGAGAACAGTGCGCCGAGTCATCGACTCCCGTCGGGCATATAATGGAACGCCGTGCTTACATAGGCTGCAAATCGCCTCTGCCTTCGAGTTGAATCTGCTTCCGCGACTCCTGATGCTGGTGCCCTGGTACCTGCATCAGGGAATCCGTGCACTAGACGTGAGGGTATCGGCGCTGCGCGGCACGCCAGGATCCGATTCCCGTTCCAGAATATGCTTAAATTCACTTTGACTCTCTGGAGCCAGTCTCCACAACAGTTTACATACAAAGCCTGAACCATAAAATCTGTATCTATGATGCGGTGTTCTCCCTCTTTGCAGCTTTTCCCTCCCAACCGCCAGACTGCGCCTGGACGTAGCGTAACCACTTCTTGACGATTGTCGTGAAGTAAAGAAGGCAGCTTGAACCAGAGGATATCCCGATCGATGCTCGAGCGGAATGATTGCGCGCAGTAACCATCTTGGGCACACCCTGGCATAGGCGGCTCCTTCACAGCGCAAGCTTGTATCAACTGCCACATCATTACGGGGACAACAACCGGGAGTGAGGGAAGAGCGAGATGACGACCGAGACCCCCATTGCCCTTTAAACTCAGAAAGAAGATAAAACTTTATCATGACCTAAATCGAGAGGGAACGATCGATCGCCTACTTCAACCTTGTAGAAAGGAGTCCCGTCCAAACCGCTGAGAAAGGCATTAGCCCCTGCGGTCAGGCACAATTGCCACGTGTTCCTACACCCCCATAGCGAAATGATAACCGATTCTCAGGGAATCGGAACGCGGATCTTTGCCGCGGCCGATTTGTCTCCGGCCAGCGCTTGCGCGTGCACCGGGAGGGGGTATGTTCGTACATAAGTTATGTCAGAAGGTGGCGGTCAAGGGAGACGCGTAGGGGTCGTCGCCGTAAAGCATACGACCCGTGATCATGACTGACTTTCTGTCTGCGAATCTGACTGAACGTACAACGCTTCTTTGCTACTTCTCTAACCCCAAGTTTCTGCCCTTACTTCAAGCTAAGGCAGGGATTTCCAGATAAGCATGGGTGTTTGACAGATAAGAGTCAGTCGTTATAGAGGAGGGAGCGACAAAGCAAGCGCACCTGGCGATGCACTCGATCTCGAAGAGGACGTCCTTGGGGAGGCGCGCGACCTCGACGCAGGAGCGCGCGGGCTTGTGCGCGCCGAAAAAGTCGGCGTAGATCGCGTTGACGGTGGCGAAGTCGTCCATGCTCTTCAGGAACACCTGCCGACATCCGCCGCGATCAGCGCGCCGCCGCTCTGCGTTCCAGACCTCGAGCACGCACCGTGGTCTTGACTATCTTCCCGACCTCGCTCCCGCTAGCCTCCACGACGGCGCGGAGGTTCGCGAGCGCCTGGCGCGTCTGCGGCTCGATCCCGCCGGGGACGACGGCGCCGGACTGGGGGTCGAAGGGGACGCACCCCGAGACGAAGACGAGGTCGCCGAGCGTGATGCCCTGCGAGTAGGGCCCGATGGCGGCGGGGGCGTCTATGTGGGCAGGGTTAGCGCGCGCGGTACTTTCGATGGAATGGGGGGAAGGTGTTTCATGATGATGCTAGGAGATATGTACTTTGCGTGGAGACGATGGAGAGCGAGGGGTGCGTGCGGGTGCCAGTGCTGGAGGACATGCTTCTCCGTATGGCGGGTGTTGCGGGCGAGCTAGGCTGAATATGCAATCCGGCGCTCGTGCTGCGAAGGTTTCTAGAAAGAGCGGGGAAAGGCGATAGAAGGATGCGTGGACGGAGCTTGACAATGGACAATCGGGATGGCATCGCTGTGGTATTATCTTGTGGGCACCTTCCTTTGGAATATGTACTTGCGATATGAATCCGGACTGCTCAGTGCTCCCGGGCGTGACCAGACGCTTAATTCATTACGGTATGTACGGGAACCTTGTCAGGCTCAGGGCAATGTGTTACCTGTATCTATGAACAGACGGTGACTACATATCGATATTACACACGTATGCAGAAGGATCATCCGACGGACAGGGTGCCCACGTCCAACGAAGTTCCACATGCTAGGTAAGAATGGGATTACCACGGGTGCCAGCTACAGGGCTTCTGGATTGCAGCAGTGGAACGCTGGCGGCACGGACGCTCCTTGGCCCGGCGCGCACATACGCCCGGCTCTGCATGCCAGGCCAGTTCGGGACGGAATCTTCGCCAGGGAATGTGGCCGACAGCACGCGAGATCAGCCCACCGAGTCGGGAAGCAGGGCGCGCAAGTCAGCTGGGGAGCTCGAGCGAAATTTAAATGCCACGCACTGGCAGAGACAAGGAGGCGCTCAGAGTCACGGAGTCGGCGTATGTTGGTGGCGCTGAGAACCCATTCGGGAGTTATCAGCCACCCGCTGTTCCTGATACTCGCCCCCGGTTTCTGGACGCGAACAGATATGCATACACGTGAGAAGAGAAGCCGCAGAGCGCTGAAGGAAGACCGCCGCCGCCTGCACACAGCGGGAGTTGCACCATTTATAGAGCAGAAAAAATGTTGGTCAAGAGTGATATTAGAGCATATTCGGTGTGGTAATTACTACGGGTGGAGCTCCCAAGTAAGGGAATTTTGATGGATTTAAGCAACCCCATTGGCCCCACCACAGCAAATATGCTCTATTGGAGAAATGATATTTACTAATGCATTCCACTAACATTGGTATGAACCTCTTTTCCTGTGCTCAAAAGTGAACCCAACAGATTATTTTTGGCATTGGCTATCCAGAATGCAGGGAGTAACCACAATACTGCACATTCCCCATACATTTTTACGCTCTTCAAAATATTCTATTTTAATGCTGGGGATAGCTATTTCTTGGCAGTGCTTGAGTTTTTAAAAATATCATATTTCCTCAGTAAATAAAGAAATTGGAGAATATAAGATACTAGTGAGCTTTGGCAGCTGGTGCCATACAAAGACTTATACATACTATTTTGAGGCTGGAGGACAGGTTATATTTTGACACCTCAGAGATATGTCTGTAAATATAACTCACCCTTTTGACCAACATTTTCCCACCTCATAAATGGTGCAAGTCCCCCAATAGAAACTGATGGGCATCTGGGCTGTCGGTGAGCGTGACATTCACTTCGGGAGTTGCACTCTTTTGCACTAGCAAAAGATTGTATAGTAGGGATACATGAAAGATTAGCTTTTGTAAATGATTCTGGGGCCCACAAAAGATAATCTTTATCAAGAATTTTGAAGCTTGTAATATATATTTTCTATTTTATTGCCTGTCTAAACCACACAAAAGGTATACTTATAGCCACAGACAATCATATACAGAAAGGTTCATTGGAAATGAAAATAGGAAATCTTGCAGCCCGTCCAAGCAGTTTGCAAGTTATAGTCTTTAGGGCTGGGCAAAAGGTGTATGAAAGGGAATCTGATCACAGCACACGATAGATTATTTTTTGTGAGCCCCCTGTAATCATGGTGATTACTATGGTTGCCGTATTTGGTATCAGAGGTGCTATATCGAGATGCTATGGCTGAAGTTGATGCTTCCGCGTCATTGTGAAATGGTTCATGTTTCCGTTGCGCATCCTTTAAAGGCAGCAACTCTGCTCGTGCTTGGATTATTTCCTCTTGCTCCCACTCTGTAACTGTCCTATATTCATTCGAGAATATACTGAGGTCTACATTCTGTTTGAGTATCTAAGTCGACTACTGGCTACTTTTGGCTAGTGAGGCCAATGACCTTTCACCTGATGTTGTTGGCAGTGCTGTGCCACCCTGCCATGCCAGCTGCCGGCAGTGGCAATGCCGGCTGGCAGACCCAAAGGGCTGTGGCAGGACGTGGCAGGAAATCAAGAAAATACCAAAATTCATTCAGTTTTTACTGTTACATAAAAAATTCGGCATATTATCTTGATTGCTCATACCACTAGTTCAGAGGTTTTTAAATCGCCTCAGAGGCTCATGGAGAATGAATTGAGTGTAGTCGAGGTCCATACCATGGGTCTCCAGCCGGTTCAGGATGGATGTCCCACGATATGTTGCCACCTCCCTGCCACCCGGCAAAATTGGCAGTTGCCGGCAAGCCGGCAGCTGGCAGGGCTCCGGAGTGGCTGCCATACACACTACTTTCACCCCAGAATCATGTACAAAAGCCAATATTTGCAAGGCCCAACGACTTTTGATCCATAATGGGGAGCTGCTGATCCAGAAGATTTAGGATTACCTACCTAATCCGGTAGCCCTTGCTCCACCCGTCCTGCGAAGTGCTCATTAAAACTCATATTTCTTGTTCCCTTGCCCTCATTCTTCTTCAACGAGCCTCTGCAGATACCTACGATATGTCTCCTACAAGTTTTGTGGCAGTCGGAGGTGATATATAGGAAACCCGCTCTTCGGTAAGCGAGCGTGCCGCACTGATCCGTGAGCCTTTCAGAAAAGTGGAGCCTCTCGTGCCGCAAAGCTTTGGGCCTTGCAAATACGCGCTATTTTATCACGGGCCCTGGGACGTTCCCTGGCGACGGTGCCTGAGTTTATTGCATTTGTGGCGTCCGCCTTGTGCGACGGGCGGGCTTCGGACGGGAGATGCCGCCGCCGGCAACTTGTTTAGTCGCGCTAGGCCCGAAAAGGTAACTACTGGTCGGCGCTGAATGGACATCGAGTCTTCGTAGAGACCGCCTTTCTCGAGCGAACGTTCTCAAACTCTCCTGCCGCCTCCCTTTCGCGTCGCTCGCCTCCTGCCTCCGTCCTCCACGGTCCTTTTTTGCTGCTCCCGCCGTCGTGGCCGTCGCAATTGTCCATCCTGGCGCCCTCAAATATACTCTCGCGTTCCTCGTACCCGTCGCAGGTCTACGATGTTAATATGCCCGCCGCGCCCAAGCTCGAGCCGAATCGGCGGAGGTCGCTCTCGGACCCCTTCGAGCGCGTCATGCAGCCCCCCGAGGACGAAACCATGAACGAACGCGAGCGGCGGCTCCAGGCCGAGGCCCACGCAAAGAAGGTCAGCGACGGAATTGACGAGATGATCAGGCAGGAGAGAAAGGAACGGATGAAAAAGAAAGAGGTCAAGGTCCTCCTGCTCGGCCAGAGCGAGAGCGGCAAGAGCACCACCCTCAAGCGTGAGTACGCCCTTATATTCCCCCACCCCCCGCGTGCATCAGTACCTGCCGATTGCAGGGCGGTACGAGGGCCCAGCAAGGCGGTGTCCATCTGTGAAATGCAGCTGAGCCCGCAACATGCTATGGACCCTTCTTACCGGCTTGCAGGGCAGGGCTGATCGCAACTGGGCATGCGCTGATGCATCTCCGACCGCGGCTAACGCACTTGCCCTACTTGCCCTTGCCTTATCGCAGAGTTCCAGCTTCTGCACACTCCCGCGGCCTTCCGCGCAGAGCGGATGGCGTGGCGGTCCGTGATCTACCTCAACTTGGTCCGCTCGATACGGCGGTGAGTCCTCATCTCTCCGGGTTCCCAGCGCGCGACTATATGGGTCACCACCACCGCGCGCAGGATACTCGAAGCGATCTCCCCCGAGCCCGAGGCGAGCAGCGCGACCGGCGACGACGCGCCGGACGACGCCGAGTCCGTCGCGTCGCTCATCATCTCGTCGAACGGGAACCCGCGCAGCTACGCCGTGCCCAACTACGAGCGGTACGCGTCGCGCCTGGCGCCGCTCACGCGGCTCGAGGAGCGGCTGTCGCGGCAGCTCTCGTCGCCCGACGAGGACGAGCCGACGCACACGGACCCGGCGTACGCGTCCGCGTCCGCGTCCTCGGTGAGCCTCGCGCCGACGTCGCCCGCGTCGTCGAGCAGCAGCTCCGGCCCGTCGTCGCCCGCGCCCGCGCCGCAGCTCTCGCCGTCCGCGTCGAGCGCGACGGCGCACACGCTGAAGAGCATGGCGTCGGAGGTGTCCGTGCACACGCACAGCAACTGGAAGAAGGTGTTCTCGTTCGGCGGGCGGCCGAAGGGCGGGGACACGAACGAGCTCGTCGGGTGGTGGGAGGACCCGGACGACCCGTGCCATGTGCTCTACGCGTGCGCGCCGGCGATGATGGAGCTGTGGAGGGATAAGACGGTGCGGTGGATATTGGACCAGAAGCGCATACGGCTGGAGGAGAGCAGTGGGTTGTGAGTGATTGTGTACGGTTGGAAGCGGTGACCGTCCTGATTCCCCTTCGACGTAGTTATCTGGACGAGATCGACCGAATAACGGCCAAGAAGTACATTCCCACTGATGGTGCGCACTTCTATACTGTCATTTTCCGCTTCGTATGCTCATCGTGCTCAGAGGACGTCCTGAAAGCGCGGCTGAAGACGCTAGGGGTCATCGAGCACTCGTTTATGCTCTCACACGGGCTTGTTCGCGGCGTGGAGTGGAAGATCTACGACGTGGGTGGGGCGCGGAGCCAGCGGCAAGCGTGGGCGCCGTACTTTGAGGACGTGAATGCTATTATTTTCTTGGCGCCAATAAGCGCGTTTGACCAAGCGCTCGCCGAGGTGTGTTATTTCGTTTGTACTTTACATGGGGACGAGCTTCGTGTTGACAGTCTGCGCTGTAGGATCCTCGAGTGAATCGGCTGGAAGACTCGCTATTACTTTGGAAGTCGGTGGTTTCAAATAAACTGCTGGCGAATGTGAATATAGTGCTGTTTCTGAACAAGTGCGACCTGTTGAAGGTAGGTTTGATGTTTCCAACCCCGCCGGCCGTGCTTCCTGATTTGAGAACTGCAGGCAAAACTGGAGAGCGGCATCCAGTTGAACCAACACTTGTTTTCGTATGGTGACAGACCAAACGATTACGAGTCTGTTCGGAAATGTATGTGGTCCTCCGTCCCACTTGCTCTGCAGCGGTTAAATCAAAGTTTCTGTAGACTTCTACAATAAGTTCGGTTTGATGCATCAGAACCATACTCCCAACAGAGACCGAGAGTTGTACAGTAAGTCCCTCTGCCACATAAAACGATGCTCTCCACCCACGTCCGTATCCCTCAGTACATTTTACGTCCGTAACTGATACAAGGAGGACTCATACTATCATCAATAATGGTACGTCTCGCCTGCCCCGCCGACCGCCGATGTATGCTGACGCGCTCCCGTTCCTCCGCTAGTACGGGATATCATCCTGAAAGCCAACCTGAAGGATATCCAATTGATTTAATAATCCCCCTCATGCAACGTACGACATGCCGGCGATTGCTCCCGGTGGCTGGCTCATGATCGCCCTTATTCGCGTCTACTTTACCCACCTGGCCCGCCCACCTTATTCATCCAGACAGCGGCGCCGCCCCTAATCAATCCATACGCGGGACAGTCCTCTCCATACCATTCCATCCCATTCCAGCCTACTTGGCACCCACTCAAAGCCGAATTCGATGCCACCCTTGCCCGCACTCCGTCCTCGACTCGCCCGTGCCAACGCGCCGTTTTGTATCCTACGCTTCGATGTTTTCTTTCTTGTGATGCTTTGTATTCGCTGTCCTTGAACTCACACTCGAACTCGTTGTATTCAACTCCCATTCTCATTTGTCCTTCCTCCTTTCGCCGTTGACGTTTATCGACCTCGCGAGCGGTGAGTGGTCGAGCTGCGTACGTTTGACTCTGAGTGGTGGTTTCCCGGCTGATGCAGGTCCTGGTGGAGTCTGTCGATGTAGATATCGGTGGTACACAACAAACTGTATTGTACACTCTCTCGCTCTCTTTCGTACTTTTGGACTACATGCAAAGAACATCCAAGCCTCTTTCCTTGAGCTCGGTACCTGTAGCGAGCCGCGGCATATTTGGCTTTTTGCCTCCGGCAGACGGTACAAGGTTGTGATGGATCGAGGCGCTGGCGCTCCCCGTGCCCCGCCGTGGCAGTTGCATCCACATCGACCACGCTATTCGTGAGCCGCCGTTGGCAGCCTCGGCATAGCTCGTCGAGGCGAACAGAATTTTCGACCGAATGCGCCCCTCTCTCCCCCGAGTCCCCCTGGCGCTTATTTTACCCTAACCACCGAGCCTCTTGAGTGGTGCTAGTGCACGCAGCGTCGGGACCGCTCGGGAAGTCGACGGATTTACAGGGTTGGCGAGAAGTGCGAATCCATAACCATCCGATGGATTCATTGCTATTCATTGGGCAGTTCATATCAAACCTCAACATCAGACCTGATGGACGGAGGTGCCGGAAATACAGTACTGTACATGGGGACACACGCCGGGATGGCTATGCTGCGAGTGATCAAATCTATCAGTGTCATAGTTGCTGACGACGGAATGGGAACCACGATGCCAGTCTCTTGAGCAGAATCATGGACGTTCGTCATATGTCTTCGCTGACGCCTGTGGGTGGCGGGGCGGACAGAATCAGTAACAGTGCGCGGGATGCACACGCCTTGCCCCTCTCCTACCTTGGACGGGACAATACAGCAGACTTCGGGTAAAGATCGTTGTTCCAGTGTGCTCTAAAATTGCAGCTAGATGCAGTGCGTCGGAAAGATGCCGCTGTCCCCGAACTATTGATTGATATGAAGGAGACGGTCAGAGGGATGTCAGCGCCAGGCTACCTTGGTCTCCCCCACCACTGGTGGGCTGCATCCTCGTCCTTCTTACTAGACCTCTTTAATGTCACCCGTAATGCGAGGCATGTCCTGGAGACGTGCGACGACCTCAGACATGGATAGCTCAGCTGGTATGGTGAGTAGCATAATCATCACTTGATTGAGTGCCTTCTAAGTTTGACCGTCCCATAGTTTCCCTCTGATTACTTGATCATCTCGGGCTTATCTGTCGTGTTTCGGCTCATAAGGAGCTGAGCAGCAGAAGACAGGTGTTTCCCCTTCTGCCCAGCATGCGTCCGAGTCCCCTACCGCTACACATGCTTTAATGACTTCCTCCGCTGTCGAGTCCAAGGCACCTACGCCCACTTCGATGCAGGCACCGTCCGCTTCTCACAATGCCGCTCCTTCGAACTCCCCTGTCACTTCAGTGAAAGCAGAGGAACCTACTGCTAACCCTACAGTATCATCTTCTAGTAAAGCTCCCCCCGCTAAGACTTCCGATGCAGCCCCTGAGTCTTCCCTGGCTCACTCATCTTTCGCAGCAGCTCCGAGTTCCGAGTCTTCAGCGCCTGGTCGTGGTGCAACTACGACTGCGGTGGCCCCGGCAACGGAGAGCAAGACGACGAACCCCGGATCGGATCGGTCGTCTTCTCCCACAGATACCGGAGGACCGACTGCTCCAGTGTCGACTGCCGTATCGTCTGCTGCTGCTCCTCGTTCTACAGCTTCAGCCGTCGAGAGCAAGTCGTCCAACCCTGGTGCCAATCCGTCGTCCTCGGCCGCAGATACCAGGGGGCCGACTGCTTCAGCGTCAGATTCAAAGCCGACCACTTCCCCTTCTCATTCCACGGTTTCAGCCATAGAGAGTAAGTCGACCAACCCTGGCTTCCCGTCATCCTCGGCCACAGATACCACAGAACCGACTTCGGTGTCAGATGCTAAGCCGTCCGCTGCTCCTTCGCGCACCTCAACTTCGGTTTTGCCTGGAACTACTTCGTCGGACCTTCTGGGATCTTCGAGCGTAGTGGTAGATCGGACATCCACTGACCGTACTCCGCAGTCCAGCAGTGCAACTCAGGAACGTGGGACGTCGTCATCCGGTCCATCGACCACGGCTACACAGCTATTGAATTCCCCGTCCATTGATCATCCTACACCACCCTCGACGACACCCACTGATCCGGAGACCAAGCTGCCTGGTCCCACGGGCACTGGAACATCCGTTGCAGACCCTACTTCGGGCAGTGGTAACAGCCAGGGGGGTCACGCGACATCTTCCTCCGCGCCTTCCGTTTCTCAATGGAATCATAAGTCGACGGCTTCCGGTTCGACGACAGGGTCTGAAGAGAGTGCATCGATTACTGCAGGATTGGAGAGTGAAACGACTGCCGCGTCGCATACTGTACCAAAGGCGAAAACACCTACGCCGTCTTCTGCGACTACGCAAGGTAAGGGAACGGGGACCCCAACCGGCATTTCCGGGCAGCATACATCGAGCACGGGTCATGGACTGAGCAAGTGGTTCGGCCAGTTTCCCACCCCCGGGAGCAGCACATCCACTCTTCCGCACCCGTCGCCTCCGATATCGGTTGCCTCAATCCCTTCAGGGAATCCTTGGGGGATCAGTAGCTCGGAGGGGCTTCCAGGAGGCGGGAACGGCGGACACTCGACGGCGACTTCTTCCAAAGCAATGGAATCTAGCAAAACGCAGTCCGCTCCTGACTCATCCACACAGCCCGATGGAGGGAATCTGAACACGTCCGCAGCGCGCACTACTCAGAGCGCCGGGACTGGCAAGGTCACTCAGACGCCATTCACAACTACAAGGGGTGGACTCGGAGGATGGGATCCCACGAACTGGTGGCCAACATCCAGCCTTCCTACTTTTTCGGTGCCTACACCTCCCTCATATAATACCCGTACCGAAGGAAATGGTGCTGGAGGTCACCAACCTACCTCTTCTGCGCAGGTAACCGAGACAGATCCCGTCAAGTCTGCAGACCCAGCTTCATCTCATCCCATCGTTCCCTCTGGGATCCCCAATCCATTCTCACCCCCCTTTTCTTTGCCCGGCGCCCCTACGAGAGATACGTTTGAACCACACCTCCCAACATTTTCAATCCCAGCTTCAGTGCCATTGTCGTTGCCGATTCCCAATACCACGGATAGGTCTACACCTGATCCGACCGATCTGCCCAGTACCGCGGGGCCGGCACCGGGATCGCTGTCTAAGCCTTTTGGGTTGCCTACCCCAAGTGCAGGAGGCGGCTCTGGTGAGCCCAATCCGCTCAGTATCCTATCTTCTATTTTCCACCCGTCCATCCCTACCCCTCCGTTTGCCCCTGAAAGTACCAAGGAAGGTTTCAACCCCCAGCCTACTGAGCCAGTGTCGTCCGCGGAGAGCTCCCCTCAATCGACGTCTCCTCCATTACAGACGTCGGAGTCGCTTGGAGGAGGCAACCCCAACGGAGGTTTCTCCACCGGAAAGACTACATTACGGACAGCGACGACCACCGGTTCACCAGAACCACCGGCCAGCTCAGGGAACGTGGCTACTGCTCCGAATGGGCAGCCGGTTTCCGCGAACCCCGGATCTGGGTCGACGCAGTTTCGAGCTGGATCCACTACTCAGTCAAGCCCAGCGAACCCGGCTCAGTCTCAGTCAACCCAGTTGATCCCGGGACCATCCAACCCAGCTCCTTCTGAAAGTGCAACCGTCAATACGCCGGCTGGGTCCGCATCTAACCCCGCCTCAAACCCCGTGCAGACCGCGAGTCCCACGAGAGCGGGCGGCATTGCAGCTGCAGGGACGACCTCTGATTTTTCCAGCACCGTCTTCGTTGCTTCGGCGACTACCGTAAATCTGGGATCAGCAAGTAGTACGGTGACGAGTGTATCTCGGAGGTGCGTACAATCCTCACTCATCTGTTTCAAGTGTCTGACATACGCTCGGTAGTAACGCCATAAATGTTGCAAACACAAACACCTCGACACAGAAGCTCACCACCAAGATCCTTCCTACTACTATCGTGTCGTCAAGCGTCTTCAGTTCGGATGGGCATTTGACAACGAGTGTGACAAGCATTGCCACCGAGACCGCACAAATATCGACGTTGCCTGCAGGCCCGACGAGCACTGGGTACGTCACTGATCCTAAGTGATACTTCGTCTATCGTGCTGAAGACTTCTACCCTCACAGACTCTCCGAGGGCTCCGGCGCTAATCAGGGCGCTATCATCGGGGGCGCTGTAGGCGGCGTCGTGTTCCTTGTCGTCCTTCTGCTCCTTGTGTTTATGGCATTACGAAGAAGACGCAAAGCGAGCTCGCTCGCGGCCACATCTCCCACCTTCGTACCAAGAGGTCCGCTTGATCCGGAGAGGGGATCGGTCTCAGGAGATTCCATCGCCAGTACCATGACGGAAATACCACGCATCCATTTGCCCATACTTGGTGGCTCGTCAGAGGGTACCCTTGCTTCCATGAGGGATCCGTTCCGCGATCCACAAGACCATTCGGCGATGACTACCGTACCTTCTCCTATCCCCCTGACATCTCCGATAGAGCGACGTCAATCGCTGACTGCTCGACTTGAATATGCTCCTGCGTCGATTGGGGACGCTGCGACAAACCCCTTCCTAGATCCCGCGAATCAACTAGTGTACCCTTTAGTAGATCGTCCCGGACCGCCCAGCGCATGGAAAGGTGTAGCCACGTCTGAAGCAGGGCTGGACAATCAAGTGAACAGATTATCGGCAGCTTCATCGAACTCGTCCGTGTCAAGTAGCGGTCCTCCAAGCGCATGGAAGGCCCTATTGAGTGCTCCTCCGGACAACAGCGGGCCGTTAGGTCCCAGCCGCCTGTCAGCGGCCTCTTCTGCGGTTTCTAGTGAAATGCCAAGTAGCGCCTCCCTGGTGAGTTACTCCTCTTCTCCATCTGAGATAAGCCGACTAAATCTTCTCCCGAAACAGGTTGGAATAGCGGTGTAATTTCTTGTCATCCTGTTGTATACGATCCGATATTTACTTGCGGACGATGGCGTTATTTATTCATTACGGACACGTACGTGGGTGTATTAGCATGGTGAAGTGCGCAATTCGTAGTATGAGGTGGGATGCCCCTCAGCCGGGCATACAGTGTGGACCAACTTCCCGCATGTGCACGATGTGGCAAGCGTGCGTCAATATACCACACATACTAAGTAGTTGAACAGATGGCAAACCACGTATGTATCTACGCCGAATCACTCTCCTTCTTCTCCATGACCTCACGCACCTCCACCGAACCAGAGTCTGCACTGGCGTCCTTTTCATGGTTTGGTTCGTCCACTTTGTCGAATAATTGTGGTCGCCAGCCGTATGAATTCCATGGTTTGATGTTCGCTCGATACATCTCATCCACCTATATACGATCAGAAGATAGACGGGTCATATCACAAAGGTCACGTACTTCTTCAAGCTGGAGCCCCTTCGTCTCTGGTATGCATATGTATACGTATACGAAACCAAATATCAAGACTCCTGCGAAAATCAGCAGCACTAGAGGTCCTATGTCGGCGGCGATACGAGGGGAGAAGAACGACAGCAAAAAGTTCCATATCCAATCTGTAGACACATCCCGTTAATAACCCGTAAAATCATATTAGTCATTATGATGGCCACCGTACTTGAGGCGCTACCCAGTGCGATTGATTTAGGCCTAACTCTGAGGGGGAAACTCTCCCCGAGGTAAACCCACGGAGTTGGTCCCCAAGATAAAGAGAAGGAAAAGACGTGGAGGACTGCGAATGCGATGAGTGTATCTCCTCCGGACTTGTTCCGCGCCGTAAGCTGGCTGGTAGGGGTGCCACTAGGAGCTAATGTGAAGTGGCCCACAAGTCCAGCAATTATGGCGCAGGCCGCTTGCAGGGCCGCACCGATTAGTAAAGACTGAGAGAAGTGATGAGCTAGTCAAGAGGGGAGATATTTTTCAATACGCACATCTCTACGTCCCCAGTATTCTATGAGATAGAGGGCGGGAAATGTCCCAACTACTGACACAGCGCCAAGGATCGTCTGAATTGAGTACGGATCAAGTCTGCATGGGGTCAGTGCCTCAGTCGGTTGGAAAATGGAACGAGAGACTTACGTTGTTCCAGCACTCTTGAAGAATGTATCTCCGTAGTAGTCTGGCCAATGATAAGTTAGTGAGACCGTGAAGAGGAGAGACCTCCTATAGCTCACAGTAGAAATTCTGCCCATTAAGTTGTTGAATAGCTTGCAGCATGATTCCGTTGAGCGTCCTGAACCATAACTTATTCCTCGTCGAGAAGCACTCCAGCCATCCCGCCTTGCCTCCCTCGTTCTCGGCCTTTATACCGTATTCCAACTCTTCGACAATCTCCATGACTAAGGGATCGTCGATATCCACGGAGTTCATTTGAGCGATCACCTTGCGAGCCTTGTCTCGACGACCAGTGCCGAGGAGGTGGCGCGGCGACTCAGGAAGGAAAAACATTCCGGAGAGAAGGATGAGGCCCCAACACATCTGCAGCCCAACGGGTATGCGCCAGGAGCCGGAGTTGTTGAGATGATGTGAGCCGAGCTCTATGACATAACTTATGAATATGCTGTAAGCATAATAGCATGTATCAGTACCCAACTACGCGACGTCTACGGCTATCTATAAGTAATGTACTCACCCGCTGATAACCTGGATCTGGTAAACGACCAGTAGTGCACCGCGGATGGCCTTGGGTACAGTCTCCCCATTATACAGGGGCACAATCGCAGACATGGCACCTACTCCAAGACCCGCAATGAAGCGACCTATGACAAGCTGCACTATAGATCGATTGGTGGCAGTCTGGATGGCAGTTCCAACGGTGAATATGCCACTCCAGAACAGGAGCGAGCCTCTGCGGCCGAACCTATCCGACGTAAAAGCCTGGCATAGCGAGCCAACGAATGTACTTGAAGCAAACGCAGTATCATGTCAGAAGATTACGCGTGAGCAGTAAGGACGGTCTACGTACCCGGCCGATAGTAGGGACGTGATTATTGACGACCGTGAGCTTGTGAGTACTCTTGCCCCTGGAGGACCCTGTCCAAAGCGGTCTATGAAGTCATCCATGATAAGGCATCCCTGGTGATCAGAAAACTCAGTGGAGTGTATGGGAGTAAAGAACGAAGCGACCTACTGAGATGACACCCATGTCATAGCCGAATAGAAATCCGCCTGGAATAATATTCTATCAGTGCTAGGATGGTACGTATTCCTGAAGATATGCGCTTACCGAAGGCGATGAATACAGCCATTATAATGGCCTTATTGTTCGTTGAAAGCCTCATGCTGGAACAAAAGCGCGCCTCGCCAAAGCAAGGTTAAGCAAAAGGTGTCAAGTTCACCCTGATAGACGGGTGAATGGAAAGGTTCGCAATCGACGGGGTTATATACGTTCTGTGTATCAGCAGGTCATCTGTGGGAGCACGGTGAGGTATCAAGCATTCTTCGAAGTTGGAGAGAGGTATTTTCGTAGGCTGAAAGCGTCATGGGGTGAACCCTACAGTCGATCTAAGCACCAAAGGGTGTTTCGACGGAGCTCCATCGCCCTGGATGAGCCGTTGTATTTTTGCATCGAACGTCTCGGACCTTTACCTCCCATTCCAGGAGAGTGGCAAGTCAGATTTTGCTATACACTAAGTCTTCTATTGTGCTGGATCCGGGCCGGCCAACTTCGCAACTTTCAGACTGGAAGTACTGCGAAAAACGATTCATGTATGCTCAATGAATGCAACAAGTGCCGCACTCAACTTGCGTTCGGCTGGAGGCCATCTGCTAATGGTGACTTTCGCCTTCAAGGACCAAAGTAAGAGGCAGCTACCGTTTACGGCACCTCCATTATCAGTACGCCAAGTAGCTAATAAGTAGCACAGTCAGTTCATCCCGAATCCCAAAACCCACCGACCGGCAGCTTCGATTCTTGGCATACGTGCATTCATGGTTGGTAGTGAGCCTGAGCCTCCGACATCCCTCTAGACATACGGAACTCGATTCCTAGTATATGGAGAGCTGTGCGCGACACGGAGTTGAATGGCCCACAGGAAAGTCAGGTGGCTCCTTACCAGTGTCTTCGAATTCGGCAGCAGATGCAATCGAAGAGGAACGCTGGATTCAAGCTCCCCTTAAGCGGACAGAGTACTAGTAAACTAATCTTAAATTCTCGAACCTAGCTCGAGTTTCCGTTGAAGGATCTCGGGACGAATTGTGAGGTCCCTGCGACGCGTCATTGGGGAACACACGAATCCGAAAATTGTGGCATAGTGTCGAACGGTACTTTGAGTGTTTGTGCTCCCAAACCAGTAGTTCCAGTAGGCCGGAAGCACACTGGAAGGGCGTCATGTATACCGCTGTATTTGCTATCGTCGTTGCAGAAGAAGAAATGTGCCAGTCATGTTGTGGCTATTACGCGAATGTGGGAACTCAAGGATCCAAGATTTACCCGCACTGATACTACTACGTTGTGGGTACTTTGTGCTATCATCATCGTTGACGTTGGTATCTGCCTGTTATGTATTTTGGGAGTGTGCGATGAGTGAGTGCTTATAGTTACTGTATCGACTTCAGCAAATTCTCCTAGTTTCCGTGCCTGCCTCGGCTGCTCCTAGCGGCGACTTGAAGACTCGAATCCTCCCGCTCTTTGCTCTTCCATGGAGACACTCTCTGCTAGGCGGTTTGACAAACCCGTAAAGCTCGATCCTTGAGCACCAGTACTTCGACCAAGGTGCTTAAGGAGAGAGCTTTCCTAGGCCGTCAGCCAGAGGCTATTTGCAGGGCTAGGTTATGAATCAGGTATGTTCTGGGAATGTCGACGATCTCTGCTTCTCTTCGTGAAGCCATGGTTATTCTATTCCATCACCTGGTCTGTGCGTTGACGTACATAGACCGCAATCCTCGCCTGTCGCGGCCCGTGAAGCTTGACGGATTGGAGTAGGATCCGCTCAGCTAGCACGCCATTCGCCCTCTTCTGTGTGCAGTCATCCATGCGTCGACCGGTCGTTTCTTCCGAGCACGCTGCCGTTGGATCATGGGTGCCTGCACACCGTCCTTGCTTATGAGCGCATGAGCGCAATTGCGAGAAGAGAGCCCATTCTCTGACTGCTCTGATATAACGCATTGGTTTCATCGTGCTCATGTTCTTCGCCTGGATTTCCCCAACTTTCGAAGGGCCACACCTGATAACGATGCCAGTACTCTTCCAGACGAGGCAACATTGCAATTGGATCCCGTGCCGAGCTTACAGCTGTGCTGCTGCATTCTCCTGTCCTCCTGCTTTGTCTTGCCTCATCCTCATCTGGTCATGCCAAGCTGGCCTCCTCGCTGCGTGGTGTCGAACTGACAAGTCAATCGCGTAAACACAATGCTTGCTGCGTGTACCTTGGGCCGGATTCGAACATGGGAGTCCATGCCTAGCTATGTGCCTTTCCGACGTCATCAGTATCCGCCCTTGACAGTTCTGTATCCGCCGGCCCTGCCCACAGCTTTCAGTCAATTCAAAGTCGGCTTGCTATACACCACTACCCGGCCGGTGAGACACCATTCCGTATTGTAAACTGTCACGACTCTCATGAGCGTATACCGTAACGACTATCGACGCATACCCTCTCATGCTAGATTTATGCCTGCTTTCTTTCTACACAACCTAGCTCTGTTGTTTGCTGCTCTGTCTTGCGTGGTCTCTCTGTTCTTCTCTTTATTGTTAACGAGAACTCTTGCCGGTCGCACTCTCCGAGTGAGTCGAATTCGACTCCACCTGAGACCCTCACTATCCATCCATGTCGATGGCTTCTACTACTCGCACCGAACGAGCATCCCAAGACCAGACCTCAAGTTGCCCAACCAGCCATTCACGCTCAAAGCTGCACAAGTAGTGCTGAGATTCCGCGTACCTCGACCATCGTATCCCGCATGGGCAACCCTCACCATCAAAGACATCTTCCACGCATCCCCACAAGCCAGTGCCTCCGTCGAGCGCGCCCTCCTGACCCTCTGGCTGTTCCCGTACGCATTCCGATTCACCGCAGGCACCTACGTCAACGTCCAGCTCGACGACTTCCGCGTACGCGTCTTTGACAGCGAGAGCACGCCGCGCTGGGTCGAGATCCTCCGGCGCAATCTCATCATGACGATGCTCAAGGGCGAGACCCTGCGCCTCGACGACTTCAAGACGAGCGTCCGCTTCGGCGTCCCGGACCGGTGGCAGTCGCCCGAGTCGAAGCAGCGCCAGGAGGTCGACGGGATGAGCGGCGAGCAGGAGATGATGGTGACGGTGATGGGGGAGAAGTACCATACGAAGAATTGGCAGGGGAGGATATACGCCCTCGGGAAGGTGGATATGCAGTGGCGGACGAGCCTGAGTAGCGATCGGGGCAGGTTCGTGATGGTCATGGAGGAGGCGCGATGGATAAAAGTGAGGGAGACGTACGAGTTGGAGACCCCGATCAGTACTCCTTAGTGCGTCTGACGTCCCTTCCGCCTATCCAAGCTTTACTCACGTCAGAACAGTCAGATTCTGTCGTCCATCCTCCAACTTCCCGTAACCTTATGGCAGACGTACAACAACATCGCCACAGCGGCGGACGTCTACATCCCGGTCATCAATCTGTCGTACGATCAGTTCCGCCTGCGAGACTCCGAGGTCGTGCACCAGATAGGTATCATGGTCGAAGAAAACATGTGGGCAATTGGAGGCTTTCTGGAAGGTTTCGTAGGCGACCTGCTCACGAAGAGCATACAGCCTGGAGGAGGCAAAGCTGGGGCTCTAGCGGACGAGATATCGGAAGGGAAAGACAGTGCAGGGCCGGAGGTTATGCAGGAGGAGGAGAAACCCTTGGAGGAAAAGGCCGCAGACAACCAAATTATCATGGATGGCCACGCTGAAAAGGACTGAAGATCCAAGAATCAACATACACAGCATCTACTCACGAATTGTCAGCAACGCACCACCAATAATCTATACTAATACACTGGGACACTGACATACAGCCATAGCATTAGTATTTCTTGCATGTACCGCATACATACACGGATCCATGACCCTTATATCGGATTTCTGAGCTGCAGCCTCGTAAGAGACAGGTCGGTACATAGGGAGAACACGTTCACTGACGCTGTTTCTGGGAGGAAGCCAGCGGAATAAGTATCGAGCTCCAGCATATCACATCTTCCTCTGCCGGCGAACTTGAAAGCGTGCTCACTGAGTCTGAATCTGAGTTTACTTCGTCCGAGGGAGGGTGCGAAAGCTGGTGCCGTGTCTGTTTAGACCTCGATTCAGCTCTGTCAATGCTTGAACTTTCAGACTGATTCCAGTGGCCTTGACTGGCAGCAAATGGCCTGGAGTATGTCTTTGCTCCAGGATCATATCGAGTATCGAAGCCATGACAGCCACCGAAAACACCTGCGCTCATACTGCTAGTCAAAGCGGTCGACTCGTAGCAGACGCCGGGGTGTGGTCATGAGTGATACCTTCCTGAATTGACGGGTACCCCGGTCTTTCGTCCTTTGTATCTATTCCAAGGACATGTCATGGTATCTTCTTGACCCCATTCCAACAGCCCTCGACGTCTTCTAGATTTACAAGAATAGCTCGCTCCAGCAAGTCATGTTACCTTGGCTCTGCTTGACTTCGCGAATTCGTGTCCTCCCTGGGTTGGCCACAAATAACGTCCTCTAGAACTAGATGGAAAGGTTGGTTGGTTGAGCCTCGTGTCTCCAGATGGCTCATTATTCCTCGTACAATGTCCGTATCATCCTGATTCTCACTCTAGGCTCCCTGACTTACGGATATGTCCTCTCTGTAATGTCCAACACGCTCGGCGAGCCAGGGTTCCTGTCCTACTTCAACCTGGCAACCGACTCAGCATATGCCAGCCAGGTTATTGGAGCCTTCAATGGAGTATTGTCTGCCGGAGGTGCTCTTGGTTGTGTCACCGTTGCATGGACGAGCAAAAGGTACGGACGAAAATGGAGCATGAATGCCTCTGCCGTAGTCGCGGTAATAGGCGGCGCAATACAGACTGGAAGTGTCAACGCGGCGATGTTGATTTTCTCGAGATTCGTTATCGGCTGGGGCATGGGGATGATGGCTGTCCTTATCCCTATATTCCAAGCGGAAGTGAGCCCTCCGGGATCCAGAGGCCTATTGGTAGGTCAACACGGTGCGTCTACACACAATATTCGGAGTGCATACGAGGACTCAGGAAGACATTTAGGTACTTGGATCTGTGCTGGTGATGCCATTGCGGGATGGATCGGAGTGGGGACGTATTACTCCTCTGACAAGAGTTTCCAGTGGAGGTTCCCGATCGCCATGCAGTGTTTCTTCCCCTTGCTTCTCCTTGTATGCAGTCCTTGGGTTCCGGAATCTCCTCGATGGTGTGCGTTTCATCTGTGCAATTTGCCTGTCATACTACTCACACTTCCGACCGATACCCAACAGTACTGTTGCAAGGCAGGAAAAGTTCTGCATGGGAAATCGTTGCCAAGCTCCACTCAAATACCAAGTCGGATCCGGACGGTGTCTATGCTCGAGAAGAGTTCCACCAAATGGCGAAACAGGTCGAGATGGACTCTGAACTGTGGATTGGAGGCGGTGGTGTCAAGCAGCTTATCACTAGGCCTTCGTATCGGAAACGAATGTGGATGGGTTTCTTCACGCAATACGCCGCGCAGAGCACGGGTGCGATGGTGATATACAGTGGGTACAAAGCTTTGGACTTACCTCGGTCGTAACTCTGACGCGCAGGGAGAAGATTACATGGTGACATTGTATGAAGACCTTGGCTTAAGCGGAGGAAAGGTCCTTATGCTAGGTGCCGCGTACGTCACGGTGGCGTCGGCGTGCAATTTTGTATGTTCTCTTGTCATGGATCATATTGGACGGAGACGCTTGCTTCGTGAGTTCGGTCCTCCTTGAGTGTTTCTGTCCTTACCCAACAATAATCACAGTGCTTGGGTTGTGCGGGTGCATGGTGATGCTTTCCATCGAGTGCATTATGTTCTCTCAATTCGGCGGCACCAACAATCACGTCGGAAACTCCATTGGCGTCTTCGTCATATTCTGCTTCATTTTCTTCTACGCCGGTGGTATCGACGCGACGAGCTACGTTTATTGCTCGGAGATCTTCCCCACCCACGTCCGATCTGAGGGGATGGCTTGGTCAATGATTGGCACGTTCCTGAGCACGATCCTATATGTAGGAGTCGGGCCTCTTGCTTTGGCGGAGGTCAAATGGAAGTATTATCTCCTGTTCATATCCCTCACAGCGATTGATATTGCTGTCATCTGGAGATGGTTCCCTGAGGCGAGTATTGTCATCACATTTTGATCTGGATGTTGAAATTTGTTATGGAGACCAAGGGCCTTTCCCTCGAAGAGATCAATAGCAAGTTCGGGGATGAAGTTGCCGTCCGTCTCAATGACAAAGACGTCAAAACGATGCGAACTGGTATGGATTTCGAGGGCTCGGGTAGCTCTCCCGCAGCGCACCCGGAGGCGTTGGAGATGAAGAGTCAGTCCAATAGCACGCCAGTGTGAATCAGGGGCTTGTCTCAATCTCGTTGTATTCAAGAGGTGTAAACTACCCTTCACAGACTGGCAGGGCTTATGGATCCTTTCTTGCTTCCATGCGGAAGTTATAGGCATGCAAGGTAAGATCAAGATTTTATGCACACCTCGTTCTATCCGTATCCGTGCGCGGGCGTGGATCTATGACCTACTTCCCTGTAGGTCGTACTTCGACGTCTTCGTACATGTGCTGTGGGTTCGACGAGCGAACAGCATATTAGGTTGCGGCCCTTCATGTCTACTCGGTTCCAGCGTATCTGCGAGCTCTGCGCCAGGAGCAGATAGGTACGTAGTCACGAGTGGCACGATTGCGCAATGCATAGGAACCCCGAACTTCCGTCCTGTCTATTCTAGTCCAAAGACCTTGCAGCCCTCTATCTTCCACAACAGCTTCTTGATTGGTACTCCAGTACCCCTCACCGCCGTTCAATCGTAACTTGTTGCAAGAATAGTTGTCGTCAGCAGGTCCTGCTCCCCTGGCTCTCTTGAACCCAAAAATCAGAAACCTCTCTCGCGAAGCTATAATATACTGGATAGCCATAATGTTGCGGTGCATGCGCCTCAATCGCCATGTCCCATTATTCCGCTTATAACGTCCGTGTCATTTTGATCCTGACTCTAGGCTCCCTAACGTATGGCTACGCCTCATTCTGTGATATGGAACACGCTAGGAGAGCCCGGATTTCTCTCCGCCTTTAATTTATCCGTCGATCTGTCTTACGCCGCTCAGATCACTGGCGCCATCAACGGTCTGCTCTGGACTGGAGGTGCAGTTGGCTGTGTCGCTGCTGCATGGACGTCTAACGTATACGGACGGAAATGGACCATGAACGTCGCTGCGGTCATCTCGACGATAGGCGGGGCGCTCCAGGCAGGAAGTGTCAATGCAACTATGCTCATCGTAGCACGGTTCATCACCGGCTGGGGGATTGGCATGATGGCTGTTCTCGTACCCATATTCCAGGCGGAGGTCAGTCCACCGGGATCCCGAGGCCTCTTTGTAGGCCAGCATGGTATGTCAGCATTCGTCAAGATGACTTTGCCTCAAATTCACGTTGACATAATGCATAGGGAGCTGGACTGTGACTGGAGACGCCATTTCAGGCTGGATTGGCGTCGGGACGTATTACTCGTCCAGTTTGAGCTTCCAATGGAGGTTCCCGTTTGCTGTACAATGCTTGTTCCCATTGTTACTACTCGTGTGCAGCCCATGGGTACCCGAGTCCCCTCGATGGTGTGCGTACACCTACAGATTCCGGCAGGAACGTCTCTTACAAGCCGACTCGTGCTATAGTGCTTACGCAAGGCAGGGAGGCCGACGCCTGGAAGATCATCACTGCTCTGCATTCAAATCCCAATTCGGACCCGGATCAGGTTTATGCCCGTGAAGAGTTCAACCAGATGGTCAAACAGGTTGAGATGGATGCCGAACTGTGGCTAAACAAGGGGGGCATCAAGCAACTCGTGACGAAGCCTTCCTACCGGAAACGCATGTGGATGGGGTTTTTCACCCAGTATGCTACCCAGAGCACGGGTGCAATGGTAGTGTACAGTGAGTCCTATCCATGATAGACGGTTCGACGGAAATCTCATACCGCAGGGATAGATTATATTGTGACCCTGTATAAAGATCTTGGCTTCGCTGGGGCGAAAGTTCTGATGCTCGGTGCAGCCTACATAACTGTGGCCGCTGCTTCGAATTTCCTCGCTGCTGTCCTCATGGACCGCATGGGACGTATACGCCTGCTTCGTGAGTTCGCTCCACGACCCGGACGTTCGCGAACTCATGCTCTATACACGCAGTGATTGGACTGACGGGCTGTGCGGTGTCTCTTTCCCTCGAATGCGCCATGTTAGCTCAATTCGGCGGCACCGACGACCTCGTCGGCAACGCGCTCGGCGTGTTCTTCATTTTCTGCTTCATATTCTTCTACGCCGGCGGCATCGACGCCACCAGCTACGTTTATTGTGCCGAGATCTTCCCCAACCACGTCAGGTTTGAGGGGATGGGTTGGTCGATGGTCGGCACGTTCTTGAGTACCATATTGTACGTGGGGGTGGGACCTGTTGCCTTGGGTGGAAGTTCTATCTGCTGTTCATAACCCATACCTCCGTTAATATTGTGGTGATCTGGAGATGATTCCCGGAGGTGCGTCATTGTCTAGTCATAGATTGATAGTTTACAGAAGACTGAAGCATCCGTCCACTCCCGCAGACTAAGGGTCTCTCCCTGGAGGAAATAAATGGGAAGTTTGGCGACACGGTCGCTGCGCATTTCGACGAGGAGCAGTACACCCGGAGGCAAGCTGGTGGAGATCCTCAGGAGATGGCAAAGATGGCAGCTGAAGTACTCATCGAAGTTTCAGAACAGAGAAGTTGAGATGGTGGCGTTCTTCGCGTGGCTGGTTCTACTCTGTGATTCTCTGTTTACTCACTATGATCCAACGATGACGATGCTGCCACCGCTTGGTGCACAACATTCATACTGAGTGCGGCATTTGAAACAACATACTGAGCACGTACGGTCTTCAAGCGAAACGCCTTGGAGTGGGCGGCATTTGTGGCAGTCTGACGTTCTATTCAATTGTACCAGCTGAGTTCGAATATAATAGACAAGTACGCCTTGGGGGACATTAATAGCCCACCAGCATCATGTCATATCATGATTCATCCTGTTCAGCATCGGCTCTTGGTTCGACCGTTGTGGCCATAACGGACAATAGGAAAGCAAATTTCCAACCTGCGCCTCTACCGACCACACTATCCGGCGCGTTGACAGGAAGTGGTGGTCACGAACGATGGGAGGCATAAAAGACCCAGCGCTGGTCGATGATCATCAGTTATTTGTGATCAAAGGGGATGCATGCAGGGCAACCTGTAACCCTGGACCATGATCATCTCTCCCGTACGTATGGGTGCTTTGATCGTCCCGGGACAACTGGTCAAGCAATCGCGGCTGAAAGCGAGTGTCGACCTCGTGCGGAAGCACGCTCCTCTGGCAAACCGACCTCACCAGCCAATGAAGTGCCACTGAACATTGTATTCGTGGAAGGACCATTATCCTAGGACAATACACGGTCAGTGCATTGTTGCTGCCAGTGCCACCTTCTTGGCATCATTGACCGTGGTCCGCGATACCCGACAACGGATCACACTCCTGCCATATGCTGCACCGCGCTTGGCCGCACCCGGTGCACCGCCGCACCCCCCACGTGCGCCACCCCCTGTCTGCAGCGGCTATAAGAACCGAGGTCCTGCAGCCGGTATTTTCTAAGGTTGATCCTCTCCACGCTTCTCACTCTCTTGTGCAAGAGCCCGGTGCTCCCTCATCCAGTCGTTCACTCGCTCATTTACACGCCCACACACGTTCACGCTTAACCAACACTCCATCATCGAGATGTCTTTCACCACCTTCACCAAGATCGTTCTCCTCGCCCAGGGTGAGTTCCGCGACCTGTGCACAGTGTACTTCGTTACTCATATTTTTCCCAGTTGCCCTTATGGTGTCTGCCAGCGTGCTCCCCCGCCAGCCCGGCACCCAATTCATCACCGGGGTGTGCAAGTCCGACGCTGACTGTGCCTCCGGCTGCTGTGGCTTCAACTCCGGCAAGTGCGCTGGCCCTGTCATCGCCCAGGAGCGTGACGGAGGTTGCGGCTTCGGTGACGCGCAGCCCAACAACATTGCCGCTCAGGCGATCCAGGGCCCGAACGCTGAGAAGGCCCCGGGCGTGCCTGGCAGCACCGCTACCGCTGCGTCTGGTGGCAACAACGCTGCTGCCCCAGCTGCTGCTCCCGCTTCTAGTGAGAACACCTTGCTCTATCCTCACCCTCAAGCTGACTCCTTTTCTCCTAGCCTCGGCTGCGAAGGCACCCGGCACCCAGTTCATCACCGGGGCCTGCACGTCCGACGACGACTGCGCTTCGGGATGCTGTGGCTTCCACTCCGGCAAGTGCGCCGGCCCCGTCATCGCGCAGGAGCGCGACGGCGGCTGCGGCTTCGGCAACCCGACGCCCAACAACAACGCGGCGCAGAAGATCCAGGGCCCGAACGCGGAGAAGGCTCCTGGCGTCCCCAGGCGCCGCCGATCGCTGTCCGCGCTCGACTGATGGAGCATTGGTTATGGTCAATGATGCTTTCGTGTATTTATTCGTGTATTTATGAGCGACGAGCATAACGAAGTGTGGAGGCAGGTCTTACCCACATAGCCGAGCGTGATCTTGAGCCGATACAGGTGCGATTGACCACAACAGCCAGAGCTGAGCGCTGAGCTCGGACCCTTGCCCGTAATGTGGCTTTGGGCTCTGAACGGATTGCATCAGATGATCACCGAATATGACAGCCCATTGGGCCAACTGACATCTCTACTACGTAGTAATCGTTTGTGTTCGGGCTGTTCCTACCGTTTACTGAGACGGTGGCGGTATAATTGTCATGCGATTGTTGCTAGCACTGCAGTGCGTGGTGCTAACACCTTGGCCCTGGAGTAAAATCAAGTCTGGATGATCCCTACACTCGAACCCTGCAAGCGTTGGCACTCTGAGCATTTTCGTTCTCCAACCTAGTCGGCCGCTTTCGTGGATGGGACCGGTGCGTATTCAAAGCTTCAGCGCTTCAGCACTTGATCGCTGCGTTGACTGTTCACTTTTTACCAGGCCGGAATATTAATCTCAACTCACACAGTACAAGATCGGCTTCTGAATGCCATTGACAGGACAGGGACAGCATATAGGTATAGGACACTGAGTCTGTGCGTCTATCATCTTAGTGGCCTAAGAGCGGATGGATGCACAGTCACGAGTGCTCCTTGCTGAGCTTGCAGGAGCTCCGGTCTTCCGTCCTACGTATCCTATTCCGAGGATCTTGCAGGGCTATCTAACCGCCCAGTGCCCAGTTGGAGGAGCTTCCTCAACACCATTTCAGCATCCCTCGACATCACCCTGGTATGTACGACAATAATAGCCCTCCCCAGCGAGTCATGTTACCCATGCTCCTCTTCACTCCGCCAACTCGGACTATCTCTCGGAGGGGTATAACATCCCGCACACCCAAGACTTGAAGATGTGCTCACTTGAGCACCCTACGCGATGGCTCACTACACAGCCTATAATATCCGTATCATCCTGATCCTGACTCTCGGCTCACTAACCTACGGATATGGCCTCTCCGTCATCTCGAACACGATCGGCCAGCCGGGCTTCCTCGCGTACTTCAACCTCGCTGCCAACGCTACATACGCCACGCAGATCATCGGCGCAGTGAACGGCATATTCTCCGCAGGAGGCGCGGTCGGCTGCGTCACCGTCGCCTGGACGAGCAATAGGTTCGGACGGAAATGGAGTATGAATGTCGGGTCGGTGGTGTGTATAGTAGGCGGAGCGCTGCAAGCGGGGAGTATCGATGCAGCGATGTTTATCGTCGCGAGATTTATTACGGGATGGGGGATGGGCATGCTGGCGGTGCTGATACCCATATATCAGGCGGAGGTGAGCCCGCCTGGGTCCAGAGGCCTCCTCGTCGGTCAACATGGTAGGTGTATATTCGGAAACATGATGGTTCCTTGGACGTTCATAGGAGGCTCTAGGAAGTTGGATTGTGACTGGCTACGCCATCGCAGGCTGGATTGGCGTCGGGACGTACTACTCGTCCAATCTGAGCTTCCAGTGGCGCTTCCCGATCGCCGTGCAGTGCCTGTGCCCCCTGCTGCTGCTGATATGCAGTCCATGGGTGCCGGAGTCTCCGCGATGGCGTGCGTGTTATCCTCAGTCTCGTATTTAACAACGCTGAGCAGCCTATCAGTACTCATGCAAGGCAAGGAGGCCGATGCATGGCAAATCGTCGCTAAGTTACATTCGAACCCCACATCGGACCCGGACCAGGTATACGCCCGGGAGGAGTTTTACCAGATGGTGAAGCAAGTCGAGATGGACGCCAAGCTGTGGGAGAGCGGAGGTGGCATCAAACAGCTTGTCACAAAGCCGTCGTACAGGAAGCGGATGTTTATGGGCTTCTTCACGCAGTATGCCGCACAGAGTACGGGGGCGATGGTCGTGTACAGTGCGTCTATTACCTTCTTTCTTGGGCTGCCGATGCAGATCTGAGACAACGGAAACAGATTATATGGTCACGTTGTACGAAGATCTCGGGTTTACGGGAGCGAAGGTGCTCATGCTGGGCGCGTCCTACGTGACGGTGGCAGCTGCAGCCAACTTCTTGGCATCTGTCATCATGGACTATATGGGGCGTGTACGCTTGCTTTGTGCGTTCAAGCCTCGTATCGCCGATCCCTAGCCCGATCCCTCACAGAATATTATATTATAGTGATTGGCTTGACTGGCTGCATGGTCACCCTCTCTCTCGAGTGCGCGATGTTCGCCCAGTTCGGCGGCACCGCAGACCACGTCGGGAACGCGCTCGGGGTGTTCTTCATCTTCTGCTACATCTTCTTCTACGCCGGAGGGATCGACGCTACGAGCTACGTGTACTGCTCCGAGATCTTCCCCAACCACGTCCGGTCGGAGGGGATGGCGTGGTCGATGATCGGCACGTTCCTTAGCACGATCCTGTATCTGGAGGTCGGGCCTGTGGCCTTGGCGCAGGTCAAGTGGAAGTATTACCTCCTGTTTATATGCTTGACGGCGATTGATATTGCGGTGATCTGGAGATGGTTCCCCGAAGTGAGTCGTCCCTCGGGTTATGGTTATGGTTATGGTTTGTAAGTTGACCACTTGGCTTGCTACCTCAGACGAAGGGCCTCTCGCTTGAGGAGATCAATGGCAGATTCGGTGACGAGGTCGCTGTGCACTTCAATGACGAAGATGTCGCAGCAAGGCGAAAAGACGAGGGTCCGAAGGAGTCAGGAGGGAAGTCGATCGAAACGCACGTCGAGACGTTGGAAGAGAAGAGCCGGTCCGATTCTACGACGTCATGACGTCCGCATTTTGCATGTACGTTCCCCTTGTAAGTCGATGAAAGTGATCTTCACTGGCTCCCGACAGCATTGACATCCATTCCACGTCGTGTATTTGCATTTCACGAAATTCAGGGGCCGTATACAAGATCGCCACTCCTGTATGAGGCTATAGTCCCGGCGTTTACCCTCTTCACTTTCGTCAGAGCTTGAAATGATTTGGCCAGGTATTTCATCTCTTGACGCACGTCCCGACGTCCCGGCACCTCCGGCTGCACAAGAGTTGATCGAATCTGGGGCGAATCTGTGGGGCCCCACAGAATCACATGGTCCCTTTCATACCCCGCGATGGGTTATGACTATGGCAACAGAGAGCGTTCAGCTCGATTTTTGCCGCAGGATGGACCTGTTGCCGACGGCACCGCTGTCAAGGCCCCGAGAACCGCCTGTAGAGTAATGTCACACAGTGCGACTATGTCACAGGTTGACTTGTGTTGTCTATAACTTCTTTCGGATGGGAACCTAAGGTCCAAAACTTATATAGATGTGTTCTTGTATTGTATATGAACTATAATCGATACTAATATTGAGCGCCGAAGGGTTATGTGGTATGCAACATCGAGAAGATAATATCATGAGCCATCATAACATTCGGAGACGTCCGATGCTATATCTCACGCTACTTCACGCTCAATTCAGACTCAGCGAGCTCGAATGCACGTCCTCGCAGAGGTTACTGCTTGTGCGGTAGTCCCTTTATACGAGTATAATCGCCGATAACGCTTAGTTTACAAGTGTCCCGTTCAGAAAAAAGAAGCCAATCCAGAAAGAGTATGCAGGAAACAGAGTCATACCCTCCAGAGATCGGCGAATGCCCTTCACGTCGGGTCCGTCTACTAATACATCCTGTAACTGAGCGTCTCTTAGTTAAGACTCTGTTCAACCATTAGGGAGTCCCAGCACTTTGATATTCATACAATGTCTAGCTCTCAGCCCGCAGGCGTTGGACTGACTTTTGGAGTTACTCAGTGCGTGATCCTGAGTGAAG